GTTTGTTGTTATTGCCAATTTATGAATGCATTGTGTGCCCCCTTTTGTTCTGGTGCAAATTGATTGGTTCGAGCAATCTGTATTTTGCTACTTTAGGCAAGCCTTTTTGTTGAGAGCAAACTTCTCGGTTCAATGTAAAATGTGCTATATTGTTAATACTAAACTTGCCCAATATATATATTTATATATATATAGAATTGGTTTGCTGTAGTTATGCAAATCTCTTTTACATTTTATAATGAGTTTACTAACATTAGGCACACTTTGCTTGGTAAATGTAGAATAGTTTACTGTGGCTTTGCAACAAATCTGCAGAATCTAAAACATATAAGCTGAATCTGCAGAACCAATGTTTGCAATATAAATCGGTAAATACCTAGATACTGTGGTGATGTTTCTAGCTAAATTCAAACATGTCAATTGTTCTGTCATGCAAACTGCAATGGTAAATATAGTGGCAGTTTGCTGTGTTTATGCAAATTCAAATGGCAACTGCAAAATCTTCCTTGCCATGGTTTACAAATTCACATGAAATATGGAGATAGTGTGCTGCGTTTATAGAAATTCACATAGTAAATACAAAATGTTTTCTTGCTTTGGTTTATATATTCAAATAAAATATGGAGATAGTTTCCCAGGGCTATACATACGTATACATACATAAAAAAGTGGCTGCTGTTGTCGCCAAAACACATCTAGTTATGCCTTTACTCTTGGTGGCAAACATGCAAGGTGAACAAAAAACAAACAAACCAAATGTTAACTGTTGTTGGCAAGCATGCAAAACAAAACAAAACGTTTGCTGTTGTTTGGCAAACATGCAAATATATATATAAAAGAATAGAAAAACCATTAAGCGTTTTCAGTTGTGGGGAAGCATGTAAATAAAAGAAAACATTTGCTGTTGTTGGCAGAATGAAAATTTATAGGTACAAACAGACAAACAAATATTAAGTGTTTGCCACAAAACGTTTCCTGTCATTGGCAAGCATGAAAAATAAAACAGAACGTTTGCTGTCGTTGGCAAACAGGCAAAGAAAAGTGTTGTGCTGTTGTTGGCAAACTTGCGGAAGAAAAGGGTTTGCTGTTGTTGGCAAACATGCAAATATATATACATAAATAGAAAAAAAAAATAATAATAAAAATAAAAAACCAATAAGCGTTTTCAGCTGTTGGGAAGCATGTAAGTGAAACAAAACATTTTCCGTTGTTGGCAGAATGTATTTATAAGTACAAACAAACAAACAAAAATATTAGGCGTTTGCAGTTGTTGGCATAATTCCAAATAAAAAACAAAACATTTGCTGTCGTTGGCAAGCATGAAAAATAAAAAGCGTTTGCTGTTGTTGGCAAACATGAAAAATAAAAAGCGTTTACTGTTGTTGGCAAACATGCAGTAGAAAAGCGTTTGCTGTTGTTGGCAAACACGCACACTCAAAAAAAAAGCGTTTGCTATTGTTGACAAACATGCAGAAGAAAAGGGTTTGCTGTTGTTGGCAAACATGCAAAGAAAAGTGTTTGCTGTTGTTGGCAAACAAATGGCAGAAAAGCGTTTGCTGTTGTTGGCAAACCTTAAAAAAAATTGTTGCTGTTGTTGGCAAACATACAACAAAAAGCGTTTGCTGTCGTGGGCAAACATACAAAAAAAGCGTTTGCTGTTGTTGGCAAACATACAACAAAAAGCGTTTGCTGTCGTGGGCAAACATAAAAAAAAAAGAAAAAAAAACGTTTGCTGTTGTTGGCAAACAAACAACGAAAAGCGTTTGCTGTCGTGGGCAAACATACAAAAAAAAGCGTTTGCTGTTGTTGGCAAATATACAACGAAGAGTGTTTGCTGTCGTGGGCAAACATAAAAAAAATGCGTTTGCTGTTGTTGGCAAACATAAGAAAAGAAAAAAAAAACTTCTTTTCTCTTGCTTTCTCTCCCCGCTTCTCTTCATCAATAACTTCCTCCCTTAGTAAGGTTAGGGCAAGAGTCTCCTCCAGTTACAGGCTTTCTAAGTCAGTGTTTGATGGGTGTAAACATTGTCATGTTTTTTGTGGCGGGTTAAAAAAACTGAGGCAGTTTTTACCCTGGAATCAAACACCGACCATAAAATTGCGTCATTGCTCAGGCAAGACAAGGGCTGATGCACCAAAAGCCCAAAATGTTTTTCCTGAGATTAGGGTGTTGTTTATCATAACTAAGGGGCCCCCGCGATGGAATTAAATGGGAATTAATCGTTTAATTCGAGTTAATACCCGCGGGGAAAGTGCGCAGATTCCCCTTTTCTAGAATCGGGTGGTCCCACACGTATATCCTTAGTAGGCTGTGGATATCATGTTACCTTAGCTATTTGCTAATCACCTTGTGGTATTTTCTTGGTGGTCTTTTCCTGGCATATTTGTTTAAGTACAGCGATGCAGCTAGGGTCATGTCATATTTTGCAGCAAGACTCACGCGTTGTTTGTACGCGTTTTCCCCTCCCATCCCTGTCCCCTTTTACTCACTTCTCCTCCTGCTTATATCCCGTTACATACTTCCTTCTGCCTTCTCCTGTCTCACTTCTTCTCACACAGTCATTCGATTGTGTGACAGGTGTATCAGTCTGATTATCGGGGTAAAAAACTGAGGCAGTTTTTTCCCTGGAATCAAACACCGACCATAAAATTGCGTCATTGCTCAGGCAAGACAAGGGCTGATGCACCAAAAGCCCAAAATGTTTTTCCTGAGATTAGGGTGCTGTTTACCATAACTAAGGGGCCCCCGCGATGGAATTAACTGACTTTTAGCTAGTTTCTTCTTTGATGTATCCTTACCATGTGACTGAAGATACAGAAGCATGTGAAAGCAAAGTGAGACAACTTTTCGACCGGTCGCCTCAGGCGTGGGCCAAAAATAGCTCGAGAGCAAGACTGATGCGTTTGGTTGGCTTTTGTGTGATTTTACGTCTGCATATTTACGTCTCACGTGGTCTAAGAGTCAAAGTAAAAAGACAGACTCCTTCTGTTTACACAAATAATGATTTCTGTGTAGACAGACTCCAAAATCTTAATTGAGAAAATACTTTGGTTGCCCTTTGATTCTAAGTTTGTTGATCTTTTTGTGGAGTCTTAAAATTTTGCAGTACAAAAGGTTTGTTTTAAAAATAAGCCCAATTAATGCCTGTAGATGACAGCTATGCATTTTACAATAGCCTCAGTTCCCCTAAGCCCACTAGCTGATTTGCTGATTATTTTAAGAAACACTTCAAAGGATTTTAAAGCTTTTCTGGAGCTGTGGAAATAACCTAACCATTAATTTACTTGGCTTCATTCCTACTATGGCTCTTTGGCAAATTGGCTTCTTTGGTGGTCTGACATATTAATCAGCGTGCTACTCTTGATTATTAGTCTACGTCACATTCCCAAAACGGCTTTGAGAAAATAATCTGACTTGTTTCTTAGGACTCTCTTTCGTGACATGACCCAGTGTTTGCGGTCATCTCTTCTTCATTAGATCGAAAGATAATCGAGATCTTGGTGACTTTGTCCAGGTAAACAAATAACATGGGGATTGATCGTTAAGATAAAACGTCATCTCAATTAGATAGGTAATTGAAAGAGTCATGAAACAGTAACCCAGAAGTTAATGTATTTGATAGACTTAAATCTACCTGTCTTAAAACTGAAACTGACTTTGGTTATGGTCAAATTTGGTTTGCGGAGTGTGGCTAAAAACAGACCTTAATTGAACAGTTTTACATATTTGGGCCTAAATGTCTGCAGCATGCAGTTTGACTTAAAGCGAAGTGACTACGAGAGGACTCAACTGTAGTTCTCTTCTAAATCAGTTAATTCAAAAGTGTAATGAAAGTAGAGGTTGAAGTAGAGTGACAAAAGTTTTTCATTATAGTGAAAGTAAGCTTTGTTTCCTAAGCCAAATTGTCTCCTCTTTTATGCCAAGAGCCAGTTGTACCTTAAAGTTTTAGCAGCATGTGGCGAACTGGCTATAATAATGTTCACACGGGAACGATTGCGTACCGTTCCATCTCGTTTCGTTTCAAAAAGTGGAACGCCTAAGGATTGCGTTCACACGGGAACACTTGCAATCGCTTAGGGTTTGCGTCCACACGGAAACACTTTCAATCGTACCGTTCCGTACCGTTCAAAAATTTGAACGCTTTCAAAAGTGATACGAATAGGGGTACCGGTTCGCAATCGTTCTGTTCCGTTCCCGTGTGAACAAATAAACTGTTCCGAAATACGGGACGATCACTATTTCATTAAATGCTTGTATTGTTCATATGGAACCACGACCATGCGTCTTCGTAAACTCTTTGTTCAGATTCTGACACAAAAAGTGGAACGGAACGATTGCGTTCCCGTTAGGAAAAAATTTGGTACATAATCCTTCCATTCCATTGTATACAATTCATTTATTTGTTTTACTCACTGTAAACGCACTTACTTCCATCCTATCTTCTGTTTGAAAAGGTATTCTAGATGTTTTTTATCGGTTATTCCGAATTTTTAATTTTATCTTTTAGTTAACAAAACAAGTCGAAACTGACAGAGAACTGCAGAGCCAATTAATGGAAGAATTCCAAGAGCAAAGAGCCTTGATAGACGCTCTAACTGGTGTAAGATATCTTGCTGAAAATAAGAATGCTATTTCCAAAACATAGCCTTTTGATACATTTTTTAATCTTGATGAACTGCTAGACTTATGCACAATGATGCCTAAACTTAGTTGAATGTATAATGACATTATATGGCTCCAACGCACTTTGCATTGTGGGATTCGCAGTGACGCAGCCTCTTTTTATCCTTGCCTCGTGTTCCTGCAGCCTCTTTTTATACTTGCCCAGTGGCAGTTTTAAGCAGGGTCCAGGGGGCCATGATCCCAGGCCCCGCTCTTATAGTAGAAATTGTAAAGAGCAAGGGCCCCACAGATGTTTTTGGCCCCGGACCCCCCAGTCTCTAGAACCGCCACTGTCCTTGCCTCATATAATACCCATCATTCAGCAGTGGCCAGATGGTTAAAGCGCTTGACTGCATTGCAGATGATTGCTGCTGATGGATTTCCATTAGCAATATTTGGGAGGTTGAAGGCTGCGGGAAAAAGTGGGCCATCCTACATTTTCCTTGAGTCTTGCGATGAAAACATTGAGGACCATGGCGATGAAAAGGATTTTATCTGGTGCCATGAAAGGGCTATCTGCAACCAAAACAGGTTGGATCGCTGCAATATTCACGTCCAAATGATGAACACCCCAGGTTTTGGCTGTCGCCACATCCCCCCCCCCTCCCTTACAATGTTGATTCCTTTATTAGAAGTTCGATTGTCAATGACAATCATGCAAAATTTTTATTAACCAAAAACGTAGTGGGTTGAAGGAACAACTTTTAAAAATGTGAAGGTTTTCTATAGGTGTTGTATCAAGTTTGACAGACCATAACTACTCAATCTTGTTATATATAACTTCATGTTTTGATAAGAACAATCTTATCCAAACTAGGATTTGATATGTTCCCAAGAAGAAAATGAGCTGTTGAAAGACGAGCTTGAGAAGGTTAAGTCAAATACAAGCGAGGAACTATCAAAAATTAAGGTAGAAACATTTCTGTTTTCTTTCTTTCGATCGTTATAAGTGTAAATATTGGTTTAGGCTGGTATTATGATAAATTGATTTTTATAGAGAGATCTTCAATTTAAATGTTGCTGATAGATAAACAACGAAATTAATCGCTTGTCAGAATAAAGCACTTCTATTAAATTCCTCTAATTTATATGATCCTTCAAGACATTCACAATATTTTTCGAGTTATAAAGATGTTTATGTATTGTAATATTTCAGATTGCAATTGAGGCTGCCTTAAGACGCCACTCATCAAGTGTACCCTCTGCACATACTCTCAGAAGCGCAGTGGCTGTAACTATAGCCCCCTCCCCCAAAGCATACACTACTTACTCTGCCAAGGAGAGCCCGCAAGAGATAAGGGCCTCCTCACACCTCCCCCTTTCCTTCCTAGAATCTGTACTCGGTCTAGAGAAATGTCAATACGTAGTACACTGATTTCTGTTTCAGAAAGAGCTACATGCTTTGGCTTTGGTAAAGCCCCAGTCCCCAAAAGGTAAGTTAAAGTGATTTTCCTAACGCTACACCTTGAAGATTAACGGTATAGACGTTCTTGTTGTGCCACTGTAACGCCAAGGGCATCTTGTTATGTCATTAAAGGGGCGTTCATTCTAGACGGCCTTTAAAAAGGGAACGTTTACTCTAAGTTCAACATTATCAGACAAAGACCTCTAGAATTTCTGCTAAATTGCTTTTTAGACTTTCTGCTACTAGTTATTTGCCCATTGACTTCTGGAGGAGCCAGCACATATCTAGAAATTGGACGCCACGCTTTCGAATTCTACAATAAATCCAATTTTTAATATATGCAAATAGTCAATTAAATATCTGTCTGGATTAGTGTCTGAATTGGAAAAAGATCATAATTTAAAGTATTTTTAATCTTCCTGTTGACCAGTGAGATAAAGCAAATAAAAGAGATGCGATGGGTGTGGAGAAGCATTCTTTATCACCCCCTTTTCTGGAGACTTGATTCCGGATCAAATCAGAAAAGATCGTTATCTGTCACATCTATCAAGCTTTCTGGACAAATGATGTCCTCGTTTCTATTTTAGTACCTATAACATGCCAAAAAAATCCAAGAGCTTGAAATAGAGGCATTATATTTGCGATTGAGGATTGTTCACAAAAACCGGAGTTTCCCAGGGTTTCCGGCATTCTTTTTATTGGATTTATTTTCGTTAAATTCATTACAATGTGATGCACAATGTGTTATATGCTTTTAAGCCATTGAAATTTTGATCAGTCATGACTCAAATCGCTACCGCTTCTTGTTAGTTTGCAATAAAAAGGAAATTGAACAGGAAGCTAGTTAATGAAACAGGCATGCAAAGAAAAAATCTGATCTAAATTCAATTTTAAAATCCTGTAATGTTTTCTGTTGGTCAGCTGTCTCTTACTTAGAAACTAATAAACATCAAGGCTAGGTTTAGTTCACACAGTAAGGAATCCAATCATGTCGGATTCATCAACCCTATGTGATCAGAAAATTAATCCTAGTCCCCTCGATATAAGATTAATTCCCATTTTGGTTACGTCATATTTACAAAATTGTGCTGCGAGCATATCGCTGTCAAGCATTTTAGCAAACTCGATGAAGAGGGTTTTTATTGCTTCCACGTGAGTAGATTTTGCCTCCTGTGAGTAATCAAAAGGGTTTCCAGAGCTTTCAAGAGAGGCTCAGGTGCTCAGACAAGCAAATTTCCCATCAGTATGTTGTTTGTAATTTGTTTTTTCATTGCGAAAGGTAACGCCGGTTTTCAAGGTTCAATTTAATCAGTCCCGATATTATTTGTTTACTTCAATATTGATCTTACTGCTAGAAAACATTTGTTTTCTTGTCGCACATTAAAGAAATCGTCGCCATTTTTTATGGACGTGGGAGCATAAATGAAAGTATTTTGGAAAAGAAATTAATGATAAAAATTGACAAAGTTCTTCGGTGTTTCAAGGACATTTAACAGAATTCGAAAGTAGTTCATACAATATTCGCTAATCTTTGTATTGCTTCAGGGCCTTTTTTAACATGCTAGCTAGAGGGGCCACAGCTTCTCCAGCCGCAGAGATGTTGCTTTGTTTCAAGCAATTTACTATTGTCTCTCGTTTATAAAGAAAGCGATTAGGCCCAGCCAGATGTATTGTCATCATACAAATCTCTAGCTGTCCCGTTCCTATTTTCTTCACATTTTCGATTCACCTCTTGTCCACAACATCTCATAAATTCATTTTTCTTTTCCACCTCTAGAATCTTCTTCTGTGTTTTTGTACTTTAAGAATAAAAGTTGTCTTGATGAAAGGCTGCTACAGTTGATTTATGCTTCACCTTTGAACTTAATTTTGCTGTTGTCTTTTTGTTTGCTTTTCACCTTGATGCTTTCATTCTTTATTTTTTTCAGATGATGAAACCTAGTTTAACCTATCAAGTCGGAATTCAAGACAAAGAATGGTATTAGCAATCTTATTTCCTCTATCTCCGTCTCATTTAAATGCCCTGACTTGATTTCTGCGTAGAATTCTGTCACGCTTCCTTTCATAGAACATACCAGACTGGAAAACTAGCCGCTGGAAAGCTGGAAAGCTTGCTACAAGACAGTATCAAGACAATTGTCTTGACGATTTATGCAAGAACCTCCTACCCTATTGCGCTGCGCAACTACTGATTGGTTTTTGTATGACGTTTTCCCTTTCATTGTCTTTGATACTCCCTCAAGGAGACCTGTTGGCTGCAATTCTGTCTGAAATACGTCCTTGGTGGCATAGCTTTAACGCTGATTTTGTTGAAGATGTTTAAATGATAATGATTTTCTTATACTTGCCAGCGAAGTTATTAAGTAGAAAGCCCCTGGTAACTTCAACTGACTACACCCTATATTCTCCGTTTGAAACGTTTTCTGCTTCAGAAAAAAACAATTCTTACCTGCATCGTTTCAGTTACTTAAAACCCCTCTGAGTCACCATTTTCACTGATAAAAGGCTAAAACTCGATTTGTTTTTCCGGATATTATGCGTAAACAAGATAATCCTTTTTGATTCTCAATCTATTTCAGCCGCCAAGAATTTGATGAGAATGGGAAGTATGTTATGTTAAGAAAGTTTGCGAAACCAAAATGCACCCATATCTACATTATCCTATTACTTAAGTATTTTGACATTTCTTGGTTTGCAGCAGCCAGCCTTTGAGACTTTCTTGCTAACTGAAGTAGTTAAAAGAAGTATTTTCCAATAGTGCTGCTAAGGAAAGGGTACGTTTTCTCGGTAGACCAGGGCCTATGTGTCCCAAAATAAGATTCAAAGAAGTTGCATTTTGTAGAAACGGCTCATAGCTTCTGTGAACAAAGAAGTTACAGGCATTTTTATAGAAGTAGTTTTCTAGTCAACAATCAAATGTTGCCTCAAAGATTTCCTGCAAGTGACCCCTGAACCCCTACTTCGTAGGTAACAGTGCTCAAGAATTTGTGATCTTAACGGGGCTAGGTTAGACGTAAAACGTGATATTGGTGTTGTTGTTTGGGGACTTTTCTTGACTATGATGACCTCTTTCTTTGACAATCTCTCTCTTTTCTTAGATTATCAAGATCAGATCCCCACAATCCATTGCGGTTTTTTGGAGCCAGCTTTCGAGTTCTTATCAAAATTGTCATAGCAACTTTGATAAAAAGATGAGCAGTCTTGTGTGGAGCCCTTGATACTGTCCATTCCATTGTAAATGTTCACCTTGTGACGTTTTAAGGCAGCCCTTCATCTGTATTTTAGAAAAAAGTTTTAGAAATCGAATTCAACAGTCGTCATAACAACTGTATAATACAGAAATTGTTAAAATAAACACAGCGCTGTGATAAAGTGAAGCAATCTTTTTTACTCATCTTTTTACTCATGTTATGTTGTGTTATGTTATGTTATGTTATGTTATGTTATGTTATGTTATGTTATGTTATGTTATGTTATGTTATGTTATGTTATGTTGTGTTATGTTGTGTTATGTTATGTTATGCTATGCTATGTTATGTTATGTTATGTTATGTTATGTTATGTTATGTTATGTTATGTTATGTTATGTTATGTTACAATGGGTGGCGCCATAAGGGGGCTGGGGTTTCAGCCCACCCAAACTTTTTTGCAAAAAGTATTTTTAAGAAAACAAAAAGAATAAAAGAAAAGAAATATAAGTAAAGAATTGTGCAATAAATCCTGCTATTGCTTAATTTCCCAGGAATATAGGGCCTTATAAAGTACAAGCTTATTTAAAGGGTGTGGTCGCCAAAATGTTCTGCTCGATCCGCTCGCAGGAAAGCCTCTTCTTTCCGATGTACCTAGGACCGCCGAAAATTGACCGCCGGCCCATCCAATGTACCGTTAGCATATAACATTGCCCCATAAAATCATAGGCACAAAATATCGTGATACATTTTGGTGCATCTTTCCAATAATTGTTTTTTAGTCTAATAAGGCTATCGAGCCCCCCCCCCTCCACTTTGAATTTCTTGGCACCGCCCCTGGTTGCGTTTTTGGATTTATTTATGTTAGGCAATTTATATTGCATGGAAACCCTGGAGCAATATTTTGTTTCAAAGTAGAGAATCCAAAAACATACAAAGACTAGAGAAATTTATGATGAACCAGTTTCATAGATATACTTTATATCATATTTATGTGTACGTTTCAAATTATTCCTCGTGATTTGTTGGATTTAAATCTTAAATTACAGGAGTGTGATAACACAGAAATAGCGCTGATCTCCTTCACAGTGATATGGGGCGGCCCAAAATATAGATCATCCTCCAGACAAACGGTTTTCTTCCATTAAAGGACTTGTAGCTTTGGTTTTCGTCGTCTTCTACTTGTTTTTGTATGAATTTCTCAGATTCCACGCGTGACTCAGCTTGTGGATAAAAGTATAATCGAAATGGCAGGTGATCTGGTCATAGTCTGAGATTTGCTGCAGATTTAGATCCCAAATCTAACTTAAATAGTTGTGAGAACTTTTAACCTTTCATGTTTACAACTAAGTCTCAACTACGTTATATTCATTCGGTCTTATCTCTCTTCTTTGACTGGTTGGGACAGTTGCAAATTTATTGGGACGCACGCGACAACACCCTAGAATAGCGCTGATGCACGCTTTTTCCGTCTTTGTCGTCATAACAACCTAGTCATTTCAAGCCCAGTCCCTTTCGATTGGTGAATAAATTGAACGCTTCCAAATTTCTTTATTCCTTTAGGTTCTGCCTTATTCTAAAAAAGTCTTTGTTGTCGTTTTATGCCAAGCATAACGTTTGGTCTTTAATTTTTCTTAGTATGTTTTCGCTACATCTCGTTTCTTCAAAAATTCATTTTCTAATGCATCGAAATCGTCAAACAAGGCTAAAAGATCTTGTGTTCAAAAATGGCTCTCCCTTCCTGCAACTTGCCTGAAATTTTTAAGAAGGAGGAATTTTTACCACTATTCTTATTTTGGTTACCTCTGTTTCTTGGCTTTATAGGGCCTACTCCTCCCTTCCCTTCCATCATCAGCCAGAAACGACCGCTGATTGTATCCCACGACCTCGAAGACTGAAATGTTTTCAAAGACCAGGAGACAAAAGTTCGACAAATTTAACAACATTAAAAGAATTTGAGTGGAACTCGTAAAACCTTATGTTAAATCAGGCGTGTGTGTTTCTCTACATATGATTATTGTGGTTATCCAAGAGACAAAATACTGATTATAATAGAGAACAACTGGTTGTTCGATTTCCATTGGCTTTTTGTTATCCCCTGCACGATGCACAACTACTCTTTCTCGTGGTCAAAGTAGAGGCCTTTGCCCTTGACCGCGGCGGCCCCTGGAAACAACTCCTGTAAATACATGACCATTAGAACGGACGTAGTAGTTTAAAAATGTTTGGTTCATTTTTCACAACCCTTGAGATTCCAGGCATCCTATTATTGACATTTTTTCCGATATATCTTTCTACTAGTATATTGACTTTCGTTTTCACTTTAGGGTACTTTAGGGTGCATCCATTTTGGGGACAATGGGCGTGGGTACATACAAAGGCCGTCAACAACATTTACAAATTGTTTTCCTCATAAATAGAAATCCGAATTTCGTTGTAAACAGCTTTTGTCTTCGTAGCCTCTACAAAGAGATTATCAATTGTAAATTGAAACTAGAACACTCTATGACTTAATTTTGTTGTATACAGAACGTGTTTTATTTATCGTAAACACAAACTGCTGTGGGAGTTCACATCACGCCATACATAAGAATCTGGGTTTGCAGCGAGAAGTTATTTGACAAGTTGTACAGGTATGCAAAACAAAATGTGTACATTTTATTAGGAACTGTTTTATCTTCAATATGATAAGTGTAAAAGTTTTTTATGAACAGTTATCTCATGAACCTTGGTTTCTGTGTCGTGGTCAAATTATTTTAGTTAACTAGGCCATTTAAACAAGTTGGAAAGTGATACAAGGTGTTTAATACATTTTATCTTTGTTATTGCCTTTCGAGACTTTTATGACAGTGAAAATTTACAATACCTGAGTATTTCGAGCCTATCTTGCTTTTGAAGAGGCACTTTCTGTACCTCGATGTATAATAGATGTTTTTAAAATGCATACAGTCAAGCTTTTCAATTTTTGCTAGGGCACACCCGTTACACTTTTCCTTGTTTGTTCGCTGCCATATTTCAACTTTATGTCTAGCTAAATTCTTTCAGACATTAGGCCTAGCTTTATAATTTCTTTATGCCGTACAATATTGGTTTTGTGATTTTTTTAAATAAACAATCTCTTGCGCACTTTTGTTCGATATTTTTCGTTGGTTACAACTAAGGTTTAGATTTTAGGGAATTTTTCGTTTCCAGCATTTACCTACACTTGATTTTGATAGTGTTTGAGTGGTTTGAACATACCTCGACTATTTTTCAACATATATATTTAAGCTACAAAACTCTAGAGAATGTCCCACTTTTAGACGTTGGGCCCGGCTCGTGGGCTCGTTTAAAAGTACCCTCATGGCTCGTGTCATTTGATCGAGCACACGACGATTTTTTTCCACCTTCATTTTTTCTTTTAGCTTTCCAGCCCCGTGTGGCTGGTTCATTTGCGATTCCGAAAGTAATATCCCACTCAAAAGCTTCCTGATTTCTGGATTTTTCCCAAATAATCAATTTTCCATTTTATTTGCACTCAAGTTTTCAGGTTGTTCGCTTGAGTAAGACAAATACATAGTTATTTTCTCTAGCCTATGTATAAACAATAGTCTTCTTTGAAAATACCGTTTTCTTTATCGTGTTTTCAAATTCTGGAATTTCTCGGATTCAGCTGAAAGTCGAAAAACAAGTTACTTTCCTCCACGTAAACCATTTCGCTGCCCCGCAGTAGTAAGTTACGTGGAAATTATGCAATTGTAAATCCAAATTTTGGCATTAACTCAGTGGCGAAATTATGGTGGTTTGGGGGGGGGGCTCAGGCCTTTGGGCTTTCGTTGGATAATTAACAACCGTTTAATGTGTCGAAATTGCTCCAAAAAATCGTTTTGAAAAGGAATTTAAAGCTAATTTAAGGGGTGTAATTGCCAAATTTTCTGCTCGCTTCTCTCGCAGGTGATCTGCCTTTCCCCCTCTTTACCCCAGGGGCCTCTATAACTTCTCTATGCCCTTTTTGCAAAATATGAACATAGCATAGCTGATAAAATATTAGTAAGTATTAAATAATCACTCAAACAATGTATGGCCAAAATCAAAACTGCTTGCGAATTTTTTTCAATTCCCTGAAAATTAGCCGAAATTTCCATCGTATTCTTCCGAATAAAAGTTATTTTCAAACGTATTTCTCACTGACTAAAGCAAAATAAAATGCATAAAATGAAGGTACGACTTGTCAAAAGTGTAATCGGTCGACCTCTTGTATCATCAATTGTCTTAGATATCGATCTTGATATCAATAATCATAAATGGATTGTTCTTCTTGCTACTTAATTATGGCGTGGTCAGCAAAGATTTCTAAAGGGTCTCATCAAAAAATCATCTATTTTTATCAAAATGTGCAGTTCCTTTGAAATTAGACATGATCCAAGATGTTATCTTGTAGGAAAATCGTAGTCCTGCCCCCCCCCCCGCCCCTCAAAATTAAAGCCTGAATTTCCGCCACTAATGTAAAGTCTGGGGTGAACCTGTAAGGATTACAAAGAAAAGTTGTCTAAATCTGGCTATTTTAGTGGATGGGCAAGTGGAGTGAATGTTCAACATATTTTGTTTGATCAGCCTTTCCGCTTCTATTTCTCATACAAAAACATTAGATTTGGTTATAGATATTTTTAGTCACGTGTCTTGGGAACGGACTGCCAAACAAACCCTATTATTTCTTTCACTGACTGATGAGAATGGCTGGAAAGATCACAATAGGCTAACAGTCATGGTCAAAATTGCTTCAGTAGGTTATCAGTTAACCTTACATAATTATTCCTTGATTTTCAAAGGCTTTCCTTCCTATAAGGGGTCCTGTATTTAGGTTTGAGGACAATAAAAATTTTCTAAAGCTTCTAAAATTTTAAATGCTTTTCAGAAAAATTAATTTGCCCATTAATTACTGTTTTTGTAATTATTACTTTATTCAAACTTTTATAATTCTTCAGGTACGGATCTAGCCAAAATTTTGACCGGTTTTGGGATGCTTTACCCCGTTACAGCCCTGTGTGTTATTGGTCAATAAATATCGCTTAAAGTTGCTAATGAGGTCAGCAACTTTTCAGGGTGATTAATTTGCCCACACTTTATCCAAAATGTCACAATTTTACTCCGTTTAGCATGGCCTTTAATCCTCGTCTTGCAACTTCGATTCTAGTTTTCATGAATTTTTTGATTCTAGTTTTCGAGAAAGAATTTCTAGTCCCTTAATACAAAACCTCAGATTCTTATTTGCATCCGTATTTAATTTGGTATCATTTTGTTTTAAAGCGTCCACACTTTCGAGCTATGGATATCGATATCGAATATGCTTTTTAGCCACCAGTTTTTTCGCATAAGGGAAACATATGGGCACCGGTTTTCACAGGTTTCATAAAACATAAAACGCGCAATGATAGCATACTCCAGACTGTCACTTCCACTCGGAAACTTTGGGATAAAAAATGAATTAGGAAGCTGGAAACGCTGTCCGAATCTTGTGGGGGTTCAGTTCAGTATGTAAACAGTATGTAAACAGAAAAACTGTAGTCAGTCAGGGAGAAATGCAGCATTTGTTACAATTGAAATTTTAGATCAAAAATTCAAGATTTACAGAGAAACATAGCTTTTCAAATTTGACCGATTTTTTGAAACCTGTGCAACCGGTCTAGATCTGCGTCTGTTCTTAATGTCTTTTGAACAAATAGTGAATATTTAGCCAAATTTTTTGTTATGAAATACGTGTGAACTATTGATGTTCTTGTCTTTGTTTCTTTCTGTCATGCCCCCGCAGAATGTTCACTTGCAATTTGAGCAAAAAAATTTAAAGGACTAGGATATTGACACAATTTAACGTGTTAGTATTGTCACAAATAAATGGCTGTGCCTAAAGTCAATTCTTAGATCCATCCCTTATAATCCCGGACAGGCAGGGGCGTAGTGATAGTGGGGCTCAGAGGGGCCAAACCCCCTTTTTATGCCCTAAATTAGGTTATTTCTAGTTATGCTATTGTTTTAGCAATATTTTGTACAAGAAGGCCCCTTGTTATTTTGTTATCACTACACTACCACGACAACGTTCCTCATTTCAATGTTGTTATGTATGCAACTAATCATATCTATGAAATTAAAACACGCGTTTCAACTTTTGTAACAGAACACGTGCTTGCAGTCACATGTTATTTCCTTCCGTTGTGGCTCACAATGTTCATTTATATCAGACAACCATTTTATAAATAGTGAAAGATTAAATTTTCAGTTTAATTGTTTCTTCCCCTTTCATCTTTTCCAAATTTGCTAAAAATTTAGCTATGGCAGGAGCGGCTTTAGCGCCTGCGGGGCCCGGTGCCCTTATTATATACAATTTCTATCTTGTTTCTAAGGTGCAGGGCCTCTTTTTGGCTGCCCTGAACCCCACTCCCTAGAACCATTCACTCAGCCATTGCTATGAAGGTAATAAGCTATCGGTCTGATTGTCAGGAAATGAGTAGAAGTAGATTCGAGGTGAGAGAACGTGGTTAATATTGCAGCATTCATTAGTACCAGACCATTGTCACATTCAAAACGTAACAATGCCTTCTCCAAAGTTGACTTCTTTTATTTAGGTTTTTTTAGTTCTTCGTAATCAATATAAAACTTTCAATTGAACAGGAAGTCTCAAACAAAAAGGCAAATGTAACTTCATTAAAGGGAATCCAATTATTTTGATCATAAGGAAGAAGGTGTGGTCTTCGAGCTCTTGGAATGCAAACTTGACCGAGGAAACGAATTCTTGGCAAGTTTTCGTCTTTTTGGCTTTCTTCTTTAAATCATTATTTCTGTCGATTAAAGCCCTAATATCAAGGGTTTGAACTTCTTTATTAATTCAAAGGAGGTTGCGCACAATAAATATCCTTTACACCTGGTTTTTTTCCATTGTACTGCCAGACGTCGAAATTTTTGTACGAAATGGATGTTAGGTTATTTCCTTTTGGAATATTGCGTTCTTAGGTCGTTCAAGAAAAAGCCCTAGCGTAGAAAAATCATAAAAGCATTTCCAAGGAAGGATATTCCCATGCCGTCCAAATTCCACGAAAATTGTTTTTCTATTGCACTAGGAAAAAATGTTACAAGGGGAGGTGGATCGTTTCTGTCTAATCCTAAGGGGCCAAATAAGCCCAACCTTAACCTTACTATAAACAAGGTCAGTGCCAATCATTAGGGAATATTCAGAAATGGGAGATTGTGGGTTAAATTACTCTATTATAAACCCATTTCTATAAAAAAGAAAGATCTACATTGAGTACTTCAATTTCTTACATTTTTGGGGATTTGAATACGTACTGTTTCTCGAGGGTTTCCTAGTTATGACGTCATTTATTTTAGAATCAGGTTTTTGTTGATCCTAGGACTGTAGGACGGCATGTCGTGAAGAAATTATGATGCCCACAACCATAAGTGCGTAAGTCTTACGCCCTTTGCCCTGACCCGTTGCATTGACTCATCCGAGTCAAAACACATCAGATAAGTGCGGAACCCTTGCCGATGTTTTTATGCTTCTTTGAAGATTTCTTTTGAAGATTATTGCAAAGTTAAAGTCCTCTCACGTCCTGATGGCCCGCCCATATGTGTACTAAATATGATCAAAATTCCATTCACAATCAAACCATACCCACTAAATTGCTTAGCAAGTATTCCACAATTCTTAGAACATAATTACTTGATATGAGAAATATTCTATATTTTGTCGTAAACAAGCTCAGGGTCCAACGCGTTGAGTTTTTTTAGCTTCTTGAGTTGTTTTTCTCGAGAGATTGGCTTTCGGGTTGACACATAGGCTGCGTGAAGTCCTTGTTGGAAGGACCGTTTTACGGTGCCCTACTCTTCTAGAGGAATAGCTTTTAGTATGTTCTATTGCCGTATTTCCTCTAAAAAACGCCGCGGCATTTATTACGATATCCAAGTATTGGATGCAGCGTTTAGTAGAGGGTGGTGTTTAATAAAAAATGAAAAGTGTGTGTCAAATGAAACATAATAAGAAAAGTGCGATAAAAAAGATAAAAACAAACTTCAAACAATGTGTTCCTTTCCCAAAAAACACATAGTAAAGGTTGTATGAAGAATTTTTTAATGTTCACAAATAATGTTCACGTTAAGGAAATGTCATGGAATGTCAAGATCGATGTCTCAATCAGATTCCTCGTGCTAATGACAAAAAAATTTCATAGCTTTCGAAAAAGTAAGCGTATAAATTATTCGTTTTTTCTTGCAGAGGTGGCGCCAGAAATCTTCCGATAGAGGGTCTGGAGCTTCCGACAGGGGGGCTAAAATGACTAAATTAAGCAGTTTTCGTACGTTATTTTGTCAAATTTGCTCCGACAAAAGCCTAAAATTTCCTCCGATGGGGGGCTAGATGATTCCGACGGAGGGGCTGTAGCCCCCCCTAGCCCTCCCCTGGCGCCACCACTGATTTCTTGCTTGGTCTGTTTTCTAATGTACGCAGCTTTCTCAGATGCGGCGTTTAAAAAAGGGTGGCATTTATTACAATTTCTTGGCTGAAAGTTCAGCGTTCAATATGAGGCCGCGTTTATCAGAGGGCGGCTTTCTTTAGAGGAAATATTGTATTGAATTGATTTTATAGATGGTAAATGTAGATCGGGACAAGCACATTCTATAGTTGCTCTCGGTTACTGTTTGGGGCTACCACCCTCTGCTGCCAGGGGTGGGAAAATTTTCAAATGTTGATTCTTCCAGCGGGCTCAAAAAGGCACCCCTTGAAGCAATTTTACTGATACCGTCTTTCTCTTGAAATTTAAATCTAATCTACGGACTGAAAAGTATTTGATGGTTTTAGTCGATTTCCTGGTGTCGCTGTTATACGCTTTAGCTTATACAACCTAATTCCAATTGACTTTTCTTCAGAAACAGCAAATTCTCTCATATCCCTTTCTCTCGTATATTGTAACTATTCTGATTGGTTGAGAGTTACACGTAACTTGTTTTGGATGTTGCACCCTGCTTAAAATTCAGGTCAATGCAGATTTATTTCCTTTTGTTGGTGTATTTATAGGAATTATCCCACGTTTTCACAATTTTCTCGCGGTTATTGCAACAACGTAGGACCACAGATTTTTTTCTCTAGCTTGGCTGATCTGTACAGACTGCTAGAAGGCCTTGAAGAGAAGCCTAACGGACGGTCACATTGAAAATCTGACGAATAGCTCCGCAGTCGTGATCCATGGATTGTTGTGTCGCTGGGTAGCTGGATCGCATTTTGGGTTGTATACCTTGGATACCAGAGCCTCAAGAAACCGATGCTACGGTTATAAATCACATTCCTGAAACTAAAGCCCGCCGCTTAAGAGACAGAGACAAGTAGACATTGAGCGGTCAATGAGCCATTCTGTAAAAATCAAAAATTGCGTCAAAAACGAAGGAGCTCAGTTCCCTGTGGCTTCTGCCCAGTACCCAATTGTCCCAAGATCTATGCTTCACATATGAAAATCTGCCATGTGAGGACTACTCGGAAACAAAAATCTTCAACTTTTAAAGACAACAATCTGCCGAGACACTTACACCCGTCCGTCTCCTTGCTCATTTCCTGAATTTTTAGAAACAGTTAGAACTCTCGGAATTACGTAAGATTATCTGCAAATTATTCGTTTTGCTTCCTATTCACTCGCCATATTTGAGCCACATGCAACATTCGGGTTTGTATATCCAAGGTCAGGAAATTCTAATAAAGTTGAAGAAGCAATGGCTGATAATGGGATAATGGCGAAATATTTTCTTTCAGAGTTTATTGGTTTGGGGGATTTTTCTTATGCCCATTGCCCCCCCCCCCCATTTTCGTTGGAGGCCATGTAGGTTGCAGTAAAAGCTAGTTTGTGTTTCAGGCCCCTTCTTTTAAGACATACACACAGGGGCGAAACTACTGGGGGGGGTATGGGGGGGGTGCTGCACCCCTCCAATCTTCAAAAAAGCAGATTTTGTCGGGCAAATTTATGGCTGCTAGTGTATCTGTCGGGCAAATCTGGAAATTTTCTTTAGGTCGCACTTTTATTGCTACTTTTTGCCCTAGGTTGGCTTTTTAATTCATGGTCTTTTCCCCCATCTTTTTTTCAATCTCCTCCCAGTTGGGGAAACAAAACAGAAAGGAGGCAAGAAACAGCAACATATATACATTTCTGTCTTTCGTCCGTCCACTGATCAGCGCTTTCGTCTGGAGCTCAACGCGCACATGTTTATCTTCGCCTCGAGATGAAGTCTGAAGTATTGATCGACAGCAAAAGTATAGACAGAAAGTAAAGTGTGTTTGATGCGAGAAGGAAATGAACACTGTGTATACCCCTCCCCCCTACTTTTTGCAAAACAAGTGAGCTTTTTTCAAAATCTTTTGTTGTGATTTCTAAATTTTCTCTTGAAAAGCCCCCCCTCCCCTCAACTTTCCATCCTGCCTCGGAGCCCATAGAACACTGACAGTTTTAGAAGCATCATGAATCAAAGCATGAAGGATATACCATCTCGGAATACGTTGTTGAGAAAATCAATCAATATTTTCTTTTCCAAATGTATGAAACTTTCATTCATGAAATCAATCATGTTTTAGAAATTTAGGTCAGGACATTTGAAGAAGACATCATTTGGGTTTTTAAACATTTCATAACATCAACAGGAACATAATAAAACTATTTACAATAAACATGATCAAACGTGAACACCTTTTCATTACAACGTGGCGTGAACAACTGACTAATGCAACTTCGAGGTCTAGGAACGAGTGAAGGATTAACCGCGTGCTGCTCCTTCACAACAATACATCCATAAGGAGTTATGCCCCAAAATTCTCTTAAGGTTTTACACTTACGGTTCGAAAGTATTGCACCCTTCGCTAGAAAATAGTCATACAGACGCCAAAGTTTTTTAACTAAAAAAATATGAATAACCATAACAAGTAACAGAAAGTTTTTATCAGTTCAAGCGGGAAGTAGTATAAAATTTATCAAGAAATTGTAGTTAAGATATGAATTGCAAAAAATCTTTCGAGTTTATTCTATTTCTGAACAATATCCCTACTTCAATCTCTTTTTTGAATTGCTCTCTTAATAGCTAGGTGATTTAGAAAGTGAAGACTTTTTTTATAGAAAAGACAGGCCTTACAAATGCTTGCTTATCGGAAACAAATGTTTATAGCCAACACCAGAAAAACTAGAGGCATATTTTTTGACTCAAAACAAACAGCCTGAGTCTAAAGACCCTCTCTCGGGCTTCCCCATGATTTCAGCCCTTGAGGCGATGTGCTCTAAAAATGAAGTTCATGTAGGACACGCCCTTTAATCAAGCATGCCACGCCCTTTAGTCGGGCAACTAAGCTTCATACCCCCCTAATGAAAATAGTTAAGTTTCGCCCCTGCATACACAGTCTAGTAAAGGCCTGCAAGAACTCGTGTGCTAAGAGCCTCAAGCCATCAACTTTACCGAAATCATTATTATGATATTGATTTTCTGATTGTTGTTGAGGGAGGGGCAGACGGTGAGAATTTACAGCCTCGAGATCTTGCCATATTTTTTTGATACGATTTTTTCTAGGCCCTATGTCAAGAATCTACACCATGTGTTACTTTTCTTGAAGTTGCCTTATATTAAACTTCACCCAAACCAAAGTATTTATGTACCCCATGTATTCAAAGACGAAGGTTCTCACATTTCTTTCTTTTACAGTTTGCACATATCCTCGTCTTGTGTAACATTGTCATGGAAAATAATCTCAGCAATAAACAGGGGTGTTGTTCGACATCAGTATTCTTATTCTCAAGTCAAACAATTTGTAAGAAATGGTATTTTTTTCTATCTAGAAACGAAATGAGCAGTAGACAGTAAAGGCTTGGGCTCACGAAGGCTTTTGGAATGTTACGCGTATGTGTTGTAGGAAGTGGAGGAGTTGGGAAAAGTTGTGTCACTCTTAGATTTTTAAAAGATGAATTCACAGAGGTTTGTAGCTGCAATTTTTTTAAAATCATTGAATACTGAATCTCTTTTTCAAGAAATTTTAAGGGCAAAGATATTGCAATAGACAGATTTTATGCATCCTCACGGGAAAATCTTCCTTTCATAAGGTTGGGGCGTCTACTTCTGACAGAACAGCGAAAAATAATGTTTTGAAGAAATTCCATGATATTTTCCTAAGACAAATTTTTAGTTACCATAGCAGCAGCCCTAGCTTATGCTTTCTGAAGTCTGTTTTTAACCAAAAGTTTTTAACCGATAATCCTTGTGTATAAATTGCTCACATGTAGTAGAGCTTTTAGCATAACATCTTCAGCAGTGGCGGCGCCAGCCACTAGGCTCTGGGGGGGGGGGGGTACAAAGAGAAAAAAATTAGGCCACACGCTTTATTAGCGTCCGAATCTTTTACCAAAAAGGAACGCCAATTTTACGCGAAGGGACGCCCTTTAGTAAAATTTGATTACGTAAGGTCAGTTTCAAAATCATAGAATTACATCACAAAAAGTACATTGCCATAATGTTGCCCAAACATTTTCTCATCGAATCTAGACGAAATGCAATATTCATCCTGCCGAGAAATGGGGGGAGGGACGTGTACCCCCCGTTACGCTTATGTGGGCTTGTTTTCTAGAAGTGCAACCAAATGTAGGTAGAGGCGGCACCAAGAGGGTTTGGGAGAGAGGGGGTACTTATCTGAACTGAAGGTAACCTACTTCATTGTTCTATGATAAGATAAACGCATTAGGTAGAGATGTTTCTACATAAGACCTTATCATTGAAATGGGACAGAAACCTGGCTTTCTGCGATAAACTAGTCATGGAGCAAAATGATTGCGCCAGTTGCCTCCTGCACTGGGTTTTAGAGTCTCAAAGAGGATTCGAATACAACAGTCGAAGAGTGGCTTCAAACCTCTTTTCTCCCTTATGGCCCTCCTTTGTTCGACATAACACTTTCACAGACGCTCTGGTACTCAGGGCCGCCAAGAGGGGGGTGCAAGAGGACAAACTCCCTCAGGGCCTCGAGGTCTAGGGGCCACATAAAGAAATGATTTAAATTTTAAGAATATAATTAATTAAACAAAGCAAATGTATGCCCAAAAATAGCAAAACATTTTAAACAAATTCAGGAAAATGACTGCAAAAAACGTTCAGAAATAAATTTTAAGAAAATCTGATGGGCGTGGTCGCAAAAGATTTTTTCGCGGAAAACTCTGAGCACCCTTCTGGAAAAAATGGTAATATATGTGTTTTGTCACCATAACTACCACTGCAAATATCTGCAAAAACATTTTCATAGACTTGTCATCATCTTAGAAACAACTATTTGAAGTTATCAATGATACCAAAAATTGTAATGTTAGTTTTATTTTTCAGTTTGAAAATTATTTTGCTTTTATAAGTGGGTGATATTTCGACACCATCTGAAAAACCATAATTTTCATTTAAATCTTTAATGATTGTGTGCATGTCATTGTAAGTGATAAATTTCATATCCAGCTTTTGTGATGTTTCATATTTTTTTATTGTAAAAACTGTTTCGCAATTTGTATCCAATAATGATTGCAAGCTGGCGGGCTGTATCTATGTAAGCTGTTCTCTGTGCAAATTTTTATCATCCCCTGATGTTAAAGACTCATTGCTAACAATGAGCCTTTGCGACAGTGGTAAATTATCCAGGCGACAATCCAAACAATGGCAGTAAACTTCTATGGATTATCCATAATTGATTTCAGACTGTCTGAAAATGCATTATGGGATGCTTGCGTAGCGCAATGGCTCATTGTTAGCAATGAGTCTTTAATGATTCTACTTGCACTGTATAATAACTTTTATCGTAACAAATTCTTAGTTAATTTGGTTATTTTTTTCTTTCAGTATTACGATCCAACGATGGGTAAGTGAATATCTTACAATTCTAGTTAATATTGTTATCTCATATTTTTATTTTAAGTCACGAAAATTGACACATGTATCTATGATGAAAACAACATATTTAATAAAGGTATCATCATTGAATATAAAGAAAACAATATCCTACTTATGGTACACCTGAGGACAAAAGTGGGGGTAATGGAGCTATTCAATTGGCAACCGGGGGCAGGATTATTGTGGCGAAGTTTTACAAGGCTGGACTTTAAAGCGTTTTACATCGAATGAATCCTTTTGTTACCACATATACTGTCGTCTTTCACTCTTTTTTTATACCTTTAAAGATTGGCACTCATCCTGTTGATCAAAATTTAGAATACTCATAGTCAGTACAAATATAATTCATGTAATTCCGAAACGATGTTCTAAGTTTTAGAATCTTAATGGTGCTTCGTCGGTGGATATTCATTCTTGTCGGCGAATAAATCATAGCCAATCCACTATTTCGGCAAATGGACCCTAGGCACCCCTCTAGGACACAATACTCAGCGTACCATGCCACAAAAGTTCGAGCGCGGTAATGAAAGAGAGGAGCTTCTCCGCTTCTCTGTCGGGTCTTAGATGCGGCTGCTTGCATCCCACCGCTGAAGTTCTATTTAATTTCTAATGTAAAAACATGAGAAACTACGAGAAATGAATGAACCATTTATGAATAAGCCATCTAGTTTATTTTTGGCAGAAAGCAAGAAAGCAGTGTATGACTAGAATCCACTTAACTATGCTATCAACATATGTGTTTCTTTTTTAATTATGGTGCAATGGCTACATTTGCTTTTACTAATTTATTGTCCCTAGGCAAACAAAATTTGAAACATATGTTATTTTTTTTTCAGAGGAAACATACCAGACTGAGGTGAGATGCCTTTCACTTTGCTCGATGTCGTTCTACTGCGAAATTTTAACGTATTTTTTGCAAAAAATTTCTTTGAATCCATTTTGAGAAACATCTTCGAACGTTCTTAAAAATGGGTTCTGTAATGACAGTTCTCCAGAGTGAGTGTTCTCCAGAAATTTTGATCGAGTACTTTCATGAATAAATGGTCCTACCATGAGCTGATTGTAAAACATTGCCTCGGTTGCTTCACAAGCAGCCTCAATTCTATCTATTTGAAGGATAAATGATGAGAATCAATCAAGGAACGTGCACCGATCCAAAAGTGAAGGGGCTGAAATTTTGGGCTCGGGGACATACCACCGAACTAATTTTAGAGGCCACGCCCTTTAGAACGCCTAAAAACGCCCCTTTTAGAAAATGCTTTTTTCCATCCTTGTATAAAAACAAATCGATTCAGAGAAGAATTCAATTAAGTGCGGGGAGGGGGGCTATAGCCCCTGCTAGCATGTCTGGAATCAATACAATGCAACAAGTAGATAACTCAAAGAACGAACATTTCACAACAGGAAAATATAGTATTTCGCCTTGTTATGTGCTGCGTCGGTAGACTAAATGTAACGAATAAATTAAAATATATGAAGTTATTTAGCGGTTGAAGCGTCATTATGGTAGCTGCAAAATTATCCAACGTTGTTGAAATCGTTAAATGTTTGCCATTTGTTGATTAATAGCTGCTAAGGCCTCACGTCTATTGGTGTGAAATAACATATTTTATGACACGGGATAAGCTTGACTAAGTACGAATAAGCTGCATTGCTGAATTTATCAACGTTCTGCTAACCATGCCTCAGTCGTACCACAGTAAAGAGACACGAGCAATGTCAATAATTTATCAGCTGTTTGACAAACTAATATTCGTATGAAAAGAACTTTAATCTCTGCTTCATAAAGTAAATTAAAGCTAGGTAAATAGTTTATTAGCTATTTATTTTCAATTTTTATCTCAATCGTTGCCTGCTGGTGTGTTCCTTTCATTTCACACATGGCATCCATTACAAGAAACAGGACCCTTCATTTTGTGCAATGTTCCGTGGTGCCTAAGTTCCTGGACTTTTCTGCGTCCTTGAAAAATTGATCTCAGCAATTCAATTTAAACTTTCCATATGTAGTTGAAAATCTCAGAAGTTCAGTTAGTGTATCAGCAACTTTTTTATTTCATTTCATCCAATGTAAGGATTACCCTCAATCATAGATTCGATGAAGAGGCTGCTTGCACCATTGAAACTTGATTCTAGTATTGAGGTTTTCAGAACCTATTCTTCCAGCTTTCATCTTTATTTCAAAACCTAATTCCCAGGTGCAGCTACCAACCTGTTTCTCCCAGTTTCTGCTTTGTATGACATTTCTTGTGTTTCTTTAGTTCAGGATAGGTGATTTTGTCACTAATTATGAATCTGTAATCAAAGACCTTTATAACTCTTTTCTAACTGTTTCCTTACTAGTTTATCGCTTTTTATTGATTTCTTTGTTTCTTTTGTTTAATCATCTTAATTGACTGTTATCCATTTCAGATGATTTATTCTGGCAGAAGTCACGAAGTTGAGATAGTCGATACTGCAGGGCAAGAGGAATTCACATCGTTTCTAGATTCATCGTTGGCAACTGGGGATGCCTTTATGATTCTTTATGCTATTAATTCGTTATCAAGCTGGAATGAGCTAAAAACGCTGCGATCTAAAATAAATCAGGAGACAGAATCTTTAGGGAACAGGAAAGTCCCCATCATAGTTGTGGGCAACAAAAGGGTTCGTATTTCAATTTCTATCTCCAATTTAAGTTGTACATTGAACATCTTTTTTAAATTGATTGTGCAGGCAGGTAAGATCTTTTTCGTTGCAAAACGATATTATGGCCTAATATATGTACCAGTATCCTTGCAATAATGGTTTTTAAAATTAATTCTGGATGTAAAACCAACAATATAAGTTGGTTATAATTTAATAGAAAATTTCTTGTTTGTCTATTTTGTCTGTAAATATTATAATGCACAGATTCTGAATACCAGAAGAGATTTGTAACTGATGGAGAGAAACATGAAAACAATTTACGAAGCTAGATGTTTTTCACAACTGCGTTTTACAGATATCTTATGTACTGTTCATGTTATTTAATTTTCCTTTCGTCTTTGAATGTTACAGAAGATGAAGTTTAAATTAAAATGCTCATCTTTCTTTTTATAAATATTCCATCTAATTCTGTTTGTCGAAGTTGTATATGATTAATGCAATATTTTATCATTTGTTTACATCATTTTTCTTAATTTTTTTAACCAAGAGGCGTATAAAGTGGGAAATGGTGTCTGGTACCGCCCACTTAGCAAGATATGGCTTTCGAGATTTTTCCAAATTGGAAATATATTGTTTGCACTAGGGGAGAGGCAGGCTCATTACAATTTGGCATATTGAAATATTTTTTGTCGCAGTTCAAACAATAAGATGTTTAGTCTCGTTTCATTTAATGACGTTTCTCCCTTTTGAGAATACTTAGGGTGTGGCGGTCTATACTTTTCTAAATTCCCTCACTTTCCAGGTGCTGCGTACGTAACAATTTTAAACAGCTGTGCCTACATAAAAATGCGATCTTGTCTTAATTTCTGATTTTGATACTTTGAAACAGGACTTAGAAGATGAAAGAATTTCCCTACCAGATGACCCTGAAGAATATGCAGCGTCTATTGATGTTCCTTACATTGAAACATCTGCAAAGGTTTGTTTGTACTTTAAAATGACGATTGAAAGATATATGCTTATATTTATTTTCTTCTATTGACCAATGATTTAACTTTTCTGTTACAAGAGTTGTGTTTGAAATAAGTGGCTCGTAAACCAGTAGACCGGGCAGATGTTTTAGCTTCTTTAATTCAATCATTTTTTTGTTATCGGGTCATAATTGGTTATAAGGTTTTCACTGCCACTTCCTCTTATTCCTGCTTTCAAACTCATTAAGCCGTCCTAAGAAATTATGATTAAATCCAATAGGTCAAGATAGCGACGGGGCTAATGGGCTTCAGCTCACAATTTTTCAACCTGTCTCGGCTTATGATATTTTGAACCTTTTTTCATTTTTTTCTCTGTCTGTGAGCTCTTATCCTAATTATGTGACTTTCTTTTTTGATATGGTTGAGTTTTTATCCTGAAAAAGAGGATATTTAATTTTAATGCTAGGTCATCAATGCTAGGAAACCTATAAGTCCTACACTTTTAGGCCCAGAATATTTTCCAGTTTTGAGAAGTAGCTATGTCAGTTTGGAATACACAAGAGCAGTGTTAAAAGGTCCAATTTCTTTTCTCTTGGCTCTTTTTTTAAAATATAGGAATTTTGATATGACAATATTTCTAATTCCCTGATAAAATTCAATCAAAATGATTGATTAATTTTAAGGGGCTTCGGTTTATTTCGTTTTTTTGTATTGGCTAGCATAGACCAACCACATCGAATGACCGATGACCGGCAAAATTCCATCATACCCAATGCCAAATACCACGAACTTAGTCTCTAAAAAAGAAAAGAAAAGTGAAATGAACCAAAATTGAAAGAAGGATAAAATCAAAGGATTCATTCCTGCTTTCCAACCATGAATTTATTTCCAGTTTATTCAGTTTTTCAAAGCCTGTGACCCAGGCCCTGACACTAACAAATGTTGAATCCCTTTTAGACTGGGTTTAATGTGAAAGAGGCCTTCCAGCTGATGTTACGTCAAGTAGAGGCTGTACAGCCTGATCTGCTGTTGCGGAAAAAGCCAAGCACAAGGGACAGAAAACAAAAGGATTGTGTCCTTCTTTAGACCATTTTGAAATTTTGCAAGGGAGACACACGGTAGTTTCAGCATGAATCACGTGAAATCGTCTGAACGCATCAAACATAAATTAAGTTTGGTTAGGAAGATAATTTTTTCATGTTACTCTTTTTGTATTGATGTCGAATCATGGGGCCAAGACCGATATTATGGATAGTGTGAAAGTTGTCTGTCCACTTGATAACAGAACACTAAACTAATCCGTTTATTTTTATCATTACTTTGTCAAGAACCTATATAGTTTCAACTCTTAAGACCAACTCTGATAATTAGTTGAAAGAATGAATGGTATCCGCCCTCATTATTTAGGTTTACTACAGGGACGCCGGCTTTACTGAATCTGAAAAATTTCAGTATTCTGTCTTTGAAGGTTTTATTACATTTGTAAACGTACCTTCAAACTACACCCTTTAGACTAGACTACATCAATTCAGACTTTGCTAAAATATACTGCAAGATGTAAATTTATTGTCTACAATTAGTTTTTTGAATCACCTCGCAGTATGTTTTTGTTACTTCACTTTTCATTGTTAGGAAATACATTACTGTATTTTTCTTGTTAAATTTGATGTTTCACCAATGTTAATTAGCTTTAAGCAGTCTAGAATTACAATCGTTCTCTCGTTTGATATTACTGAATGAGTTAATTTTCTAGTTTATTCAGTTTTATTCCAATGGCGTCAATTTATTTTCAATATGCTATTTTCACTGCTATACGATACCAATTCAGCCTCTTCAATTAAATATTTATTGGTGTTACTACAAGCCCAACATTTTCATGTTTCAAAGCTAATCGTATAAATTTACAACTTAATGTTTAACATAGGTGGTATAAACACCTCTGTCTTGGGGACTGGGCATGAGAAATGCTTATATGACGTCACATAACTGACCGGCTGGCAGTGTGCAGGGCCGCGGAGAAGATTTATGGGCCCCCTGGTCAGGACGAAAGATAAATAGTAAAGCATGCCTAAGGCAGATGTTTCTAGGGGGTATGGGGAATGCTCCCCGAAAAATTTTTTGAAAATGAAGGTTGCTTAAATGGATCCTGGGGCCATTTTGGTTGCTAGAATTGCAATGGTGGCTAAACTGCTCTGGTGGCAATGTCGGAAAGTTTCTCACCCCTCCTGTCAATTTTTCTATCTAAGTCATTGTCTGGTGGCTATTTATTACTTCTGTGGGCTGTTTGATATAATTTGAGCATAACATAATGCATAGAAATTAAAATTTCTTAGAAATTTGAAAGTCTTAGAAAATGGAAAACGTTTAATTCGTTAACTATATTCGACCACAACCGATAAACTGCTGCAAATAGATGCGTATTCTATAGTGTAAATCTGTTAAAACTTAGTGTAAGGTTAAAACTTTACACAGATAAAAGCTGAAATATTTGCAGGATTAAAATTACAAGAAAATGACTTGAAAATTGGTCTCAAAGTCGACCTCCATTAAAGACCACGACAGTTTTCAGTCAGGGTCGCTGAAGAGACAACAAAGAGAAAGGGAAAATTGAATCTACTGTCAGCTATATACCTATCGACATTTCTCTTCCATTTTACAATTGTAGGAAGAAAATAAGGCACACCCAGGCCAGCCTTAACTCATCGGGGGCGTTGCTATTGGGGACGTAAAGGGGGTTGTGTCTCCTCTCCTCTCCTCTAAATTTTTCCTGAGTTGGTCGGTGAATTTTCAATTATTTAAAAGGAAAATTAAGTTTTTTTGCTTTCGCCGTTGAATTTTACTTTTCATGACCCTCCACTCCGCAAGTCTGGATGGTCTAGTTAAGCCATTGATTTTCTTCTTGTATCGAGGTAAATTGCCAGGATAATAGCTTATACACCCTGACACGCTAAGTAGCTTTCAAGCTCCATTATTAAGTAAAATGTATAAAAGCAGTTGCACTTCTCCCATTCTTGTTGAAACGAATGTTCTATCGTTTGCACGAAGCAGTCTTAGTGAATGCCAATCTTAACTGCTTTTTGCGGTCTTTCTGAAATTAGTCTCTCCGATAAGGTTGTTTAAATATTCATTACATTTCATTATGGTCTCCATTCTGGTGGAAATTCTGCGATAACGTAATTGCATATTGCAAATTTGGAGTGAAAAGGCAGCGATTCGTCAAGAAAGAGGTAAATTTTCGATTTTATGCAATGTAAGCGTTCTGGAAATACCAGTTTTTTAATATTCTCGTACATGTAAATTTATCGAGGCTGGTAATGAAGTATCTCTTATTGGATAACGGAGAAATAGCCCTGGTTTTGTGCTTTATTATTCGAATTAAAATTTTTACAGTAGCTACTTAATTGTACTACTGTTGTTTATTTTTATGGTACTGAGACCAAGTTTTTAGCTGATCAGAAGCTAAGTGAATAGCAACAGATACCGTTCCTTCTCTTATTTTGCCCTCTCCTTCTCTCTGCCCCTCAATATGACCTTTAATCCACGACAGTTTGTTTCATGTTATTTCATTTCAATTGAAATATCGATCCTGTTTTCAAATCCTGAGACCACACTTTAGAAATCCAGGAACGCCAATAGGACACACTGAATGCCAGAGCAAACTGAAATGCGAGGGGCAAATCACTCTAAGAAAATCTCGTACACCTTTTGTGAAAATCCTATTGTTTTATCTGAAAATCCCCGGAAATCCTTTTGTTTTAGGCAAAATCTCGTACGCTATTTGCAAGAGTGAATCGCCCCTCGATAAACTGCTTACACAGAGCTTTACTTGCACACTTGGGACAACAATTGGCACAGTTAACTAGGCTGGATAAACATCATGATTTGTTTCAGTGACCTAAGCAACGTACTGCCTTTTAATAATTGGTGTATAGGACAGGACGGTTCTAAGTTGCAATCCCAGTTAAATTCAAAGATTGTTTTGAAGTGTGGTTTTAGTTATCCCAATGAAATATAAACTCTTTAATTATTACTTGTGCACGGGGAGGCAGTAGAATTATTTTCACTTGATAGAACATATAACACGTCAAAAGCAATTGAGCTCTTTGTTGCAAGGGATTAATGGTAAGCAATCTTCATCTCTACGTTTTACCATTATTACTCATACCTGGAGCCAATTTTTAAGCTGCAATAAAAGCTGTCAGAGCTATTTCTCATCAACCATTTCGTTCTCCTTCTCTTCCCATTTTTAAAAAGCCTAAGCTTCTCAGAATTCAAGACATTTTTCAGCTAAGACTATCAACATTTGTTTATGAATCTATAAACAAGAAAAATCCCTCTTGCTTTCATGATGAGAAAATCCCTCTTTCAATGCAAATATCCACCAACACGCTACTAGGCAATCAAATCGCGGTAATTTGTTTTTGACTCACAGGAACAGTTTTCGGTATGGCCTGAAGACTATTCGATATACGAGGGCAAAAATGTGGAATGAACTACCTGTAGAAATTTGAAATTCTCCTTCAAAATATTATTTTAAAAAAATCTTAAAATATTTTTACAAAATAACATAGTAATCAATGATGGTTTTTTAACTTAGTTTATGCATAGATGATTTTTTTCTGTGGAAGACTCAAAGCAACTTACAGATGAATTTTTTCACTTTAAGAAATACTCTGTATTTCTCTGAATTTCTAATACTCTGAATTTTTTCACTTACTCTGTATTTGTTCTGTTATGTTTGTATTAGTTAACTTCAATTTACATTTTTTATACTTTTAAGCTTAGATTATTTCTAATTTGCAGCAAGTGTATGTATCCAGTGGAAATTAAAATAAAACTGAACTGAACTGAATTGGTAAAACAGCAATTTATCCCAGACAAGCTGATTTCACAAAATTTGTGGTGACCAGAGAAGATCAGTGGAAGATTTAGGGGGAAACTAGGGGCAGTTGGTGGCCCCTCCCTCGACAAGGCTAGCTGGCATAAATTTTTGAAAATTTTTCAGCGCCCCCACTATCAACTGCCCCTCTTTTAAGTTTCTTCTGGATCCGCCCCTAGAGTGGAGATCGGCGTTTTGGAGATACCCCCTCGCCCTAGCAAGCAATATTGTGCCTCCCTACATGAAAGCATGCCTATGTGATACATAAACCTGACCTATGTTTTTTTGTTTATATTTCAATATTTGGTTAAGGGGTTAATAGTTTTCCCAGATGGATATTCGAAGAGCCCCAGATAACAATACCCTAGCAACAAGAATCCCAAAGACAAGATGCAAGTTGCCTATTGGTTGAATTCAACGTCATCAGAATCACATGTCATGATTGGCCAGTTGTTCGGTCTTGGACAATAGTTAGTCGATTTCAAAGTCAATGTCTCCTCTGGGAATTTCAGCACACAAAACATTACGAGTTGCCGATCTTGCTATTTCGTTTCAAAGTTACTTTTGAATTTTAAACCTGATAGCTTGCCTTTTCCTGATGTTGCCGATTTAAATCACGATGACAGAGGATCAAGAGCTGGCAAATGCTTGCGAGTTTATAAAAGGTGATTTAGCGGTTTTTATCATGTTGTTTTATTCCCAGAAAGATATTTTACTTGCAGTTGGTTTGTCGACACGAAAGATTCGTTCGACATGTGTTTTTAAGCATGCTTTTGATTTAATTTTTTTCTAAATGTATTTTAAGATGAAGAATAGCATTTTTCGTTACACAAAGTTGAAATTTATCGTAACTGGTGTGAACGAAGATATCAGTTGATCGAAGAAACACTGTTTGTCTATTCAGAGCACATCAACTCCAGAAAATCTGTTTAGAGGTCTTTCTTGTTTGTTTTCTTGACTAATCTCAGGATTTCCACATCTCCTGGAAATCAAACATTTTGATAATTACCAAGTTATGTTATCTCACGCTGCAAAATGGACAAACTAAGTCTGTATTATTGGCCTGCATGTGAGCAAATCAAAAGGGTCGCATTTAAATTCGATACGACATGATGCTTATAACAGGCCTGTCTTGTTTTGTCAGATCGACTCTACTTCGCTACGTTGCGGATCAAGCCAAGGAGCAATGCAACGACTCATTATTTCTGTGTCGATGAGGAACTCGTCTACGAGAAGTAAGTTTGGGCCTAATTTCTTCTCCGTGCATTTATCTCTGGCCGTTTCCTTTCCTTGTTTACTTAACAAGCAATTGAAATTAAGTTTCGTCAAGTCGTCTAAAAGTATCATATTTCTTGTAGCTTCTACGCAGACTTTGGGCCACTGAATCTGGCGATGCTTTTTAGATACTGCAATAAACTCAACAAGAAACTGAAGGTGAGTGCTTGCTTCTTTTCTCTTTCATAGCAATTTTATAAAGCTTAAAGTTTACCTTTAATAAAGTTCTTAATTACTCTTCGAATGTGATTCAAAAGGTGCTTGTGAAAATGATTTTTAAATGCCAAAAAACTGCTTTCGATACCTAAGTTAATGCTGAACCATTTTTGCTATTTTCGAGCTAGATAGAGGATTGACGGAATGAAACTAGCTACATTAGCCGCGCTGTTAACAAATATACCTTGATCTCATTACAAGTATTGTTTCTAGTACATTATACGACATGATATCGTTTTGTTACTAACACAGTCACCAAAGAAAGCAAGTTTATTGTTTTGTGATTGGAATTCATTAGGATTTATAAAAGAAATATTTTAATGATTTTTCTAAACCAGTTCCCAGCTGTTTTGGAATTTGGGTTGCTGTGATTGCATTCTTTAATTTTTTCTATCCTGAATTTCTTTCTGCAGTGAAAATAGAACTTTAACAATTATGCTCATATGAGCATAGTCATATGAAAGTTGAAAAGATAGCTAACACTGACAATTAACTTCCATTGCTGTTAGATCCACATGGCTCCCAGAGACTTCAGATTCAGAATAGATCTTGACTCTATGCAAGCACCTGTTCTCTTGAAATAAACTATTCCTTGGGAAAACTGATTTTACCTGCTTTCAATTGTCTCCCTGCAGAATTTATGCAGAGTACTGACAGTCCTAATTAAGAAAGAATTTATCTTGAATATCTAAACTCTACCTGCTGAGATCTACAACATTTGTGGTTTGAATATTGTATTAATGAAGTTTTAATTTAAAAACCCTAGTCATTGCTACCCAATTTCAGCACAATAAAAATGGATCACTTGAAATAGGTCTTTATACGTCATTTGCAGCTAGTTAAGCTGCTTGTTAAAAAGAGCTGAAAATTGGTATCTTTTCAAAGTAATGAGTTGAAAATTTGGAATTGAAATTTAGCAGGATTCCACATCACCATTACTAGTTTGTCCCATAAAAACACACAAGAAAGAAATTATGATTTTGGATTGTGGAATAATAAGCATTGTCTAAGTAATATTCATTTGAAAATGACTTATGAATCTGTCATTATGAATGATACATTGCAAGATTTGTCATTAAGGTTTGCCTCAGTGTCACTATCACAATATCACGATCACTATACCAATAAAAATCCTCACCAACTTACAGTTCTGGTTGACTCGGTATAGCCAGTTTTGCAAGGTTGGTTTTTGTTTACTTGTTTTTTGCAGCCTTTTGGTATAATCATTCTAGTATTGAGCATCAACAGTGCTAAATGTGCCAATTGGATTTGGATTTGTGTTGCCTTTTCCTTGCCCCACCCTTATCTTTATTAGCTAATTAATTAATTACCTAATTGACTTTTTCAGGTAAAAATAGGCTGTGTACTGTTGTTTGATTTCTTATTTGTGTTGTTTTATCTTTTATAGTCGTTCTCCTTATCAAAGAAAAGAATAGTGCACTATACATCCTATGATAGTAGGAAAAGAGCCAATGCTGCATTTTTAATTGGTGCCTATGCAGTAAGTTTTCTACCAGTTTGTGTCATTCTTTTGTAACGCAATTTCACTTGTCGAATTAAAGCATTGCTTTGTTGAAAGTCTATTTTATTCTGTTGTTGCATCTATGACCAGGGATCAAAGCTTTGACAGCTGTTTATCTCAAAACACTAATTGAAACCAGTTTTTGTAATCCATCTATAAAAGTCATGAATCTTTAACGACTTGTCCTTTGTTCTTTGGAAAAAGTGAATTAATGCTTTGTTGTGATTCTGAACATAATTCTCTGGAGATATATTCAAGGATATTGACATTCTAATGCTTTGAAAAGGATTTCATTTCTAAATCAAAGATTTCCAATTACACCATCTGCTTTGAAAGATTTGTGTCCTGATTAATTCTGTATGATAAAAAATGCAGTGCTGGAAAAGGTACACAGTTGATGAAAGTCCTAATATGTTAATGGAAGTTGTAATATTATGATCAAAATTTAGCATGTTGATAATGGGAATTTCAAATAAAGGGCAGGTAATATTAACAGAACACTCCAGCCAAATGGCATTTTAACCATTCACCAAAACAAAAGTTCCTTTTCTTGTAATTCAGTTGTCTGAATGCAAGTGCTAATAATTGAAAAACAATGAAGCATATTGAAAAAAGTGATGATTAGCGATGATGTTAATAAGAATTAGGCCCTTTAAATTACTGTCTATATTTCACAATTTTTTTAGGTTATCTACTTAAAATGGGCACCAGAAGATGCTTACAGGCCACTTGTTAGTGGATGTAATCCACCCTATTTGCCATTCAGGTGAGTTGGGCAAAAATGATAATTAAATGGTCTTTATGCCTATTTGATTTTAGTGCTCACCATAACTTTAAAGATATCACAGTGTCTGTAGAAAGTTCAAGCAAGATGACTTTTAAAACCCTTGCATTATAAAGAAACATTTCTTTTGCTTTTTAAAGTTTTCTCAATGTGCCTTTTCCACACCCCACAGGGATGCATCATTTGGTAATTGTACTTATAATTTAACCATTCTGGATTGCCTAAATGGTGTACAAAAGGTAATTATTGTTATTTTGCTAATTATTATGTCTCATCATCATGACAACATTAATCAACAATTAATCATCATTGCAAGCAAATGTTTTTTGCCGCTATTTTGCTTTTCATCATTTTGCACTGTATGAGATATGGTATTCAAAGGAAGCTCAAGAAGCCTTTAGTAATTGATGTTCCTAGAAACCCAGAGCGCTTAAACATTTCCTTCATTGAACTATTAGCTTTGCAAGTCCTGAAATTAAGATTCTGCTGCTTAGATGATGAGCTCCAAAATAAACACACGAGAAAAAAAGGACAGAAAACTGTTTATGTTGTATGCCATCTTTGCTGGATTCAATGAAGTTATCCAATAGAATGAAAGTTATGGAGCTTTTTGCTTTGCTGGATGGATAATGTCTGAAGGAAAAGACTTGAAAATTCTTTGAATCCAGAGCATTTCACCAACAAAGAAATATTGAAAAGACCAAGAATGGACGAAATCCAATCTGTAAACAACAGTTTCTAGGCTTTTTACTATGAAAGGAAGTCTTGAAAAATGTGATTTTGCCAATAAAGATAGAAGGAAAGCAAAATAGAGGAAGACAGTTCTTTATGGTCAGGGTAGTAAGAATTTAGGAAAAGATAGAAAAAGTTGTTAGCCCATTGTTGTCAATGCTTTTGCAGGACATTGCACCCAGATAAGAGTTTGCAGTAAACAATCTCTTGAATAGGTGCCTATCCCAGTAGATAAAATTGGTTTGAGCTTGCGACCAAAAGAAAGTTTTTGGTCAGGTCTTTTCTTTGTGCTTTGTTAATGATTTTTGAATAATGCTTGTTGATCCGCAAATAAGCAATATTTTCACAAATCTGTAAATATATACTGAGAGTTTTGAATGAAATTTTTTGCAATATATACTATAGATTGCTTCAAAATTGAAAAGTGCTGTCACAGCATTAGCCTAATCACCTCTCATCATGTGATGCACTAGATTTGAGTTCTCTTCAAGCTGACCTAGCCTTTTGAAGGCTGATGTATTCTTGTACTTTTTCCCTAAGCTTACTTTGCAAATTCTTTCTTAGGCCTTAGAAAACAATTTCTTTGATTTTGGAACCTTTGATGTTGAAGAGTATGAGCACTATGAGGTTTGCTTTAAGATTTCTACTTATTATAAATTATCAGGAATGGAAATTAATCCAAAGTTGGTAATGGTTAGATATTAACAGCTTCTTTTTTTTGTAATTAAATTTCTTGAACCTATGTAACTTTTTTCAGCCCCTCAATGCTAATATTTAGTTTAGTTCATCAAGAGATAGTGACAGTTTTGCTAGGTAACTTTACTGTTAAGCACATTGTATCTTGTGCAAATCATTGTTCATTTTGTAAAGCTAGTAGCTGATTAATAACAAGGTGGTTAGGCCATTGAAACAGTTGGATGTAAATTTATGATATTAGGCCTCAGTCAGTCATGTTATTAGTTTACCTTCTCTTTTTACTATCTATGTCTGTTCCGACTCAGGATATGTTTTGTCTTCATAAGGAATTTTCACCTTATTTAAAAGTGTCCCTTTGTGTACCACAAATGTAATTTAGATATGTTGTGGCTTTTGGGCCATTTCAAAGTTATAATCTGCTTGATAAAAATATTCTGTTGTATTGCAGAGAGTGGAGAATGGGGATTTAAACTGGATTGTACCAGGTTTGTGTTTTTCTGCCCTTAAGTTTATTTTGGTGGTTTATATTTCACATGCCTCATTCTGCCTTTTGGCAATTTTCCTGAATCGTTATTGGAGACATTATTTAGAATCATATCCTCCTGTTGTGCTTGTAAATCATTACCTTAATGTCCACCCAGTTTTCATTGTTGCAAATTAATGATAATGACTGTATTTAACTGACAATTGTTTTGTAGATTTAATTCTTTCTGCAGCAAATGTTGTCCCAAACAATAGGTCCCATGAGGGCAATATGGGACCTATTGTTTGGGACAACATTTGTGCAGAAATTGGCAATATGTTTTCATAGAAGTAATGCCAATGTGAATGCCTATTCCACCATTTCCGCAACTGTTTTTCATTTATCAAGTGTTCATTTCCATTTCAGAAAAGTTTCTTGCATTTGCTGGCCCTCATGAAAAGAAAAAGATTGAAAACGGTAATGGAATATATTTCATTAAGTGTATATATAGTTGTGTTGATTTTGCATGATAAAGAATTGTACGGAGAAATCTATATTATAGGGAAATCATAGTGACACCATAGAGAAACATCTCTGCAATTTTTTTCCAAATTTGATCAGTGTTGTTTACCATGATAAACATAGCTAGACAACTTTTTTCTTAAAAAGGTTTTGACTGTAAATATTTATTTTTCTTTAAACAGGATACCCTCTGCACTCTCCAGAGTCCTATTTCGAATACTTCCGGAAACACAACATAAGAACTGTTATCCGGTTAAACAAGAAAATGTATGATGCCAGAAGATTTTCAGAAGCAGGATTTGACCATTACGATTTGTTTTTCGTCGATGGAAGCATTCCCAGTGATGCTATTGTTAGGTGAGATTATCTTGCCCCAAAATTTTTCAGGGTCAGGTGCCTACCTACCACAGTTAATCAAAAGCTGGATTTCCGGCCCATCTTCTTTATGCAAATAATAAAAGTCAAGTTTTTACCTTAAGTTTAAAACTCTTTCGGACAATTGAAAACGGACAATTAATGGTAATTAATATTTAGGTTTTGTTCCCCTTAATGTCTCACCTTTGACTGTTTTCAAATCTGCCAAGATTTATTAAACATATACAATTGTTCTGTGCATTAATACTTTAATTTTGTTGTTTCCAGGAAATTTTTGGCTATTTGTGAAAACGCTAGAGGAAGCATTGCAATTCATTGCAAGGGTAAGTACCAGGTACTTATAAGTTTCTAGAACAACAGAAAAATGATAAAGTTTTTCAATTAAATATCTTTAACTGGTGAGAAATTGAGATATGGGTAATTTTGGGCACTTTTCTTAGACTTATGTTGATGTATGATAAAATCTTCTTTTAGAGCCTCTAAAGAATAATTTCACAAATACTCAATGAATGAAGTTCTAGAGTGATGACGTCAAAAATTGATTCTTCGTATTCTGCATTTTTGTTAAATATTGCAAAATATGCGAACGGAGCTAGTCCACGTTTTTACACAAGTTTGATGAGGCATCGATTACTTCAATGTGTACTTAAACATCATGTTTTATGCCTATTACATATTCTGTAGCTTGTAATTTTATGCCACGAACTCTTTTCTACTTAGCTGGGTTGGGTAGAACAGGCACTCTGATTGGCTGCTTCATCATGAAGCATTTCCACTTCACTGCTGCTGAAACCATTGCTTGGATGAGGTACGTGTAGCTTAGTGAACTTCCCAATTGCGCTGTGTTTCTGTAAAGAAAATTTTCACTGTGGTTTAAATTAAAATAAAGCCAGTGCATGAATTGGTATAGTTCCTACCATTGGTTAATTTGAAACAGCGCATTAAATCTGCCAAATTATGCATCAGTTTAAACTCAGAGGAAAACAAAACATCATTTCTAGCTTTTGGCAAATATCGCCTTCTTTTTTCGTCCCCCCCCCTCCTCATCCTAACACACGAAAGAAATGCGTGGAGAGTATTATACATGAGTGGTCGTGATTATTAGTGCCCAATGTTTTTTGGTTCATTTGAAGCATTTTTGACTTCATTGTTTTGTTATTCATTTCCTTTGAAAGATATTATGTTTTTATCTATAATTTCTTCTGTCTCGTTTTTCTATTACGTCTCTGCAATGTCAAAATTCTCAATTATATTGTTTTTCATATGTTTTCGTTCTATTTTTGTACGAGACTTTGTGAGCTGCTTTTTAATATAAAATAAACAGACCTAGAATCTAGTACAGTTATATGGCTGAAACTTTATTCCACTAGTATTACATTATTTCAAATAGACAACCCCTTCGAAAAGTCACCTCTCTCTCTCAAAGTAAAGCTGATTATCGAGTTATTTATATCACAGTTACCCTTAGCGTATTCATTGGACCACGCCAAACCCTGTAGCTTTACATAAAAATCATTGTTCGGAGAGGGAGGAAAGAATGCAGTATACCTTTTTCATAAATTTACTGTAGTGTAACAAGAAGTTTGGCAGGGTTTGTAGCTATTGCTGGGGCCCTGCAGTTAAGTATGACCCGATTTCTGTCCTGCAGTTTAGCTTGTTGCTTCCTTTATCTTTAGTTCAACACGTTTCCGATTCAACATGTGTGTTTCCGAAAGCTTACTTTGATAGCGATGGCCGGATAATTACAGCTTTTATGCATATTATTGATAAAACAACTTGCTTATAAATCTTAGATATGGAACTTAATTCAAAATTAAATATTTATTTTTAATACATGAAATAACTATGATTAAATCTGAAATAACTGTTTGTTTTGGTTTCTTTGCGAAAGAAATTGTTTATAAATTTGGTTGCCTTCGATTTCAATAGATAGCAAATGTTATTTGAGAAACTGTCATTTGACAATGCTATGGTTTCATTTCTTTTCTGCCTAATTCCCGATAGAAAATAACAGCAATATCTGAAATATTCATTGAAGCTGTGTATACGCAGAATGGAAGTTTAAAAAAACAAATTTAAGAACTTCGGCGTAATTTCAGACTTGTGTTTCCAAACCATGATTTCCTTTATCTTTGATTCTGAAGTCCGGCACATATGTTTTGAAATTATTGCACAACTTTTACTTAATTAATATTCCCTTTCAATTTTCTTTACTGGTTTGCAAATAATTGCTTTAACTGAATCCTTCTTGTGCAAATTTATGTAGCTGTATGTCTAGTGACATATTAACGCTTTGAATTCAGCTTCACCTGGAGTTCAAATTCTTGACAATACTTTCGATGATTTGAAATTATTCTTGTGCCAAAAGGCCCTTTGCACTTTAAGGGTTTAAGCTATTTGCTATTTCATTCTTTGTTATTTCTTCTTAAATATTTCAAGAATCTTTTAAAACTAGGCCGTGTTACTTTTGTATTGTTCTCGGAGAGCATATATCATAAATCTGTCAGAATTTCGAATTTTCTGTGTCAGATGTGATGATGAAAGCAAGTATTCCGACCCTCCAGCTCTTGTAAATATTGCATTTTAGATTTGGCCATTGTAATTCGAAAATAAATACTTTGAAAATGAAAGTATTTCTATCATTTTTTGCGGTAAAAATCTGAAAATATTTTAATTTTCAATAGTTTTTTGAAGTTTTTCGATGATCCAGTTTTATGCGTATTTCTGTGTTCTTAAATAAAAACTGTTTTTTTATTATAGAATTTGTCGACCAGGATCAATAATTGGTCCACAGCAGCATTTCCTTGAAGAGTAAGTTGCCACTTTTCGTAATGCATCTGTTTCATTGCCAAGGTTATCTTTTCATTTCCTCTTTCAGCCAATAGCAACTCTTTTAATTCTTTTTTAATTTTGTTTCCAGAAGACAAACAAACCTTTGGATTCAAGGAGACATATTTAGATCGAAGCAGAAAAGTTCAGGTATAGTTTTTTTTGTTTATGTTTTTGTATTCTGAATTTGCATTTGTATGGAAAACGCTGTCTCGTAGTCGGATTTCCTCTACGATCTACGATACTTTGAAACGTTGTGCTGTTTGGATTCACGTTCTTACCACACTGCCCTTCCACTACTCTGCTCGAGATTGTTTGCTGGAAGTTGCCCTATTTCAGTTGCGTACATGGGAAAGTTTCCCATAGTTACAGAGGCGTAGATGGGAAAATTCACAGAAGAGGCGAGAAATATTTCATACATGGTTATTTTTTCATACATTTGTACATAAGATAATGACAAATAATGACATCAGAACTGGAATGAATAATTCAGCTTTGAAATCTTTCCTGTCAATATCTAACATTTAGATGAGAAACAGACAACCATGTTATCATTTCGAAAAATTAAAATTGTTATCATCTCCACTTCTCCGCTCCTATCTTCTATTTTCTGGCTAGAATTTATGTGGCTCTGGTTCCCAGGGTAGAAATTCCCCTACAAAATTGCAGTTTACGGGGGGTTTTTTGTCCCTTCTGGCCCCCCTATGTCCTCGGAAAAAATTATAACTTCATCACAAATGTACCTATTATTTAGGATATATGTTTTTTAAGCAGACTATCTATAGGCTGTGTTCTATAGGCTGCCAGTAACTAATCAATTGTTGTTGCGATACGTACATTGCACCGGGGTTTTTACTTCGGCAACCAGACTGCGTGAACCTAAAAATAAATTAACCTTGAACTCAGAGCGGCCTTCTTTTTGGACTTGATTAACCTCTCTTGAGATTTTCCCTTAAAATTCGATTTATTATTCGATGATAATAGCTTTTTTTGGTTTTATGAGAGATTTCCCATTGATATTAGCGCAATAATGTTACTAGGTCTTAACAGCGATGCCAATTGTCCACTGAGATTTGTTCTCTAAAACTAAGTTTTTGCCGGTTGCTTATTCCTTTGTGGGAAGGGCAAGATCATCATTGACGCATCTGAGAGAGAAATCAGCGGTGTTTAATGCTATATTAAAAATAATCCCTATTAGCGGTAGATTTGCGGGACCAGTCCAAGTCGCACTGAGAGGCTTAACATATGTCCGTCTTGAACTATTAATGTGAATGTTAATGAAATGTGTTCTTTTGAGTTTGGATGGCTTTCGGAGAAGATTGTTATTCAAATAACCACGGTGGGAGGGCTATTACCCATGAAACTAGGATCAAATTTAATTGGATAACAAGTTATTGAGAATAGCATATTACAAAGACTGCATACTACAAGAATAGGAATTTCATTTTTCCGAGAAAAATAGTCTTACACACACACACACATCTGTGTATTTCTGCGATTTTATTTGTGATTTTCGTTTCTTTGGAACATAACTCTCAGTTTTAATTTTTGGTTGGTTTTTTTAATTTTTTTTGCAAATCAGAGCAGGAAATTTGTGGCACTCTATTTTCCTTCAAAACCTAGGTCTTATAGTGACAACTCAATTTTCTTCAGATTTTTGGTTGCTTTATGAACCAATCTGATCTGATTACTTTTAAACCAATTACAGTAATTATCTGTCTGAAGCGACACTACCCCTGAATTCCTGTTAGGTGATCACCTCGCAATATGTTCAAAATGTATAATAATCACGGCCAAGATTACTTGGAACACCCAATATTTTGCTTTTCTCTTTTTCCTTTGTTTTCCCGAATACTTCTGCTTCAAGCCCCATATCCACTTAAAGCAATGTTGATAGTTTTTAAAAAGCCATACAAGCCGCACAGGAAAGCATATTCCATAACAGCTTTATTTTTTCTCTAGTGAATCAACATTGTTTCTAGAAGGAGAGAGGGGAAGGCTGAATTTGCCTTTGAAAACTGACGTTCGACTTTTGGCAGTGATTGTGGGCGCCTGATCACTAAACTGACCACTAATTTTTTTCCATACAAAGTTCTACATTCAACAGAAGAATTTTTTTGTTGTAGATGCAGTTTTGACAATAGATAGGAAAAAGACTACAGTTGAAAACATAATGAATGGTTTTGATGCAATCAACCTTGCTGATCCCGAAGATGAAAGGCACAAATCTCGAAAGGTTCTCACCTTATCTCGTGTTTCAACTTCGATTTTCTTGTTATTAGCCCATGCCACTCTAGGTCTTGGTCCCATGCCACTTCAATGAATTTCTATTAATGATTTACCAAGAAGTTCTATGTAAATACTTTAATATAACATTTTTATGCGGTGAAATATTATAAAAATGTCACTTACAATAATTCTTTTGTATTCGCAACCGCCACTCCATTAACCAGCTATTTCCTTCATAATTTTTGTCAATCTTATCCTGTATTTAAATGTTAGGGGAATCTTTCAGTTTTGTGATTCAAGTTCGGTAGGTTACGCTAGAAGCGTTCCCTATAAGCAAATATTTGAAATGAATACTTAGGCTCCTTAACTAGAATCTACATTCGAACTATGCCTACTTCCAGTAAGTCAAATGTTTTTTGTATAGTGCCTGTTTAGACATAAGCAGTGTCACCGCTTGGATAAGGTTGTGAATGCACTTGTCCTTTCTCACCTGTTTACATTGATTATTTCGCAGGAAGCAAAACCAGCCACTCGATCCTCTGTTCGAATGCACAGGCATTTGCTGTCAGACAGTCTAAACTTAGAACCGAATAACAACAATTCAGCTGGGAGCTTTTTTAATGGATTTGACAGTCGATGCACAGAAGACACTGGGGATACCCAAGGAGATGAACTGCGAAGGCTCAAAACAAGTCGATCAAGATTCACTAGATCCGCAACAACTGGACTGCTTTTGTAAGACTTCTTTTATTTGCTTATTTTGAAATGGGTGAAAGAGAGGATATCTTGCAAAAAGGGAACATTTCTGTTACTAAAAATGGATATGGTTTCGTTGCCCGTTGGTATTGTACCTATCACACTGCAGTCGGTGGCACAGCCACTGCTTTTTGGCCTGTGAAACGTTTTTTGCTGTGTTAGAGTACAGAAAAGCATCTTACTGTAGATTGACAAACAATACTTGCCTGAAGTGTTTTAAGTGATTACGAGCAGACCTTCGACTGTGGTTTTGGATTTAATACAAACCGAACACAAAAGTATGGCTCAGATTAACAATTTTTTTTGGCAGGAAAATTTACCTTGAGCCTTCATACTTCTTTCCTTTCTAATTGAAAGTGAAGTTTTTCCTACTTATATTTATTTTGAAGTTCCTTTTTTCAAATGTTTCACTCTCTGATATTTCATTAAATCTCCGATTTTATTTTATTTGCACAAGCCTCATATGACCTGAGTCCGATCTGGATCACTCGCTCTTTTACCTGACAACCAAAAACCAATATTTTGACAAAGCTAGAAGCTATGTTCATACCTAAGACTTTATTATTGTGAATTCCAAAAAATCTAATCTGCTTAATTTCTCTTGTCTGAATCTTGATTTTTTCAAAATTTAGGAAAGATGACATAAAGCAGCCTCATTCGCGAACCAGTTCATCGCAACATATACGGTTAGTTTATAAAAAATGTTTTAATAGATTTATTTATCTTCGCTATAAAGATTTGATGAGTAAATATATTTAACTGATCTTTAAATCTGGGACAAATTGACGTCTCTAATGATCTCGTTGAATGTCAAACTTCATAGTATTTTGCTGATACCAATTTTTGACAACAGATATGTTTCACAGAGTCAGAATAAGCACGAGATGAATCACCCCGGCTTGTGTTTCACCCCAAATGCTAGGAAATCATTTGCTTCCTGTTACGATCGTTCGGACGAAAAAACTTGAAGCGAAGGCGAATTTTTTATTTCTCATGTTTAAATATTTCATTTACATTTTTAAACAAATTTAGTACAAAAACAGTTGAAAATCAGTCGGGTTTGAAAATCCCATGTAAATAGAAGAATTTCAGCCAGGGTTGACATTAATCACGTGTTTGACCTCTTATCAAATGAAATGTATTATTCCTTATTAAAACCTGAGTTTATAAGATAGGTCACTCGTTAGAGACTGTTGAGTTAATCACTGCCATGACTCAAAAGTTGAGGATTTTTGGTAACGAGCAATGTTCGATACTTTTAGTGCTAGTGGTCTGTCAATAACAGGAACCAGTCCTGTAAAAACAACGAGATTAAACCATGCATTGCCACACAGAACAACTAGATCTGCAGCAACAAACCCACATGCTCTGAGATCGTGAGTAAAGTTCCATTGTCTCAAAGCATTTTGCAAGTGTTAATTTACTGTATATTATTTACTGCATAGCGTATCAATGTCCCAGTAGAACCAAGAATATTACTATCAAGAAAAAGATAGACATATGGCTATTGTTCGACACATTTTGAAATAAATACTACAGCATTTGTTGTTGAGTTCATCACGAAATGTTTTCATTCACTGTCTCCTTTTGGTTGAGGGAAATCATATTTGCTAACCACAGCTCTGTATTGATTTATTGAAAATAATTTCCCAATTTCAAAGCTTTTTATTTTTTTCTTGTTTTGCTTTGAAGATTTAGCGATTGCGTGGGAAAGTACCAGTAGAAAGCCATCGTTTTTAATGATCGAACTTTTCAATTTTAATTGATATGATTTTTAATGTTTTCATCAGTTGATTTTGAATTTTGGAATATCTAAGAGAATCTTAGCAAGATTATGCATAGTGACACTATTACTCGCGTCAGATATGCTGATTGATCTATACTGAAAATCTCTGTATTTTCCCCTTTGTATTTGATTGTTACCAACTTTCACGTAACCCATTTTTTGCAGAAAAACTCACAGCCGCCAGACGCCACGTCAGATAAGCCTGAGTTTAACGACAACTATGGCGGGAAAATGACAAAGACTTTTTGCATGCAAGCGACTTCATTATAATTCACCATATTGCCATTCGCACAACACTTGGTCGAGAGGCGGCAGGCTAAGGTGCTATAGCGACAGCCACTGCTCATGAATGTCATCCAGGCGACCTCTCTTCCTTTCTAGCCTCTGGTCGAGGTGGGTATCGATCTGGCTAGACCCGTCGGAAGTAGCTGGCATTCCTAACTGTTGGATTGTAGTTTTAGGGGCATATACAAGGGTGCTAACCGCAAGGCTGTAGAACAGTAGGGATTGAAAAGGCCAGATGGTAAAAGAGCAGAGTTTTAACTGTATTGATAAACCTATTTTGTTTTTACTATAACATTTTGATTTGTATCACTAAAAGTATTATTTTCAAAGCAAGGGAGTAGAGGAATTTATTTTGCTTTTATAGGCTAGAACCTGACCGTCGAAGATTATAAAGGATAAATTGAAGCGACCCAGCACTCAGTTTCTAACAAATACAATTAAGACCCTCCCGTTCGATAAAAACTGTCTTTATAAGCTATGCCGTTGGTACTAGTCTTGAATGCAATTTTCCCTTTCACCTTCAAGAATTGGCTGGTTTTCCTCTTTTTGATTGGTATGTCGAGAGGAAATAAGACAAATACGTTTTATTCGTACCAACTGTTATTTTAACTCTTCTTTTATTTGAAACAAAGCATTTTATTTCTAATAAAGCATTTAAACTTTTAGGTTGTAACCAATTTGTATTTGCAGTGTGGTTTTATATTCGTTGAAGTCATAGAGACTTGATTATCCGCCCTAGGATAAGAAATGGTGGCTATGTACCAACTCTTTTGTCAAGAACTCATTTGGGAAATAACAATTTAAGGCATATTGTCTTGGCATAAGATAATTTATATTGGCTGTGTTTTTCTGCTCAATGTAAGGGCTACGTTTTTTTCGATACACTGTCATGAGTCTGCAAGTTTTAGGGTATTGATAAAACCAAAGATCAAGGCTATTTAGCTAGTCGTTGGGATCCAGGCCTCTAAAGATATTCTACCAGAATGCGGATTTCGTTCATAAATTGGAATCTGAAATAGATTCATTTGACAGTTAAACACCTTTTTCAAAATGACGGAACTTTTAGGCGTTCTGTCTAGCTGCCTTTGGTATCGTTTAGATTTCAATTTTCGAACTGTATCCTTTTCCGAAGTTTACCCAGGTTTATATCCAACCTTTTTTATGTTTGAAATCCTCAGGATGCTACCCCAGCTTGCCTGTGGGTGGAGCTCAGATTTATCTCGATTCTTAAGTTCCTTTAACCAAACCTGAGACATTTTGAAACCATTTATTCCAGCAGCTTTCGATCTATAAGTTTCTAACCATACTTAAACATTCAAATCGGAGTCATTGATGTTGAAATAGGACCAGGGGTGTGGCATGGAAATCTTTTGTACTGTTTAAAGGAATAGGCTTCTTTCCACATAAGGTCGTGTTGCCTTGTTAGAGAAAATGGCCTAACATTGTTGCCCAATATTATTACTTCAACCAAGCGTATGAACATCGATCGTATAATTATGGTCTGTATCCCAGGTCGAAAAATTCAAATTACCCAAGGTAGCTTTGTTATGCCCTGTTATGTCTACAATTTTCTATGCGACTTTTGTATGTGTCATTTCGTAATGAATATTTGCAGCAATTGTCAGCTTTCGTCTGATATTACGGTAGCAATGCCAGTGAAAAATAGCTTTAATCGAGTTATCGGTTGATTAAAGCTTACTAGCCTACAATTTAAATCTCTTTGTGCTTCTCAGCATAAACTGTTTTCAATAAAACTGTAGTATTAGATTTTATGTAACAAAACCATGTATTGTGGCAAACACTTAGATGGAAGTAATAACTATTGCCCTGGTTGTACAGTATAGCACTTGGTATTTTATATGTATTTTTATAACTTATGTAGGGATATTCATGTTCTTAGTGCATGTAAATACTCCAAAAATGAAGTTTGCTGCAGTAAAATCCTCTCTTTCATTTGTTGGCTACCTGACAATCTTATTAAGAGCGGTTGATGCCGAGCTTGAATCCAAAGTTAGCTGAACCACAGTAATCTCTATTCTGTGGCTGAACTGAGCTTCTAGTGATCTGCCGGACACTGTACTGTACAATTCTCATCAGAGAAAATTTTAAATAAAATTCTCTACTTACATTGCTTTTTTCTGTATAGTGAAGGCTTTGTCAGATGTTTTTCTGTCGCAGCCCGTGTTTGGGTTGAAAACCAGGGAAAGTTTTCTTCATTTTGTGCTATCATTACAGTTAGTTCGGATTTAAGATAAAAATTTAAGTAGTTTTATATGAGGAAAAATTGAAAGACATTGAAAGACTCAAACCTATTTTCTAAACCGTTTGGACTATTGACTCGTAGATGTAAATCTTTATGCTCTCTAAAGATTGGTTGATTTTTTAGCAAAATAGAACCCACGAATGCGCTTCTTCAGGCAATGCTTCTATAAAAATTGTGCAGAAGTATAACATCGAAAAACTTTGCAAGAAACTCTCGAATTCCCATCACAGTAGAAGTTTCTTATAAAGTAGAGAGAATGTGAACTTACTTATTAAAACAGTGTCATAGCAAGCGGAAGATTTTCAGGGTTGGGCAAAGGTGAGGGTCTTAGGGTAAGTTCTCCAGAAATCTTTAAAACCATCTTATATGAGTGGATGCGCTAAGAGTGATTTATATTGCATTTATATGTCACAGTATATCTAAAAAATTTGATAGGATAGTTTGAAAATATGCACTATATCCACTCTTCAGTTTAGCTGCGGCCCTCAACCCCTTAGCCGATTCTGTCTAGATACGTGCGTAATCATTTCAGGGACCTCGAGGGGGGCTGATGGGGCTATAGCATCCCAAATAACTAACAATCTCATACAAAACCGTAGAAACCTAAAATGTACCTACAACCATACAAAAAATCGCCCTATTCATTGTTTTTAGCATGTTTGTCCCCCTCCCCCCAAACGTTTCAGCCCCATCAATCCATAATATGCACCGCGGTCCTTGAGTCATTCTATGAAATTTATAGAGAAATACAGAAGAAATGTGTGAATACGTTTTAAAGCCAGAAATATTATAAACCAAACCAAATCTCTGGCAGTTAGTCCTATCGCAAAAATTGCTGACTGTTTGCAAAGCTTTTCGTACCCTGTAAATCTCGTTATCAAGTTGCCTCTATGCCGGTTTTTTGTTTTTCAATGGCGGCAATGGAATCAAATGAAATGGACCAATTTGTGCACCAGAGAAGAAAAGTACCGTGTGAGAGGGGACCATATGTGTTCAGAAACACTTAAAAACGGTCAAGTAGGTACGTACAAGGAAAAAGTTACGGAATTAAGAATCTTAGTTGTTAATTATAGCAAAATGACACCCCATAATTTCAATTTTCAAACGGGCATGGCCTGGCTCTGGCTGGAAAACTTGCATATGTTGGTAGCTACGCTTGATTTCTTGCGCTTGCAACTACAATATCAGCAAAGTCATGCATTTTATACTACAGCCATGTACATATGAGCATAGTAGCTCGCCGCCCAAATGACTTCGCTCGTAGGGCAATGGTAAAGTGCTGTTGTTTCATCTACACGCCACGTTGGTGTCCACGAATGAAAACCTCACACCGGATATAAGCAAGTAAATTATGAAGCTTGGGCGAAGGCTTTACATCTTAATACTGATGTGAAACAGCTGTATGAAACAATGCATAATAAAAACTGTTAATCAACCTTTTTCGCCAACCTAAGCACACACAGGTAGCATCCACCCCTTACACCAATACATTGTTTTTTCTTCGTTTTGCACAATATGACAAAAATAATGATGTCCATGCATGATGTTTCCAATGTAATTTACATGGATTCCACATTGGGCTACACATATTCAAAGTGCCAGTAGAAATTATAGACCTCATAGTAGTGTCTATTATTGTTATGTATATATATAAATTTGTCTTTAATAACAATTATGATACTGTGAAAGAAAAGTATGTAAATGGTGGAAATGTGACAAATGAATACTTTGCTTGTTTCTGATGGTCTGTCTTGCTGAAAGTATCAATTAATCAAAAATATTGTTTTCTTATTCATGTAAGCAGAGCACTATTAACAAGGGCTGAATAAAATATTATGATGAGCAGGATCCATCATAGTCTTGGGAAAGACCAACATCCTTTATGAGAATATATGCTTCTGCAAGCATTTCCATTTATGCCATAACCAGGCTTTGTAAGGAACAAAAAGCAGGTGCTTGACAAACTGGATACCTTCAACTTTCTAGGCGCTTGATGGAGCATCATCAAATATTATCAATAGCAAAATTTGATTTTTTGCATTTAGTCTTTTGACAACAAAAACATTCTAGGTGCTCGATCCATCAAGCTCCCAGTTCTTTCTAGGCACCTGCAGAGAATCGAGCTCAAGCACTTCTCTTTGCAAGGCCTAGCTATAACTAATATGATGTTGAAACTTCGAAGGTGGATGATTCCTCTTGCATACTGACTTAGTAAGCAGAGAGTCTACCATTTGCCTTAAGGATTTTTGAAGAACATCTTCATCATCTACTTTTGAGAACCTAATCTGTATTCTGTTATTATCAAGCCCCATCATCTTGGAATATAGCTAATGTACATGTGAATAGTAAAAGTGATTGATTTAAGTTAAAGGAAGTGTGCCAAATTTAGAATGGATGTGTATATATTTCACCAAATGTGGCATGCATGCAATTTTAAAGGTTTTCAATCAAACTACCCATGCCTTTGCTTTTTAGAAGCACATTCACAATGCGGCAAGGCAACATAGATGAAATTGAGGTGAGGTTCTTTGAGGCCTTAGCAAGACTTTTCAACGCAATACTAAACTGAAATTTCATTGCATGGGACGTTTGACAAGACACTCTATTTTTGATTTAAACATACAGTCATGTTTTATTAGTTAGACAAAAAGTTGATTGAAAATAATGCAAACTTTCACTAGCTTTCTGGCTCTTCATTTCTTCATTTTTATCATTAGGATGTTTCACAGTGGGTGAGAGGTATATTCAAGAGATCTTGGCTGAAGCATGATGTTTACCATCTTATTTGGGATTTCAGTGGTGGTTTGATAATCATCTACTTAGCTGAAGCATTAAGTATGTATTTATTCTAACCTGTTAAAATTTGAAGAGTTCTTTCAAAATTTGTCTTACTAAAATAGAGATACTTTTATAAACTGTATTTGTTGCATGGAAATGATAATATTTGTTAAACAATTTCCTTAAACGTACAGCATGCATCAAATATCTGTTGCTACCTATTTCTCAAGATGATGTGTGTTTCTTTGTTGGAATAATTTCTAGATGAATATTTGATCGTAAAATTCATTATAGAAATAGTTGAGTGTGACTTCCTTGTTGAATGTTGAATGAAAAACAACACCTTGTCATGAGAAAACATTGGACGTTATGCGAGACCTTTTTAATTATATCAGGAAAATGACCAAGATTTTATAGAAGGGGCAAAGAGAAAGAAAAATATTAAGTCTTTGGACCAGTTAGAGAGGATGAAATCGTCCATCTGCTGACATTTTAGTGAAAAAAATGAATGATAGCGATGATATGGTCCACAAAAACATTGAAACAGATTTTAAAAGGTTCATTCGAAAAGCACAAAAAGCTGAAGCACAAGAAACTTCTGTACTTTACCTCCCATATGAGGTTCTTGTTAGTAACAATATCAGTATCAATTCATTGCTAGAAACAATTTCAATGTTGGGCAAAGGTGTGATGAAAATTCAGTTATTGGACTGCTTTTTTATTCACAACTCCAGCCTTTTCGATATGTCCTTATATCAAGACTTTGTCCCAACAAAAGGCTGTGAGGTGGTGTGTCCCAATCTGAAAAAAATAAGGTAAAATTGTTGCATAGGTAAAATTGCTTCAAAGGGTGCATTTTTCAACAAACTGGAATCATTCATATTTGAAAATTTCCTCACCCTTCTGTGGAGACCAAAGTGCCATCTCAGGTAGTACAAAAATTGAGACGTTTTATCATGATAAAGGACACATACTTATCATAGAAAATAAGCCAACAGCTCTAATTTTCAATATAGGTAGTAAATAATGTATTTTTTCTACTCGCTAATTGAATTTTTGTAGCTGCTATATAAGCAAAGTTTTAAGCCTCCAATTAATTTTTCAATGACCCACAAGATTTGCTTTGTTTCTGTTTTTATAAATATATTGCTCTGATTTGCACATTTGTTGATAAGGACGCTCGGTATTTGCTTGGGCCTGGGGAACTTAACAATGTTAATATGGTCCTGTGTTTGACAATTTAAAACTTTCCAAGCATTAAATCTTTTTCTGTACAAGTCTACAAGAGAGACAAAATGAAATGTTAAATATACCTAATTAGTCCAGTAAAACTAAGTCAAAAAATGGTCGAACCTCAAACAAATTGCAACAGAAACGAAATAATGGTTGTTTGGCTAATTAAACTATGCTCTATAACATATGAAAAGTCCTAAGAAATTCTAGAAGTAGAAAGTGTCCAAATTGCCAGCTGAATTAAGGTGGTTTAGCTAAAAAAAATTCATGGATTTTAAACGTAGAAGTCAAAGTCGAGAAGGCATATGGGTTTACAATGACTCTCGTAGTATTTCCATTAAATCTACCAAGATAATTACCCACTCTTGAATAGATATTTATTCAACATCGTGCTTACTTAATTGTGATGTTTACTTTATTTGGGGAAGTCCTCTCGAACCATTTCAAAACAAATCTTGGTGAAGGAGCTGTTGCGATCGAGCATATGATCAAATTGCATGTTGACCTTGAATCTTGACCAGAGAACCTGTTTGTTGCTTGCGTTATTTCTTCTTTGTGCAGATAATAAAACGTAGTCTACAACCGGCAAAATGGTCTGCATGACAGTTACGTAAGTTGGAGTGTGTTATCTGCAAAAAACCAATCTGGAACATAGCAGCAGGTGTCGTTCTTCGTCAGAAAGGTGCAAATGGAATCAACAACGCAAGTAAAGAGCGAGGCGACGTGATAAATGTTACTGCTGGTCAATCAGTTCACAAGGATTGTCGTGCAAATTTCACAAAGCCACAAAATATAGCAGCGGCTGCAAGAGAGACCTCCCAAGCAAGGGGCAAGCGTTTACTTCGATCTGAAGCTCAGAAATTCAACTTTAAAGAGCACTGTCTGTTTTGTGGTGAGGGGGACCGCTACCAAGGGAAGAAGAAGGACTTTTCTCTTGTACCGGTGAGGACCTTCGAATTTCAGAATACAGTTTCCGAAATATGCAATGAAAGAAATGATGAATGGGCAAGAAAGGTCGCTGAGAGAATTGAATCGGCTATTGATCTTCACGCTGCAGATGCTTTGTACCACCAAAAATGCAGTGTAAACTTTAGGACAAGAAAAGGAATCCCTTTAGTTTTCACATCAAATCAAGAAGGCGCAGCACCTCAAAAGAAGACGAAGCGTGGCAGACCACTGGAAGAAATGCAAAATTATGCCTTTGAAAGGGCTATGGAATTTTTTGAACAAAATGACGAGGAACAGCTCACCGTTTAGTTGAAGATTTAGTTGAAAAAATGGCTGACTTCCTTCAGGAATCTAAAACTTCTTCATACAGTGCTGTATACATGAAGAAGAGGATCAAAGAACGTTTCGGAGAAGATGCTATTTTCACAGAGCTGGATGGAAGAACTGATGTTGTAACCATGCGACCCTTTGCTGCAAAAATTCTGCAAAAGTTCTATAATGAGCCAAAGAAGGAGGACGTTAAGGAAGAAGAGATGGGTGTGGTTAAAGCAGCGGCAGCATGCCTAAAGAATGCCATTAAGTCATGTCCCACCTCAAAGGAATATTATGCAAGCAACAGTGATATATCATCTATTGAAAATGCAATGTCCTACCTACCAGAGTCACTGATCTTGTTACTTGACACAATTCTTGTTGGAAAAGATAAAAAAAGTAAGATTGCCTCAATTGGTCAAGCAATCGTGCAGGCGGCGAGACCTAGAACATTGATTGCACCTTTACAACTTGGTCTTGGGGTTCAAATGCACCACCACTTTGGATCGAGATTTCTGGTCGACTCACTTCATAGGCATGGATTTTGTTGCTCCTATTCAGAAGTGCAAGCTTACGAAAGGAGTGCAGCTATCAAAGATGGAGTTGAGCTGAATATCCCTGAGGGATAAACGCTAGTTCAATATGTTGCAGACAACGTCGATCACAACATTAGAACTATTGACGGAAGAAATACTTTTCATGGAATGGGAATGATTGCCACTATCACCCCAAGGAGTGCTGCCCGTCCTTCAACATTTATCCCAAGGCGATGCAACATATCATCTGATGAAATAGCAGCCATCGGTGCAATTAACATCAAGCAGTACAATATAGCCAATAACCAACTCAACATCAGGTACGATCAGTTGCTCTCAAATGAAATTGTTGATCCAACATCAAAATTGGATCTCTTATGGCAAGTTTCTTGGTTGCTGAACCCAAGAAGGCCATCATGGTCTGGAACAATGCAATGGTGCCACCAGGGGGAGTATCCAGGCAAGTCATCTGTTATCTTTTTGCCAATGATCGATTTGGATCCCAGCAATGTCACTTGTATTCACTCTACCTTAGACTTGGTTTCTCACCATGCCAAAAAATATGATGTGACACCGATTCTCACTTTTGATCAGTCGCTATGGTGGAAAGCCATTTGTATCATCAAAGGGGAGCCAATTGATAGCCCTTTGCATCAAATAATTTTGCGACTTGGAGCTTTTCATACAGAAACGAGTTTCCTCGGAAGTATTGGATATCTCATGAGAGGGTCAGGATTGCAAGAATCTCTCGAGCTTATATATGCTGATAATGTTGTCCCACATATTCTCACTGGTAAAGCTATCTCCCGAGCAGTACGTGGCCATCAGTTAGTCGAAACAGCTCTTAATGCTATTTTGTTATCGAAAGCCTGTGATGTACCATTGCCTACAGATGCTGACAGAGAGCAGGATGCTGTCGATACAAAAGGAGAGGCTCCAGAGGCTCAACAGCGTGACAGAGGTGCAGAGGCAGCTGCTGAGTTAGAAACCCCAGAAGTATCCAGTGATTTGAGGAATTTGAAAGTTATGTTTGAGTCACTGATGCGAGGAAGGGTTTCTATGGGATATGTTTGTCAATCACATGATTTTGAGGATGTAAGGCAGAAGATACTCGATGCCAAATCGTCTTCAAGCAATTCCAGGACAAGAAAGCTTTGGTTGCAGTACCTTGGAATGATAGAGATTCTTCGCACATTTATCAAAGCTGAGAGGACCGGAGATTGGAACCTGCACTTGCAAACTGTTCAAGCTATGTTGACTTACTTTGCCGCCTCGGGACACAACCTCTACACCAAGAGTGCACGAATATATTTGCAAGAAATGAGCAAGCTAAAGGATGATCATCCACGTGTCCATGATGCCTTTGAGAAGGGATTCCATGTTATCAGACGCTCTGATCGTTATTGGGCTGGATTATCCTCAGACCTCATCATAGAACAAGTTTTGATGCGAAGCCTTAAAACCTCTGGTGGCTTGACAAGAGGAAGGGGAATGTCCGAAACACAGAGGCTGATCTGGTTGTTATCCATGCCAGCAACTGCTGAGATCAATGAAGCTATGCAAGAGTTTACTGAAGTTACTTTCAGCAGCAGTGAGCAACATAAAGATACGTCAGAAGCGAGAATTAGCAGAGATTTGAAAGACACAAATTCACTTCTTTCATTCTTTCAGGTAAGAGATCCATTTAGTGACGACTGCAGTCTTCGCAACATTGTGACAGGGGTAACAGCAATAGATACAGTCAATGCTGACGTTGCAAAAGAAGTTGGAAACAAGATTCTTGAAAAGATGACAGGTCAATATTGCAAAGATTTTGTGTTCAAAAGAGCAAACCAGGCCATTACGCTTGATGCAAAAAAGCACCCAAAGGAAACAGATGGAGACATTCATGTAGGACCCCAGCTGTTATTTCAAAGACTTATTGCCGTTAAAAGTCATACCATTGAAGATACATCAAAACTTTTCAGCTACGAGCTCTGTTCTGTTCCAGCATCTTTATTTGAAACAAATGGCTCCTCGAGAAAAGCTAACAAGCCCGTCCTGGCGAGTACCATAAGAAAAATGGTTGACACAGAGATTGAAATACCATCGCAGCCAGTAAGGTATGTTTTAGATGGGGGCTCTTTGCTGCAACGGATATCTTGGAAGCGTGGAGCATCATATGCCTCCATTATCGATAGTTATGTGGCATATGTGAAAAGGAAGTACACAAAAGCTTTCATAGTTTTTGATGGGTATACCGCTGGTCCTTCGCCCAAGGACATGACACATCAACGAAGAGTTGGCTTGTCGTCTGGAACAACGGTGAAATTGGAAGAAAATATGCCTCTTACTATAAGGAAAGAAACCTTTCTTGCAAACAAAGAAAACAAGCAAAGGTTTATCAACATGCTTGCAGCAAAGTTGAAGGCAGAGGGCTGTGATGTCTACCATGCTGATGCTGATGCTGATCTTCTGATTGTTCAAAAAGGGATTGAGCCCTCAGTGGAAGAAGAGACGGCGGTGATTGGTGAAGACACAGATTTGCTAATTTTGCTCATTTACCACGCAAACAAAGAGTCGAAAAAAATCTACTTCTACTCTGAGTCCAAGCAGAATGCTAGAGGTACAAATGTCTGGGATATTAAACTATGTAAGGAATTGTTGGGCAAAGATATATGCAACAATATTTTGTTCCTACATGCCATTCTTGGGTGCGACACAACATCTAGCTTGTATGGCATCGGTAAAGGGTTATCGTTGAAGATATTCCAACAAAATAAACACTTACAACGACAGGCTGCAGTGTTCCAGAATGATCTTGCCAACTCCGAGGAAATAGCATCTGCTGGCGAGCATGCCCTCGTTTGCTTATATAAAGGAAAGGAAGGTGAAGGACTCGATGCCTTGCGTTACAATACCTTCTGTGATAAAGCTATTTCTGGTAAATCTGTTATCAGCCCACAGGTACTTCCACCCACCTCTTCTGCTGCTAAGTATCACAGTTATCGAGTTTTCGCTCAAGTAATGCAATGGAAAGGAAGAGATCTCGATCCTACAGAATGGGGGTGGATCATTGAAAAAGGGAAAATGATGCCTTTGCAAACTGATCTTCCATACGCACCAGAAGAGCTCCTCAAGTTGATCAGCTGTAATTGCAAAAAGGGGTGCGCAAATCTTCGATGCAGTTGCAAAAAGAATGGTCTGAAATGCACAACGTGTTGCGGAGAATGTCGCGGAGTGAGCTGCGAGAACGCCATGCAGGCAGATATGGAAGAAAATTTGGAGGACAGTTTGTGAATAATTTAGAATGACCAATATCTAATTAATTTGTTTGATAATTTTTCGTTTTTGATTATTTAGATAATTGGTTTGGTTTAGTTTGGTATAGTTTGGTTGTTTTCGTATTTTGGCTTGAAATCAAAAGCGTCAATCGCATTCAAGACTCAAAATAGAGAAATAATACCCTTGTTAGTCCAAATTTCATGAGACTTTGCAAAGCGAAAATCATTTTGTAGATAGGTAAGACGAATTAAGACGAGTTAAGACGAGTGCATAATTACTGAGCGACTCCAAAAACGCCTAATTTGGTAGAAGACCATATTTTGCAGCATTCACCATATTTCAAAATTTAGCCAATGTACTACCTTAAATGGCATTTAAATTTTCCAATGTTCCACTTCAATGATTTTCTAGGACTTTTTTGCTCAAGGTATAAATACATTTTGTAATCTTTTTAGCATGTATTCATTCCTGTTGCAATTTGTTTGAGCTTACACCACAAATTGACTGGACTAAATCCTCAGGTTCACAGCATAATTATTAATGCTATTAGAATTGCTAAAGATTTTTTCTATTTCTGTTAATTTGTTACAGCTTGTAGAAAACTGCCATTGCTGCATTCTAAACCAAAGGACTTTGCAGAGAAAATTGGCAACATTGAATTGGCATTGCAGGCATTCAAAGATGATGGGGTTGAGTTTCCTGGCATATTTGCACACGGTAAGGTGTTTTACATGATCTGTTACCAAGGTACCTGTATCCAGGGGCACCTGCACAAGATTAAGACAGGAGGGGCAGTGTTGGTTTAAGGGCAAATAGTAGAATTTTTCCATTACTAAAATCGATTATTTGTGAAGGGTGGGGGGATGCATAATGAAGTATTGGCATTGATCTGTTCTTCCCATAGAGCTGGGATTTTTCAGTCGAAGGCTCTAAACATAGGCACAATGTTAACATAATTATCCATGCAAGTGGGTATTAAATGGCCTGTTCATTATTCGAAATTTTTGGTTTTACGAAAATCATGCCAATGATAAATGAGCTGGCTGTAAGACTGATTGTCCGCTTAGCCTCAATACTCCATGGTTGCAGAATCATTGAGAATGCAAATAGGAAAATAATAATCACAATAAAGGAAGGTAAATCAAATAATTGTTTACCTCAGCGCGTTTCTTATATTAAAGGCATTGAGTCATGATTAAATGGATGGGGTATACTCAAAGTGCCAACATCCGCTGAGTCATGTTTTTCATCACTGTGATGCTATTGGTTGACCTTAAACTAGTCACATGAATTCACCTCATACTGACTAACAATAAAATAAATTCAATCAAATAGATTTTAGGTACTTGAAAGAAAGCTCTCACATTAACAGCTACTGTGATGTATTTCTTCAAGATATTACATCACTCGCCGAGCAACATGTGCCAACTAAAAAGCGTTTAAAGAAAGAATCACAATCATAAGTAAAACCTTGGACAAACAGTAAAATTCAAAATATGATGAATATCAGTAACAAAATTCTACGAAAAATGGAAAAGAATCGGGACATCAGCAGTAGCTTTGTTTAAAAAATTTAAAAATCGTGTGGCAAATGAATTGAAGAAAAGCAAACATAAGTAAAATCATGGATAAAAACGGTGACATCTCGTCTGAACCTACTTAAGTGTCATATTTATTTAATGATTACTTGTTAATTCTGCAAATTATATAAAAAAGTACCAACAACGCCAAAATCTGCTCTAGATTACTTCAGAAACAAAATCTACAAAATCTGCCCTACCTCAATGGCCTTGTCCCCAGTCACCAATAAGGAAATTGAGGACAAAATATCAAATCTTGATTCACCAAAATCTATTGGTCCGTTTAGTATACCAATTAATTTATCGAAAATCATAAACCTCCACGTCTCTCATCCACTTGCAAAATTTATCAACGAGTTAAGGGAATATTTCGATCCAAATCCAAAATTGCTAAAGTTATTCCACTTTTAAAACAGGGAAACCCTGAGAATACATCCTTACTGCCAGCCAATCTTTAGTAAATTGTATGGAAATGTCATGTACAAAAGAATATATTCCTTCGTTACATCAAAGAAAATAATACATCCTTTAAAATTTGGCTTTCAAGAAAAGCATTCGGTTGACCATGCATTAATTAGTATAACCGAAGCTATTCGAAATACGTTGCATGATAAAAAAATTGGATGTGACCTTCAAAAAGCCTTTGATACTGTCAATTACTCTCTAAATTAGAGCACTATGAAGATTCCTTGTGGTGTTCCCCAAGGGTCAGTACTTGGATCCTTGCTTTTTCCACTCTTTATCGACGATTTACCCAGTGTTTCAAAAAATTACCTTTCTACCCATTTGCAAATGATACTAACATGTACTATGAGTCAGAAAGTCCTGAAAGGCTGGCTAAAAAATTAAATACCGAACTCAAATATGTCAAAAGATAGCTTGATACAGATAAACTCCCACTGAATATTGATAAAACCAACTACACTTACGTTCAAAACATATTGGGACAAGTTCGATAAAAGAAGATATAAACAGCCTTTTTCAAATAATCTAGGCCTATGTATCTCAACAATGTGGTTAAAAGGTGGAAAAACACTTCAACTTTTGAATTATATAGCAATAAAAGCACTGGGCTCTTAAAATTTTCTTATAAATAGTAGCAAACCTGCAAAAAAGTTGTATGGCCTAATAACGGCAAACTCATATTGTTTAGCGTACATAAAAGACATCAAAACATCAACATTGTTTTGCGAAAATTTCATGGAAAAGCTGCTGTACTTTTTTAATGAGAAAGATTTTAAAAAAGTCTTTACAAATTTATTGCATGAAATGTCTTCGAAATTTCGAAGTTTGTCCCAATACTTTTTTAACGTAAGTGTATATAACCTTCCATTCCCCTGTCATTACTTTTCCTGTCACTACTGTGATTAAAATAGGCAATAAGCATATTTCCAAAGTGACATATATAAAATTTCTTGGTCTTTTATTGGATGAACACCTTCGAATTGTCAAGAAAGTTATCTAAAATCTGAGGAGTCCTTCTTAAAATCAGAAATTATCTACCTACGGATACCTCTAAGTGCATATTCAATTCTCTGTTTGTGTCATTCCTACAATGTGGTATTACTATTTGGGGCCAGACTTACGACTCGCACATAGGACCAATATTTTAACTGCAAATAAAAGCTATCAGGATTATAACTAATCAGACATCCCGTTCCAATTTCTTGCCTTTTAACATTTACAATTGCTTAGATTATCAGCCAATTTTGAACTCAAACTCTTAAATTTTATCTATAAATCAACGCAACTCCTAACACCATCCTGTTTCCACGGCTATTTCTCTTTTAATTCAACAATGCAGAACTATAAAACGCGTCAATCCTCCCGTGGTGATCTTAATACACTTCGATACGGTGTAGGCTCTATTAGATATATGGGGGCCTTTCTTTGTTTATTTATGTAAATTTTTTATCTTTTGTAATCTTGTTATATAATCTTTTTTAATTTTTGCATATTGAATGATTTTTGTATGTTGTGGAAATCAAACACGCGTCTTTATGGACGATCGCTAAGTCAACAGAATTTAAGTTTCATGTAACTGGCATGAAGGACCTCACCCAGTATGCAATAACTGCCTGTTACTGTGCCTTGACCTCTCAAATATGAAAATTTCTAATCGGTTAATCAATGGTTTTTTGATATTCTATAATGACCAATGCAACAATAGCAGTTTCAGAATATGATTTAAGTAGAATTATGGGTGTCTTGACGAGAGAAATTTTTAATTTTTTAGTTCGTCCTAGCTGCAAATGATGTCGCAATTTAATCAGAAAACAAATCACAGAATGTTGTAAAGTAAATCAATTCATCGCTAACAACAAAACCAGCACAATAAGAGAATCACTTCAAATTATTATGCTGTCTTTAAATTTTACTTTACAATCATATTCAGTTGATTATTGTTCTTTGTCTTTTCAGATATTGCCAATGGCGACGAAGAGATCATAATAATGCTTTGCTATATATTAAAACACCATTACTCTGCTGATCAACCAGCAAGAGGTTCGTACGTCGATATGCTTTAATACGAGTTATGTACACGAGTTTTAATTTCAAGTATTTTCCTGTGGCAGTATTGTATGATAATATTATCTTTTTTTTGTTTATTTTTGGTTTTCTGATCACCAAACCTTTAGTGCGATTATCCAGAAAATTCAAGGTGTTGGCATATTTTTGTTTTATTTTTGTCTCTGTTTTGTAACTTATTGAAAGTTACTGATTCGTGAGATCATTCTGTCCTTCAACTGCAATCTTTTCCCATTTAAAAGCAGTTTTTTGTTGGTTTAAAGTGCCTATGAAGCGAAATTTACCATTCCAATATTTTAAAAGAGATCTATAGAATCCTTCGCCCTTGTTCTTATACAAAAACAGAATTCCGATAAGTTAAATGGTTCTTTTTTTATTGATTGTCAAAGCATGCACATTTTGCAGTTGCATTGCGAAATTTTATTTCCCGCTGTGACGTCACAGTGATGAGTGGGGGTGAAACCATTTAGTCAGGTCTGTTAAATCACTTATTAGGTTGAATTGTGCAAATTGTGATACTAGCATGAAACTTTGCAATAATGGACAGTTTGATTCGCTGAAAAAGATATAATAAAAACCCCAACTGAAAATTGCCCCCTTCAGCTATTTTTAGCTGGGGTACTTTGCCCCAAGACTCTAGCGGAGATATTACGATATCTCTGCTGTAGGTAAGTACAATAACATGAAACTTTGTAACAAGTTACAATCTGATACGCTAAAAACGATAGGATATAGGCCCCAACTGAAATTTACCCCCTTTTCTATTTTTAGACTGGGGTACTTTGCCCTAGACCTTTAGTGACGGTATTATATCGTATCTCAGTCTCGCTTTGGTAGAATAGCATGAAACTTTGCAATAAGGGGCAGTTTGATACGCTCAAAAATATCAGATATGAATCCCGACTGAAAATTTCCCCCCTGTTCTATTTTCAGAGTGCAATATATAAATAGGAACTATATCACATCTTTGTCAGCCTATCAAAATGCCTTTATATTGAGAGTTTCTGATCTCCGTTTATGGCCAATGGTAGAATTAGAGGTCTGTATCAGTACCCCAGTCCAAAAATAGAACTTATGGGCAACGTATGATTTGGTTCTATATTCAATCTTTTTCTGCATGTCAAACTGCCATTATATTGAGAATTCCAAGATTCTATGACCTAGCGTTCTCCGTTTATGGCCAGGGGTCTGGACCAAAGTACCCCAGTCTAAAAATAGAATTTAGGGGGCATCATATGATTTGGGTTTATTTTACATCTTTTTCGGCTCGGTAAACTGCCTTTGCATTGTGAATTTCAACTTTCTATGAACTGGCATTTACTTTTTATGGCCAATTGTACAATTAGGGGTCTGGACCAGAGTACCCCAGTCTAAAAATAGAATTTAGGGGCAAATTATGAATGGGATCTTTACCATATCTTTTTTGTCTTGTTAAACTGTCTTTTTATTGTGAATTTCAACTTTCTATGACCTGGCATTCTCCGTTTATGACCAAAGGTACAATTAGGGGGATTGACCGGAGTACCCCAGTCTAAAAACAGATCTTATGGGCAAGATGTAATTTGGGTCTATATCACATCTTTTCAGCGTATCAAACTTGGAATTTTCTGAAATTTTGGTGCTTGTATCACAATTTGCACAATTTTTCTGTACAACCGCAGTTTCCTGATTGCTGTCGACCCGACTCATCACTGCGACGTCACAAACTGGCCTTGGTTTTCGCAAGTACTTTCTAATTTCAAACTCTGATTAAACACACTTTTGCTGGTCAAATCATGACAATTTTGGTGTCAAACGTATCAGAAAGAATGGGAAAATATAAGTCTTTAAGAAAGCAGGACAAAAAATTTCGCTGCATTGATTTTTTGTTGGTTACTAGCTTAAAACTATCGTTTTCTTTATCTATAGTCATTAATAATCTTGCGAGTCGCGTCTTCCTCAGGACCAGCCATGTAGCTGCAGGGGGACACGGGGGGCTGTGCCCACTTAAATTAAAATATTGACAACAACTTACCCCCTCTGGCTACAGTTTTTCCAAATGATGTTTTGAAAAGTTGGCATAATTATGACTCCGTGAGCTTGATTTAGTCCAAATATATCTGTTTGCAATGTATCTATTTACTTGTTTTAAAGCCTGCCCCCTCAGGTATAGTTCCTGCTCGAGTTTGCCCACTCTAACTGACATCTACAGCTACGTGGTTGCTCAGCACGTGGAAATCTTTATCTTCATAGAAACCAAAACTTGCCAACGTGGATCTGAAAACTATCTTCTATTAAGGCTTCTATTCACTGTAATAAACACCTGATTTGGTTGAGAGGAGTTTGTTTTCTTTGTCAGCTGGATAACTTACTGTCATTTGACTTATTTTAGTGATGAATTATCTAGGTTTTATTTCAGTGGTGGTCCCAATTTGTACCCCCTAATGTATTATGTCCATATATATTGCATTTCTATGGACAATGGCAAAAAATTGCTGATTATTCGATGACATGACTACAACTGTTTTGTGATTTGATCGGTTTAGAGCAGACTACTGGTACACAGAATGTTCATTCCTGCTCATATAATCTATTCTGTGGCTTGTACTCTGATTGGTTTCAACCTAGCTACACGTCTCTCAAAGCGTGGAACTTGTACAGATACTATACTTGAAGTTATTGACTCAATAACGGTCATTTGTATTCTAATATTGTCAATACTTTTTACAATTATGTTCAATTGAATGCTTCTTTTGTTAGCAAAAGCGCTAAAAGAATTTTTCTAGAGGGAAAATGTAGGGCCCACGAGATATTAAATGTCTGATAGAAAACAGAGGGTCGATGCTAATGACTTATTCAGCAAATGGTGTGAAATATCTGGGTCTCTTCTATTTAGGATGAATATTGATAATTCATTTTTTGTTGTTATGAACATTGCTATACCAATCAAATTTTGTTGATTTTACAGCTATCTTTGCAGAATATTGTCACTTTAGATTTTGTAGAATTTAGATTTTGTCAATTATTCTTCTCTGACCTATGTTTTATTTCTCTTATTCATCCTTTTTACTGCTATAATATTTGCTTGATTATACTATATAATTTTACATTTCTGATAGTTGGCACTAATCGGCATTTACAAAGCTGCCAGGGTTGTTGACTTTTAAAAAATATTCTATATGCATGCAAGTCACTTAGGCAATTGTACCGCTGGTAAGTGAGTTAAAAATTTCCTGGAAATTATGGAATGGAAAGATTTATTTGCAAGAAGGATTGCTCAGTATCTTACGAAGCAAAATGCCTTAATCTAAAACTAAGTAATGTTTTTTACATCTTTTCATCAAGTTATTGCTAGAAAGTTTGGCCCATACCTAGCTTTGGCATAAGTCTGTTTCTTAAATTCGATACTTTTTCATTGATCAATTCCTAATTAATTGTTTTTGCCTGTGAAGGTTGGACAATCGATGTTGAACAAGCCTCGCATCTTGGGCCTTTGTTCTTGTTCGATGATGCATCGAAAGCGTCTGGTAAGTTCGTGCTTCTCAGCTTGTATAGTCGCGCATCTAAACAATAATGGCTTCTTTTTCACCATTTGGTGGTACATTTTGAGAGTTTACTTAGCATGTGGTTATTGCGTTGCATATGACGTTAACTGGTTTCCAAATGTTGTTTGTTCATTTTCGGTGAAATTCACCCGTCGAATTGACGATTTTTCTGTTACTTCATTGCGTTGTTTACCAGTTAACTTGTACTTGTTTTTGTTCACTGTGCAGTTATTTGTAGAAATCGAGATTTAATAAGGCAAAATGCGCAATAGAATTTAGAAATACTCAAGATAATTTTTATTCTTTGAGTGATTGGTCTTAAATTTTCAAAACCGTCAAAAAAATGTAGTTCAACTTAATCCCCATTCTTTGGGTAGATTAAAAGAAATGTTCAGAATCTGTGTCACATTTCAAAAAACTTTTGCTTAATAGGTAAAGACGAAATATGAAAAACAGTTATTTATCAAATCACCTACAAATACTGATTAAAACATTTAACCGTAAACTAGAATCGAGGACGTGAACTGAAGGAAGTTTCACTTTGAAAAAAGTTGGCTGTCTTAATCAGTCGAAAATTATGAAAGCGAGTCAAAGATAAACAGATTTCTATCTGGAATTTTATCTGCGATGCATTCTGATGAAAACTGAAGTAACTGTTACTGAAAATAAAAAGCAAATATTAAGCTTTTATGAATTGCGTTTCAGAAATACTTTATATGGTTGTATTAGAAAATGAAGGAGGGAAGTTTGAAGTATTTCATAGTTTGGAGCAATGTCAAAAAACTGTCCTCTTTTTTACGCTTCTAACAATTTGTGTTATATTGTAACATTTCGCGACCTATTATTATCTTTGAGACTAGCTGCTATCTTCTAAGTAGATTAGGCAACAAGCGGTTCTATATTTTAAACCAAGATGACTAACTTGTATCCCTTAACGTTGCATGTAGAAAGTATTTGTAGTGAACAGTTGTGTGATATTATGTTCTGGGCTGTAAGCATTTGCCAATAAGAAAATCCTAGCTAGGATAGATTGTTTCATTTTTGTTGAAATGAAAATTTATGGCCCAAGATCAAAATTCCCCTCCTTTTTCACGTTTCTTTGAACAATAACCATAGATAGCTTTTGCAATACTGTGTTTCTGTTCATGTTCTCTTTCTGTCATCCATGCCAACATTGTTTTAAAAAGTAATTGTGTTTCGACGTGCATGAATTGGAGCTAAACCAAGTTTAGGCGCGACCTTGGCAATCTGCTTCTCTTACTGTATTTCATAGCCAATTCTCCTTTCTTCATTCAGTTGACAATCGTCTTGATTTTGAACCATTCGAGAAAGAAGATATTTCTCTATTTGACTGGGTTTCGCATCAAATCGGCAAAGAAATTCTCGATTATCAAATGTAAGTAATACAAATTGCATGCCACAATTGCAGTTTTTAATTACGTAAATTAATTAATATAGCATAGATTCAGAGGTCGGAGTTATGTTTTGCCTTGATGAAACAATTCCTTACTATTATTGTTTTCAGTTTTGTGTTTTTACTGATTCGGTGATAATGTTATAAGGTAGAATAAATTTGGCAGGGCCTATCGGTTCTCTCGACCTGGGAATGACATGGGGGCCTTGCGGTTTCGTTAATCATTTTGAGCCATAATACCATCTTGCAATTTTTGCTAATCCAATGGGTAGGAGGATTTGGCCCACTGCCCCCGGTGATTACGCCACAGCTCTAACCCCAACGATGCCATGATCAACAGCAACAGCAACAGCAACAGCTAACGCTTCACTTGATAAGCCATTCATTTAGGTTCCCTTACATCAAAACCTAACCATTTTCATTAAAGATTTTTAATTGTCTTACAGCCCATTATATATTGATGTATGATGGATTTGTAAACAAAATAGGTTCTAATCACTAAAAACTAACCCATTAAATTGTTTTTAAGTTTTTCGTTTTTTCTCAGACTTTTTTCCAAATCATTCATCATGCTGCCATGTTTTCATATCATTCAGCAAAACCCAAATTTTGCAACATGTCTCGTATTCTCACAACAAAAAGCCCTTCTTTTTTTTACTTGAACAGCTGCACAATTTGCTACGTCTTTGGCCCAAATTTATACTGTCAAGATTTTTAAAACCATCCACTTATGTTCTGTGAAGTCAATTTCAGTCTCTTCTCTTTTCCAGATCTTGCATTATTATAGCAGGGCTGCGCTCCCCCCCTCCCCTGCTATATTTGCAAAAGAAGACAATTTTTTTGCAAAATATTTTGCAAGTCTTTAATTGGTGCTTGGCCCTTTATTTTTCAACTTATGTTGGAGCCAGTGTTAGCTTTCTAAAATGCCGAAGTTTTCCTACGTAATGTCCTACGCTTCGCCCTACTGCTAGTTTTCGGGGATCCATTTGTCGAAGCTCAATCATTATTCTGCTACCAAAAACTCCTGAAATGATTTCATTCTTATTTTCTGTTCCATTTTAAAAACCAATTTAAATTCAATTCCTTAATTCATGTCTCTACTCCTGCTGAAAATATATTGTTTACCCGCGTAAAGTGGGCCTTTTAAATTTTATTTAGGCAATTAAGCTAATCAAGCCTTAATTGTTGGATTGACATTGTATCTTAAACATTTTTGGCAGCCAATTTGAATTCAAATGATGCTAGGCGCTGTCTTTGTAAGGATCCTTTCAATTATTGTGACGTTAACATAAAATAACATTCTTAAACGTTGCCAAATATTTATGATAATGACCATTTTATACACCCACTCTGAAACTTGTGTCGCATTTGGTATATCGTTGCAATGTCACGCGTCTGTACCCAACAATGGTATGAGATTGCAGGCACCTTCAGTCACTTAAGACGCATCTCCCTTTCCCTCATCTTCATTCATATTGCCTGCTAAAACTGGCGCCATACCAGGAATCCTAGCACAAGCTTGTCCTGTGATCTTACCGCAAGTGTTTGTTTTTGTTTGCGTGTATCTGTCACACACGTTTTGGAATCTCCGTGATGACGTCAAATGTGGTTTTAATGACGTAATTACATAAAAAGGGATGAAATACAAAACGACACCGTGCTTATCAAATTGGTAAATTGCCCCTTAACCAACCCATTAAAACTCATTTGCATTGCTTCCACAGTTATTGTTAATCTAGTTAGATGTTTTACGAAATCAGTAAATTGATTTTATGTAGATTAAAAGGCGTTTATTACCCGTTACAAAGTGTGACAACGAAAATGTCTGTAGGATGTCGTATGTCCCTGCCAATAATCCCTGTACCGTTCGCCAAATTTCTGCACATTTCAATAGCATCGCATCTTCCCCCATCAAGCAAATGCTGTTGTTCAGGTTTTTAATTCATAAGATACTCGTTTATGAGAACTAGTACCAGGATGGCCAAAATTTAAGAATCTTCCGATAGAGGGGTTGGAGCTGCCGACAGGGGGGCTAAAATGACTAAAATGAGCAGTTTTCGTACGTTATTTTGTCAAATTTGCTCCGACAATAACCTACAATTTCCTCCGACGGTGGGGGGGGGGGAGCTAGATTCTTCCGACGGAGGGGCTGTAGCCCTCCCCTGGCGCCACCACTGTTCAGTAGTAGGGTCAAGAAAAATTAGGAAGTTTTTTCTTGTTGATTTTTCTTTGGAAAAGATAGCATACTTGGGATTTTTAAGACTATTTATTTTTAAATGGCTTTGAAAAAAGCAAACATTTAGTAAACTAAAGCTTTTCGTCTGACACTCTTCAGAGTTTTAAACGTCAGAACATAGATCAAAAACTCTACGCTAGGAAATATATATACCCAGTTGTGGATCGAAATAGGCCAATCAGAAACACGAGCACATGACTGTATAGGTTGACCAATCAGTGCCGCTTGCCTATTGAGAATGTTACCAATGGAGTCCTAAGGTGAAAACGAACTCCTTTTGTCTACACAGTAGCGGTTTTTTCGTGCTTATGTAGATAGATTCCAAAACTGCTAGGTGGAACGACGATCGGGCTTTACCAATAATCCGAAACATTCCAAACATGTCGCCATTGTAGTTTTTTGCACAATCTGGGTTTTCTAGTAAATGCTGCCCGATAGCAGAATCGCAGGTTTTAGTTGTAATTTTAGATTTGCAAGACCGAGGTGGCTGTTCTCTTTGCGGATGGGTTTTGTTTCTAATATTAGATGGATGGAACATGCTGTTTTATTCTATCCTCCAATCTTTGGATAGTGCGTCCCACGTAGCCAGAATCACACTGGCACGTAAATTCATAAACAACGGAACTTTTTTGTGTGGCAGGAACGCAGTCCTTTTGAATGGACGGAAGGGCCTTTTTCGTACTATAAACAACACGTGGGTTGTAATGGCCTGTTTTATTTGGCTTTCAAAACGTCGGGAACCGTCACCGATCCAGGGTAGTTTTAGTTAGACCCGGCACTTTTGAGGACCAAATTTTACGTCAGCCGAGAAATTTCCTATCTTTTCCAGAAAGATCTTAGCTAGTTTTTCAAGTTCCGAGTCGAGTTCAGACTTGCAATATCGCGCCGTTTTGTTGTTCTTTCATCAACATGGCTGACCAAAAACGTTTTCTCTTGATGTTGTCTCAAACGATAGCCATTTTTGTGGCTTTTTCGTTGCGACAATATGGCCTGCTTTGTTCCAACGAAACTGCTTTTTATTCATAGAAGAAACACTGTGTGCCGCCATTTCCCACTTTGTTTGGATTGAAAATGACTCAGTAACGCATGCGCACATCGTTACTTTCTAGCTCGCCTAGGAGGGCCAGCCCTCCTGATTGTGTTAATGTGGGAAATCGGCTAGCCCTCTTCCATATAAATAGGCCCTAAGTGACTGTCTTACGAAAATGCCCAACCTGGGTTAGCTTGTCTTGTGCTCTTGGGCTTAGGCTTGACCTGTTAAGAAGTAGGGAATGATATTTTAACCATGTGTCAGAAGCCATGTGTCAAAATCCAAAAGTCATTTTGTCTAAGCATTATAAATACTTATTAGCATCAAAACTTGATCGTTTGTTGTCCTGGTCGGTGTACCTCTGTAAACACTGCATGGCAGCTCTTTCATTCTTAAATTGATTTCGTTATTAATTACTTTAAGATTATTCTAACAAAGTAATAAAGAGAAAAACCCCTTTGAATTTGCCCTTGCGTGTCTTGGCAGTTAATCAAAGATCGTCTTTCAGCGTGTGGTTTTAGGGCAAACGAAGTTGTTTCTTTAGGCCAGCTTTCTTATTCGAGTTGATTACTTTGTTAGCAAATTAGCATATCAATCACGTGTAAGTAGTTGATCCGATAAAGAAGGAAAGCATCATAGAAATCTCGTTAGTCAATGATACGCCTAACACATTTGCAAATAGACTCATTTATAAGGGTTAATGTATGCCTTATTGTTAATGTATGCCTTATTGTTAATGTATGCCTTATTGTTAATTTCTGCTTATTTTTCGATTGTCGATTGCGTATACGTTGCAGTGTTGGTTTTTAATCCCCGCAAATATTCCTTGTAGCGCCCTATTGCCTAAGTGTTGTTTGAAGAAAATGATAGTTTCCCCTAGGAGAGACCGACACTCAACCGACACTGCACCCGCCCCGCCCTTCCCAAACCCCCCCTCTCCCAAAAGCAAGATTGATCTTGAAAGTAGACTTTAATGATAAGCTGGTGGACTTTAATGACTACGTTTATTCGCCATTAAACAATGTGCAGCTTAACAGTCTACAACGTCTGTAAAACTGAATTGGCTATCAAACAAAGAACGAAGAGAATTTAACCTTCTAAAGCCAACACATAAAGCCATTTACAGTGAAAATTGGCCAGATATAAACAAACTGTAAATCAAAACTATGAGTAGACCACTACGAGACAGCACCGAACTGCAAACATCGCTAATCAATGGAACTTTCCAAGATGAAGTTAGTAGATACTTCTACCAGTTTCCAGGAGAAAATTGGAACGCTGAAAATCTTCTGTTAAGCCCTGCGGAATCATCTACTTGCGAGAATCAAAGAAAAACGACAGTTTTAAATCATTTTGAAAATTTTTTTGGCAGTATCATAATATCTAAACCAGTTATTTCTAATAAATTTCAATAGAGTTTGTACAAGAGAGGAAGAGCCACAACTATATTGTGGAAAAACTCGAGATAACCAGTGTGACTATCTGATAGAAACTTAAACCATCCTCTTGTGTCGGGGCCATTTTTCCCTTTGAACCCCCTTGGCCTTCCCTGACCCTTGCTCAACTGCTTCATGTTCTGAACTAGGAATTGTCACGATCGGTGAAAAGTTTCTTTTTATGAGATATTTGAAATGATTGGTACCCTCAATCCACCCTTAATGAAGGAGATTAGAAAGATTGGAAAAAAATGAGCCGCGTCATAGAAACCTGAAGTAAGGGCAAATGCATTATGTCACAATTAAAATGAGATTAATGGGCCAAAGACTATGGTAACAGCTGCTTTATGTAGAATTCAAAACGAAACTTCACTGTTGGCATTTAAGGGAAAATTGGAACATATCAAAATTACTATGAGCAACCCAAATACACGAGAACATGGATAAAACCTGCTTCCCCTTCCCAAAAATAGATGAACTGTGTCTATCTAGTATTTTTGTAAATGCATGTTGCATTTCGATTCAGGTAAAGGCAAATCTAATTAGCATATACACTAAGAAATTTCAAAAGCTTCTAAAGCAAGTATCTTATTTGAAATCTTTAAAGTATAATCGCATATGTAACATAATTCTACTTCGAAATATCAAATTTCATGGAAATTGTACCGTAAAATATCGGACTGACCTCTCCAAGTGCCCCACCCATTCATTTAAGTCATTTCATTCTAATATTTTGTCATCGTAATATTTTGTCCATCTTTAATGCCCTTTATTCGGTTCTTCAAAGTTTGCGATCTTGATTACAATATACTGAAAATCACAAGCTACTGAGTTAGCAACACTGAGATAAATGAGGGCAAATTCAGTCATTCCCCTCTCCCCCTGAGAACAGTGCTGGTTTTGTTTAAAACGACGTGGGAGATTAGGAAGCTCGTTTTTTCGTTTGACCTGTATGATATTTGCCTAAATTATCAGCAAGTAGCATTCTTTTGGAAGAATCGGAAAAAATTCAGAGAACTTTATGTTGAGAGAAGTCTGCAGAAAACTTTTATTCTTAGAGCATTTTTCTCTTATATTAGCATATTTTATCTCATATTTCTCTTAGAGAGCCAGTCCCACAATATTTTTATCCAGCGGATTTATAATGCAGATGATGCGAAGAAATAAAAAGTTGCTCTAACTATTTTATTTATGCGCCATGATAGTGAAATTCAAACCACATCCATCGACGTATATCCACCCCCAAGCAACCACAGAAAGAGACAATTGGAAGTAAAGCAATAAGTCAAGTAATAATTAAAATATAATGTGTATTAGCACAAAATTCATTCCAATTCACAGACTTTTCTGTCGCTTTATATTATTATCAAAATCTTAATTAAAATAAACGTAATATTGGGAAAGATAACTTTCTTTCGATAATTTGATTATCATTTGAAGTTTCTTTATATACTAAAAATCTTGCTTTGTTATACTGATAACATATTCCGGTCCACGTATTCTTAACATATTCTTTTTTATCCATTCAACTGAAATAATATCACTACTTCCAGAGACGTAAATATGTACTTAGTGTCAATAAAAAGAACATAATTAATTGCTGCATGTACGTAAAAGGTTAGTAGAAGAATACAAGTCTTTGCCCACCATATAACAGCTTCTAGATAAGCAGTAATATGGGCTGAATTATTGTTAATCAGTACAAATTATGTGGTGGCAAATCTGCGTTCGTTAGACATTTGGTGAATTTGGTTTCATCTCTTGATCATGACGTAGAACGACTGATAGAGTTGGGTTATTGATAGAGAATATCTTCCAACCAAAGGGCATGGCCAAAGTTTTACCCTCTGAAATTCGACAGTCCCTAATTTTTTGTCGGCGGCGAAATGTTGTTTATTATAAATATAAATGAAGCATAGTTTCAACATTTACAAAGATGTTTTGCCTTGTGCTGGTTCTTTCTCCAGTAAATGTTCTATTTTGTGTGATCTTTGCTATTTCTTAATTTTGAATCAAACAAATCAACCAATACAAACTTTACAAGGTCCTGGAAATTGAGGCTGAAGCTGGGTGTTATAATTTCCCAAACTTTGAGGCTGAATTATTCTTAATTTGTTATTAAATTATTATGGAGTGAGTGTAAAATTGTAATTATTAAGTATGCAAAATGCAGGTATTATTATTATAACATTACCAAAAGAGATAGGCACCACAAAGTCTTTTCAAGTTGATATCTGCAGAGGAGAAAATAGTCCGCTGTGCCATCTGAATAAGCTACATTAAAATACCTCAGCCACAGCTTCTGTTTCATTTGTCCTTAAATATTGGTGAGTTTTGAAGCCCTTGTTCTTAGAAAAAGGAGTTAGTGCCCGACGATTGGTCGTTGATCTTTTTGTCTTCTGGTTTTCCCCCATGCTTTACCTCCAATGGTTAATGTTTCATCAAAAACATATTTCAGAGTAGCAACTTAAAACTGTCATGATTTATACCAAACCTCCTATATTTTAGAAAATACCAAACCTTAAAGTAGAGTTTTATTTCTTTTTCGTTTGTTTTAGATGACTCTGAAAAACCATTTTGGAGCAATGGGCCGTTCCAAGTAGACCACACCCCCTTTGGGCGCTTTTTATCTTCCCTTTCTGTCTGTGGCATATCTAGTCACAAAAATACTAACGTTAAGGTTGACAATTTCTATTTCTTCAACTATTTATCCTCTTACTTCTATAGCTTCAAAGACGGTTTTATCCTGTGCAAACTCATCAACATTGTTTCACCGAGAAGAATTCCAGAAAAGGTTTGATTTCATTTTTCAACCCTCAGTTTCCGATAACGTACTCAAATTCTGAATTTTGAAGAAAACACCTACTTGTCATACATAGCCTTGACTAATTTTAGTGTCGAAACAATCTGTGTGTTACAAGGGTCACCACCACTCATGTCTATGCAATCAAGAAGCCTGAAGATCTAATGGCTGCAGCTGAACTTAACAACGCAGAATGCTAGTCTATATACAGCGAGTTTGACAGGGTTACCTCCTCCCCCCAAATCTAGTGATGCTTTCCATATTTGGAAGTTCAAGAATGAAATTACTATCAAGTTGCTGCCGTAAGAAATGACTGAAATCTTTAGTTATTCACGTTTGTATTTATAAAATGGCGGTTTTTTTCGTGTGGCCAAAGACACTTGTCTCGACAAAGAGGCTTTTAATACATTAAAGTATAGATTTCGAAACCCGTTCCAAGATATCTTTTTATCACTAGCATCATTAACATTCTTCAATGATCCAGTGTTTGAAGAATTTACCTAGGTCGCTTCTTTATTTTCTTTGCATTTCGTTTTGAAAATGGAGCCTAAAATAGAGGACGACGCAGGGGTAACGATGGGAAGAATCGCTCAACAACTAAGCCTCACTTTCGATAGCAAACAAAGCCTCGTATTCATGTACTTTTTATTCGAAAGTCTTCTAAAAACAAAGCTTTAAAATTAAAATAATTGTATAGATTAGTTATATCTCTATGATTATTAAAGCCATAATTCGTGAATGAAGAGTGAGGCAACCCGCGCGATGATTTTGATAACGGTTCTTTGTGTATTATCGGTTAATTATTACACCTTTTGTTTCCGTTCCAGTTTTGCAAATGTTTCTCTTTACTGCAAAGTTCACTAATTCTAGCATATTTGCAAATCTCAATTCGTGGTTAAGGCAAGGCATTCAGAATCTTCTAGAATATTGAGGTTTCCCTCTACAATGCTTCATTCAGTCTCTTCCAGCTTAGCTTTCTTGCTCATCTGTTCGTTCCTAAAACCTTACCCATTTTACATTTGAAAATTTCTTTTGAAAGCTCCTATTCTCTCATTACGTTTCGTAAACAGCTTAATGGTAAATAGCTTTAGGCGGCTATGAATATTAGTTACTTCTCAAGTCGTTCTTTGTAGAATAAACCCTCAACTATTTGGCCTATGCAAATCTCTCCAGTTCTCGAGTTTTTGCATTGTTACTTTGTTACTCCAAAAAGCCCTTTAATAGAGCATCTTAAGCACCAATTTCAGTGTCGGGAAACTTAAAGGGCTATCTTTCCCAAATAGTAATTTCGAATATCCACCTCCGTATGTTTTGATGTCAGGATATCTACAGCATGTCACAATCCCTTGCATATCTACCACCTCGTAGCGTTACAATAATGCGCGTCTCACTCTCAGATTCAGAATCGCCTCGTTTCTGAGAATTTGAATCTCTTCTTCATGTGAGTTGCTACCTTAAGATATTTACAACAGTGAAAGATGTTCGTCGTTACACACAGGTTATTGCAAGCGCTTCGGATCTAGAGAGAATCAAGCTTGCATTGGACTTCGGTTTTCACGAACTGAAAATTCGGACAGAATTGCAACCGAGAGATGTGTTGCAAGGGAAGAAAAGACCAATGTTTCGTAAATTTCTGAACAGTATGAGAACGATACAGACTCAGCAAATGCAGATTTTGGAGAATCAGTCAAACAAACATTTATTGGAGAGTATGAGTTTCACTGATAAATCGTTAAGATGTTATAATTTTTACGATTTGTTTTATGACAATGATTCGAGATTCAGTGCTAGCCATGCTCATCGCCATGTACCTTTGAGTAAAAAAGCAGAGGATGCGGTGGAAGATGTAAAAGATTTGGATCGTAAAAAGCAAGAAAAAACAGATGCTTTATTGCTGGAAGAGAAGAAATCAGTAATCACTGGGTTGAAAGAGAGGAAAGAAACGTTTGGAAGATTGCCTTCAAGTTTAGAATCTTCTGTTGTGGGTGAGTTGAGAAATTCATGGAAGAGTAAAACACAGACTCTGAATGTGCAGTTGAGTGAGTTGCAGAAATCGATCCACTTGTTGAGATGCAAAACGAGAGACACGAAGTCTGCCTATAGGAGTAGGAGTCATGGGTCTAGTGAAAAGTCGAAAGCTGTTGTTGCGGATGATACGTCCTCAGAAAAACTCGTGTGTAATGATGTTCATGAGAACCAAAATGACGCTATACACAGTAGATATGCTAGTATACAAAGTGAAATGAAAGATCGTAGCGCAGGCGCAAAGAAAAACAATGAAGCAAGGTGTGGGTCGGCAGAGTTGCTTCGTCATGACAACCATCATCCCTGCCAGCCTGGCAACAAAGATTCTGTCGTTGATAGCGTAGATTGTGGTGTAAATGCTAACAACCATAGGCTGGAGAAACTGAATACTGGAGAAAACAGGACACCTGCAACATTGAGTGCCAATATAACATCGTTTAGTATCAACAGTAGAGCATTAAGTCCTAATGGGACATCTTTCAGTTCGGATGGGACATCATGTAGTAGTCAAAGTACCACGAACCATGCGGCAACCAGATATGTACTTTTAAACAGCCGTAAACCGAAAGGCTCCGCAGATGATTAACATTAACAAAATAAAATTTGCTCATTCTTTGACAAATGGGGTTATGTACCTGATCATTTTCGTATACAACCTTTTGATGTTTGAAAATACTTTAATTTGAAAGTACCGACACAATATAAGCAGTATATTGTTACACAGTAATTAAATGGTTTCAAGTAGTCAATAGCTTGGCTTTTTTGATTATTTCTTGCAATGTATGGAATGTTAGGCCCATTCTGTAACTTTCAGGTCATTTCCGCATATGTGTAGAACCCGGAAGGAAAACTGATAAACCTTTATACAATTTTCTACTTCTTTGAACAGGCGTGTCCTGTATATGTTTTATCAATAAATGTCACCCATGTAAGAGTTTTTCAATACTATGACCCTTTGCAGCATGGAGAACAAAAGCGTTATTTCGTGAAAGACACTCAGCGTCTTTTCGTGAAAGGTTTTAGGGAAGGGGAAAGTTACTAGAAACTAGGTTATTTCAAGGAATTCATGGCCATTTTAGTTTCCAGTCGTTAAATTTCTCCGTCTGTGGTCTGTAGTCGATGTTGAATTCTATTTCTTCAACTATTTATCCTCTTACTTCTATAGCTTCAAAGACGGTTTTATCCTGTGCAAACTCATCAACATTGTTTCACCGAGAAGAATTCCAGAAAAGGTTTGATTTCATTTTTCAACCCTCAGTTTCCGATAACGTACTCAAATTCTGAATTTTGAAGAAAACACCTACTTGTCATACATAGCCTTGACTAATTTTAGTGTCGAAACAATCTGTGTGTTACAAGGGTCACCACCACTCATGTCTATGCAATCAAGAAGCCTGAAGATCTAATGGCTGCAGCTGAACTTAACAACGCAGAATGCTAGTCTATATACAGCGAGTTTGACAGGGTTACCTCCTCCCCCCAAATCTAGTGATGCTTTCCATATTTGGAAGTTCAAGAATGAAATTACTATCAAGTTGCTGCCGTAAGAAATGACTGAAATCTTTAGTTATTCACGTTTGTATTTATAAAATGGCGGTTTTTTTCGTGTGGCCAAAGACACTTGTCTCGACAAAGAGGCTTTTAATACATTAAAGTATAGATTTCGAAACCCGTTCCAAGATATCTTTTTATCACTAGCATCATTAACATTCTTCAATGATCCAGTGTTTGAAGAATTTACCTAGGTCGCTTCTTTATTTTCTTTGCATTTCGTTTTGAAAATGGAGCCTAAAATAGAGGACGACGCAGGGGTAACGATGGGAAGAATCGCTCAACAACTAAGCCTCACTTTCGATAGCAAACAAAGCCTCGTATTCATGTACTTTTTATTCGAAAGTCTTCTAAAAACAAAGCTTTAAAATTAAAATAATTGTATAGATTAGTTATATCTCTATGATTATTAAAGCCATAATTCGTGAATGAAGAGTGAGGCAACCCGCGCGATGATTTTGATAACGGTTCTTTGTGTATTATCGGTTAATTATTACACCTTTTGTTTCCGTTCCAGTTTTGCAAATGTTTCTCTTTACTGCAAAGTTCACTAATTCTAGCATATTTGCAAATCTCAATTCGTGGTTAAGGCAAGGCATTCAGAATCTTCTAGAATATTGAGGTTTCCCTCTACAATGCTTCATTCAGTCTCTTCCAGCTTAGCTTTCTTGCTCATCTGTTCGTTCCTAAAACCTTACCCATTTTACATTTGAAAATTTCTTTTGAAAGCTCCTATTCTCTCATTACGTTTCGTAAACAGCTTAATGGTAAATAGCTTTAGGCGGCTATGAATATTAGTTACTTCTCAAGTCGTTCTTTGTAGAATAAACCCTCAACTATTTGGCCTATGCAAATCTCTCCAGTTCTCGAGTTTTTGCATTGTTACTTTGTTACTCCAAAAAGCCCTTTAATAGAGCATCTTAAGCACCAATTTCAGTGTCGGGAAACTTAAAGGGCTATCTTTCCCAAATAGTAATTTCGAATATCCACCTCCGTATGTTTTGATGTCAGGATATCTACAGCATGTCACAATCCCTTGCATATCTACCACCTCGTAGCGTTACAATAATGCGCGTCTCACTCTCAGATTCAGAATCGCCTCGTTTCTGAGAATTTGAATCTCTTCTTCATGTGAGTTGCTACCTTAAGATATTTACAACAGTGAAAGATGTTCGTCGTTACACACAGGTTATTGCAAGCGCTTCGGATCTAGAGAGAATCAAGCTTGCATTGGACTTCGGTTTTCACGAACTGAAAATTCGGACAGAATTGCAACCGAGAGATGTGTTGCAAGGGAAGAAAAGACCAATGTTTCGTAAATTTCTGAACAGTATGAGAACGATACAGACTCAGCAAATGCAGATTTTGGAGAATCAGTCAAACAAACATTTATTGGAGAGTATGAGTTTCACTGATAAATCGTTAAGATGTTATAATTTTTACGATTTGTTTTATGACAATGATTCGAGATTCAGTGCTAGCCATGCTCATCGCCATGTACCTTTGAGTAAAAAAGCAGAGGATGCGGTGGAAGATGTAAAAGATTTGGATCGTAAAAAGCAAGAAAAAACAGATGCTTTATTGCTGGAAGAGAAGAAATCAGTAATCACTGGGTTGAAAGAGAGGAAAGAAACGTTTGGAAGATTGCCTTCAAGTTTAGAATCTTCTGTTGTGGGTGAGTTGAGAAATTCATGGAAGAGTAAAACACAGACTCTGAATGTGCAGTTGAGTGAGTTGCAGAAATCGATCCACTTGTTGAGATGCAAAACGAGAGACACGAAGTCTGCCTATAGGAGTAGGAGTCATGGGTCTAGTGAAAAGTCGAAAGCTGTTGTTGCGGATGATACGTCCTCAGAAAAACTCGTGTGTAATGATGTTCATGAGAACCAAAATGACGCTATACACAGTAGATATGCTAGTATACAAAGTGAAATGAAAGATCGTAGCGCAGGCGCAAAGAAAAACAATGAAGCAAGGTGTGGGTCGGCAGAGTTGCTTCGTCATGACAACCATCATCCCTGCCAGCCTGGCAACAAAGATTCTGTCGTTGATAGCGTAGATTGTGGTGTAAATGCTAACAACCATAGGCTGGAGAAACTGAATACTGGAGAAAACAGGACACCTGCAACATTGAGTGCCAATATAACATCGTTTAGTATCAACAGTAGAGCATTAAGTCCTAATGGGACATCTTTCAGTTCGGATGGGACATCATGTAGTAGTCAAAGTACCACGAACCATGCGGCAACCAGATATGTACTTTTAAACAGCCGTAAACCGAAAGGCTCCGCAGATGATTAACATTAACAAAATAAAATTTGCTCATTCTTTGACAAATGGGGTTATGTACCTGATCATTTTCGTATACAACCTTTTGATGTTTGAAAATACTTTAATTTGAAAGTACCGACACAATATAAGCAGTATATTGTTACACAGTAATTAAATGGTTTCAAGTAGTCAATAGCTTGGCTTTTTTGATTATTTCTTGCAATGTATGGAATGTTAGGCCCATTCTGTAACTTTCAGGTCATTTCCGCATATGTGTAGAACCCGGAAGGAAAACTGATAAACCTTTATACAATTTTCTACTTCTTTGAACAGGCGTGTCCTGTATATGTTTTATCAATAAATGTCACCCATGTAAGAGTTTTTCAATACTATGACCCTTTGCAGCATGGAGAACAAAAGCGTTATTTCGTGAAAGACACTCAGCGTCTTTTCGTGAAAGGTTTTAGGGAAGGGGAAAGTTACTAGAAACTAGGTTATTTCAAGGAATTCATGGCCATTTTAGTTTCCAGTCGTTAAATTTCTCCGTCTGTGGTCTGTAGTCGATGTTGAATGCAATAATGTTGCATTAAGAAGCGTAAGAGGTCAGCAATTGAGATAGGAGCAGGGTCATTTGATATCCTTCTTTACTTTTAAGTTAGCCAGTAATTCATTTTTGTATAAAAAACAAAAATTTACGTTTCAACTTTGTGATAGAAGGTGCCACTACAGCTTTTTGTGTCTTGCGAATGTATCTTGCTGTTAGTAACATATTTATTGATACGTATATAAATATTTGTATATCCGTTATCTACATTATTATTTTAGCGTTGTCCTAATAGCAAATGATATCTAATCCCCAACAGTAAGTATGAGAATACTAGATGCAGCATTGTACAAAAACTCTTCCAGTCCGTTATGGCCAATGAAACTGGAGTTATTAATAAAGTTCTTACTTTAGTGGAAGCCTCTTACTTCATAGATCATCGTCTTTTTCTCCATGAAATGGCTATTGAGCGATTTAATGGTAGTTACTAGAAGACACAAAAGGCTGTTGTTTAACAAATCGTGGCTCTACTAAATGTAAAGGTTAATTTTATAAATTAATCAATAATTATCTGGTTGCTTTTTATTCAGAAGAGTTATGACGTTTCTAGAAAGAAATTCTAAAAAGTATGTTACAGACACCAAGCTACTGTCAGAGCATCTACCGAGGCTGCATTTTTATGTTTATGTTAAACTAACTTTAGCAAATTCAATATAGAGATGGTATCTAGATTTCCTCTCGTTTGGTTTAGATTTTCAATGTGATCATTTGCAATTAAAAGTGATTTAAGTGAAACCGAAGGAATTTATGTCAACGATAGCTCTCCAGTACATCATTTCCTTAGTCATTTTCTAATTTTGTGTATAATCTTTTAGTTTACTCCTAAATAAAGGAGGAAATGCCAGCTGTAATTCTGTCTCTCTGATGAACCAAAAATAGCGCAAAACCACATAAAAGGACCGTTTTCTGTTCAGTATCCAATTTATTTATTCTTATCATTATGACATCACTGCAATTCGTTTTTTCTTCTTCAGTTTGAAGTGTAATCACTTAATGGTCAAGCCTATTAGGCGGCGAGAAACGATACTTGAAGAAAATTCATTCATAATATAGAGGAGGGAAACCTTCGAATGCGTTTAAAGCCACGAATGGGACGAAGGAAAAATTTTCCATTGAGGTTTCTGTGGCTGTCATTAAGGGGGTTTTATTAAATTTGATGACATTATCCTTGTGTCAAGAATGTTTCTGTAGACCTAGTCAAAATCAATCCACAAACAGTAATTACGCATATGAAAGAAGCCGGCTTAACTTTTTTCTGGTTAAAAAAATAACAGGGATTTGGTTGTACAAGGTCAAGTATTTGACGTAATGCTCGAAAGGATAAGACTCACACATATACTTCCTTTTGAATAAAAGAAAATCTCATCGGATATTCCTATGTTAATATTTATAAGCGGCATTGCAGCCAGCTTCTAATCTGTTTGCTTGACAGCCTCGATTTCATGATATTTTTGCAGATATACGTACTTTGGTATCCTGCTAATCTCTCTTTGAAAAGCAAATGGAAAGTGCAAGCCGATGTTAATTTTAATTTTGAAGGGGAATTGACGAGATAAAGACTGCACGTAATGAAAAAATCCGTTTTCATTTGAATAGCGTGAAAATTGCTTTGCTGCGCATTCAATAAGTGTTGAAATATCCGTCGCCTTCTTTCCTCAGTGTAATGCGAATATACGTCTTTTATAAAGAAGTGCTTTATATGAAAGGTACACACCTTTTTTGTATGTAAGAACACTTTTACAAAAACGTGAGCCTCAATATTGGTCAAAAGCTAAGAACAAGCTGAGGCTGAGTTACTGTAAAATGTAATTATGAACAATGTTGTGAAATCTTTTAAAAAATTTATCTCAAAACGAGGAGTTTTTTTGCTATCTAGGGATGCTTTTTCGGTGATTTTTAAGAACAATTTAAGAGCAATGTAACCTCAAATTTTCGAAAAAATCAAGAACAGCCACGAATTTTTGACTCCTACGCTATGTTTTGCTTTCGATTGATAGTTTTGTTGAGTTGACCCCTCGCACGTATAAAACAGAAAATCAATACCTATATAGCCACTTTCTTTCAGTTATTCTTTTTACTTGTATCATGACTTTTACATAATTTATTTACTTGTTCCGAAACAAGAATAAGAAGAAAAAATAATTGCTAATTTTGAGGACTGAGCCCAAGCCGAAATTCCATGTTAAAATGCATGAATTTAAGTGTTAATGAAGGTCTTGATATTAAAGCCTATTAAAGCCACTTTTGCATTTTTTCAAGAGTTTGAGATTTCAATACGACCTTAACTAGTGTAGGTTGAGACAACTAAGAAGTAACATGTTACCTCCAGTACGAGGCTTGGTAGCCTTTGACAAAAACAAGTTTGAATCGAAATGATGACGACACTGAATGATATCTAAATTAGGTTACCAGTCACATTAGTTATTTTACGATCCCTTCCTACTATAAAGGTGATGCAGGATGCTCTAGGCGATATCATCCCTAGTCCATGCTTGAGTTTAATCGGCTCAGGATATCGTATTGCGTATGGTAGACACTGTTTCAAAGGCGCCTTCTTTCAAGAGGAAGCTGCGGTGTGTTGCAAGAATCATCCCTTTCTATTTTGCCATCAATAATATGGGAGGTCGTGGGCAGGTCAACTTGTTTGTGACCTTGACTGCAGGGTCGTGTGATGTCACCAATTTCCGTTGTGGGACACCTCGATCTACAAAGTACCCTAGCGCAGAATGCGTCCTTCTAAAACTGCTAAGTAAGAGGAGTTTTATTGTCGAGAAATATCCTCATCCATTCCGATGCCCGTACCTGAAACATGTTTGTTCTTTTATGACTCGGTCAACCATGTAGACCCTATCCATACTAACTCGCTTGCGCCATGACAGAGTGAGCGAACATGAGAAGACAAATTTCTTCTTTATATTTCTATAATCAAATCTATGACAGTCAAATTGCTTTTTCTAGGCATTATCAGTACGATATAACTACCAACTATGACACTTTACTTACAACTTCAAACTTCAAACATATTACGCTATGCAACAGAAAAAACTACAAAATAATGGATCTAGTAAATAAATTACATATAAATAAAATACATCACTAGCCTCTTCGATATATTACAACATTTTAACGAGTACTGACGTCATTAAGTATGCAAATTATTTGATGCATAACTTTACTTCCATTATGAACAGCAAATAGCCAGTTTTAAGTTACACGTTACGCATGCGTGTAGGGTTAGAGGGACTATTTTGATAGGAAGCATCGTGTGGATATGGTACTGACTGGGCGTAGGGTGAGGTCAGTATTCAAATGGGGCCTATTTAAAGGATAAACCCGCAAAAAAGCCCGTTAGCCTTTCACCATGCTTAAGCAGAACCCATTGCGATCAGGTGTTTCGAAATTGAACTTGAAGGTGTCATCAACTGGATAAGAAAGACCTAAAGACGTCGTCAACCATGGAAATAATCTGTCTGTAACATTGATGTTTTCAGAAAAACTAGCCTATCCAACACTTATATCAACTACAAAATACAAAAATTAAACAGGGGCATTCGATCACACCTTTACTTTGTTGGACAATTAAACAATTTGACGTGCCTTTATTTTGCGTTCTACGTACCCCAAGTATTTCTGCAGTTATATTATATGTCCATCAGATATGAACTTCTACTTGATTTTTAGCTAGAAATTACTTCTAATTACCAGATACCCAGCTTTGACTCTATATCTAACGGAAAACTACGTAGAGCATCTTTGAATAAAATATAATCTTCATTTGATGTATTCTTACTGGTTTCAAAAATGGCAAGCGTAAAGTTTTTTCCCCTCGCTCGTGTCCTTTTGGCTTTCAGATAAAGCTCATTCACCAACTTCTGCCAAAGTAAGCTAGCAGGCACATATGAAGTAAAGGGAGCTTTCTCATTCTATATCAAAGGTGATGTCATCTGGCTTATTTATATCATCCGGCAATGATCAACATAGTAATACGCTCATTCTCAATAACGAGCTCTCAATCCAAAATCGAGAAACATCTCAATGAGCCCATGCAGTCGAATCCGGACCGGTGTCAAATGAAACTCGGTTCTTCCCAATCAGGCAGGAATGAACATCAAATGGAGACTGCAACTAACCCATCATCGACTTTGGTTCAATGTCTGAGCATTATTCTCCGACCCGGACATTTGGAAAAGTTTGTCTGAAAGATAAGATGCACAGCGACGTTGGCACAAGGATTTCAGTAAAATAACAGTATATCTAAAAGCATCTTGGGTGCCTTCGTTAGTACATTAGTCCTTTTGCGGGACTAGCAGCAGAAACATTTTGGCGATTTCCTATGGCGTCAAATGAATTTTCTCTGTCGGAAAACAAGCCTTTAAAAAGGGATCTATTCTGTGATATGGACCCATTAACCCCGCAAATGGTGCCCGACCCCTTTTACTACTTGTCTGCCATTGGCCCGAATGATTAGTGTAATGTTGGTTCATTGGAACATTTTTGAAAGACTTAAAGTAAAAATAGGAAATAATTTGGAAGATTTAAAGTAGTTTCAAATTGGCTACAACCTACAAGCTGTTGCAAGGAAAAAGGCAGTACAATAAGTTACTCCCCGATGAGGCTCCCAATCGGTTATATCTCAATTGAGTCAAAAGCTGGTATCTGGCTTCCATGCAACGAATGCCCCACATTTTACTTACTTTACAGCGGTAGTCAAACTAAAGCTGACTGCAGTCAAATGAAACTGACTAGCAGTTCAATCTTGGATCAAATCTAACAACCCGCTTACCCATCAAAAGAGAATCCTCAGAGGAGGCAGCTGCTGCATTGAACAAATCGGTGAACCCGCCTTCTTCCCCGTACATTCCAGACGTACCTAATGGTATACCCGACGCGGCACTCATCCTGGCTTGCACCGCAATTGCCTGCACCCCAGGTGAGCCACTGTCTGCCGTGGTCAGCGGAGAGCCACTCATTGCATGAGAGTGGCCGTTCATCATTGCTGTTGTGACAGGGTACTGGCTGTTAAATTGCATGTAAATTGGTGGTTGCTGTTGTGCCTCCATTTGTACATATGACTGTTGGTGTAATGTTGTTTGAGGAGATATGTCCTGCAACAAACATTTAAACATATGAATACCGTAGAGTGCTAAAAATATCACCTTCTTCTGGTTGTTCCTAAGATATATCCGTTGCGTAAAGTATCTCCTTCCCAACTCATCCTTGTATCAAATTCATTCATAGGTGTGAAATCACTAAGATAGGTAGATCCTTTTAAAATAAAAATAAAATAAAATGAACAATCCCTGCCAACAGTTCATTCAAAAACAAGTCAATTCATTCTTGTTTTCATCTGCAGTTCATTCATCCATCATTTTAAGACGTTGTGGCGATTAACAATTTTTTGCATCAATTAACTCTTCCTCAAGTTAGATTGATTAGTCACTGCTTTTTTCATTAGCAGATGGAACTGCTAATGAAAGGGATTAATTTGGACTGCTTACCGGCTTCTGATCCTCTTGTATGTGAGATGTGACATCCATAGGAGATCCATTTCCCATGCTCATCGATCGCTCAAGAGTGACAGGCAGAGTTATTGACCTGCTCTTTCGTGTCACTGTCTCGTGGTAGTTCGACGAGGCCGGCATATCCCCAGTGCTTGGGCTCCGTATTCCCTGCATTCTTCTGTAGGCCTCATTTGCTTGTTGAAATGTAGATGTGTTGACCATCTGCCGCAGGTCTGGTTTCCTGGCTGCTGTTGAAATATATTTCATGTGTTGTAAATCAAATGGGGACAAATTGCTGATGATCTCTTAAGGGCTGGGTGCGTTGGATGAGGCATACTGGGCACTTGTAGGTTCGAAGCTACTCTTAACGTCTTTTGTCATTAAGAAGACCATTTTAGACGAAATTTCTGGTCTATCATTTTGAGTTGTCCTATCGAGGTTCCACTGTACAAGCGAATTCATAGATTGATAACCGCCGCCCCGCTAAGATTAAGGCCAAGGTCTCCATTTTTAGATCTTGCTTTTATTAACGACTATCAATCATAAATTTGGTTCCTTTCAATTTTCAATGCTACCTTTCATTTTTCAATGCTACCTTGCATTCATGACTGAGTTTTTCACAAACAATTTTCTAACCATTTAAGGTCAAACTTTCTTAATTGCAGGCTGCCTGACCCTGGCCATTACGGTATAGCTAAGTTGGTTACTATCATAAAACTCACCAAATAACGCTGCTCTCTGGAAATCCGAATGCTGGAATGAAGGGTTGCCAATAAAGTGTCCTCCTGGAGATTGGTATGTTCCAATGATTGTCTGCTGCTGTTGCAGCTGTTGACCTCCGCAGAGGAATGATGCTACTGACAGTCCAGTTGCACCTCCCTGCATGGCTGGAGGGCTATGGCCACAAGGCACGCCATGCTCTATTTTCAGTCTTGTTGGTGTTCCAACGCCTACAGAGATATATTTACTACGATCAAGATCAAGATAACACCAAGAACATTAGTTTTTTGAATATCAGTTGTAATGACGTCATTCAAAAACGAATTATGTTCAATATGATTGTTTTGAGGTTTTTGCGTTTTGGTGGTTTTGACGAGATCTGACATTTTGAACCCTCAGGGGCTGGCTATTCAAATTGAACAAGCAGCTGACATTTTCAGAAGATCGATCAAAGACACGCTTATTATACTTGCCGACGCATTCTAAAGGAAGGTTTCGAGGAAAGACCCTTTCTCGCTGAACCGATTGCTGGCGATACTAACTTCGATCAGAAGAGAACAGTTGTTTTGCCTTAGCGATAAATAAATCCAAACGACTTTTCGCTGCCTAAAACCAGGCACTTGTTAAATCATATGACATAAATACAGTTTGAAAGTATGTTCTAGTTTCACCACAATGTGATCGAATCGACCATAATTCTGTGTTTTTTCGCCATCACAAGGACTCGTGCTGCAAACAAATGACGTACAACAAATATCACGAGGTCTTTTCTACCAATGTGACTCGCAACGTCAACTCAAGGTTCTACAAAGATTTTCGGCCTCTGCAAATTGCAACGATTAAGCTAGGGCAAAAGTCTTGGAGACTGGGGAGAGTATGGCACCAAACCTAAGATTTCAGCACAATTTACAAGAAGCTATGTTATATAGTGCAATTACATTGGGTCTTTAACCTCCATTACACTATTTTTTTTATAAGATCTTAATTTGTTCTTAATTTAATAGGGTGTAAGCAGTGCGAGTACTAGCCTTTTCGCTCTAGGAAGGTAGTCAGGCCTCATTTCCCAACAAAGTGAGTGAGACAATCTTCATTTGCCGCCATGCTTGAATATTCACCGAAAAAGCACACGCACACGGCTAAAATTCCTCGATTTTGAGATAAAACGTTGTTCAAAATTGCATTTTGCAGAAGCTCAACTTCAGCTTGTTCTTAATTTTTCTTGCCTTTTGACCAATTTTGAAGGCAAGGTACAGCAATGTGTAAATGAAGAAAAGGCACAGCAAGCTTGTCATGGCTGCTGCTATAAGGGCAGAAAGGATTGATGTTGATGTGGGGGCCCATGGCCCAAATTCCATTTTAAGAATAAAGGGCGTGGTTACAAGAATTTTCAGCTCGCTCCGCTCGCAGGGGGCCTCATATTTTGTTTTTACCCCAGGGCTTTTGAAACTTTCTCTTGCCCTTGCCCTGGTTGAAGCTTCCCCCAGTGTAATGACTGTATTTAGTTTGTTGCTCAATTTACCATACAGAGGTTTCTCCGATGAAAAATGTTCCATCATGCTGAAAAGGGTAAACAAAAAGAATGTGGACTAAGGTCCACAATGTCACAGTAGCACGTTGTATCCTTATGTGTAATGGCAGCAGATTTTGATGAACGAAATAAAAATTCTGCAAGATACTTCTCCACAAAATCTTTGATCAAACGTAAGGCCCTTTTAATATACTTTCGAACAAAGTTTCTAATAAAAATGAGCATATCGATGTTATAATTTTGAAAACCCAATTTTACAGCCAAGTTGAAACATTTTCACTGGAACAACGAAACTCTTCCTACCTTTAAAGAAACATTTTTTCCATATTTTTAACTAAAGAATTTGTCCATATAGCTTTAACCTTATAACTTCTACGTATGTTTAACAAGACGTCAACATTTAGCAATTATCGATATTTAATTAACAAGACTAGCATCGTGCCAGGAATTTTGTGCTTCTTTCCGTCCGATGCGAAAATATCTGAGGCACGTCCTCAGGTGAACGAGTCATGACCCAACTTTAGCAAAACAAATTTTTTGTTGACCACGTCAGTTTTTGGTAAACAGGCTTTTGGTAAACATGATGTTCTAGCGTTTTCGAGAGAGAGTATCAAATAAATTATCGACTTGCATTATTGTATATCACCTCTTGCATTTGAGCAAAATGTTTTGTTTCGACCAGGCTGTTTAGTTTACGGGCCTCAATTTGATTGCCACGTGCCAAAATGCTTTTTGCATGTTGTGATCTGTAATTTCTTCTAACCAATGTTTGTCGGCTTATCAAGAGCAAGAGCATCCTGTTTACGTCAAAGCCGCTAAATAGCTCTTCTTTAAAAGATACTTTGTCCATTGATAGACATGATGTGCTTTTATGGTGGCTATTACAGGGCCTTAGAACACCACAACATTAAAACCAATTGTTTTCATTTAAAAATAGAAAGAGGCTTTGCAAGGCAATGCTTGTAAGATTCACCCCATGACTTGTTTTGAAGCAAAAGGAGAGATCCGTTATGACGTCATCCTTACAAAGGCATTACCGGCGTTACCAAATAAACAAATCAGTTTTCAAAATATCGTATTTGGCTTATGGCGTGAATATCTTTGTCAACAACGGCCACTCCTTAAATAGCGTATTCATTTCTTTTCAACACAAAGGAAGAAAAGGGTACTATGCAAGCCAGTGCTTTAATCTTTCCTTCACAATAGTAAACTGCCAAGATGAGGCTCCAGGCAACAAATATCCGTTCAAAACGAGGTAAAAGCAACAAACAAGGGTTGGGGTGGGGAAATATCGAAGGAAATATGGTTCTACTTGCAAGTTTATACAAGCTTTATATAAATAACTTTTAGATTAATTTAAAAAAATCTTTAATGAAGGAATTATTTTTTAAAGGGAAATTTTACATCCTAATTGTCTTCTAATAATTTTCTTGTTCTTATCTACTCCACAAATACTGTTTAGGCTGGCAAATTTGAAGCAACTCTTTTAGAGACATACCACTTCTAATAAGCCCTTCATTTTAAACTGAATGCCGAAGAACCATGCTAGAGAAAACTGTTTTCTTGATGGGCAGCTCGCAGTTCTTCTAGATCAAAGGAGGGGCCCCTTTGGTCTCGTGATTAAGCATTGCTTGGTGTTTGCAAATTACCACTAAGTAGCCCTGGCTTGCTCAATCTAGATTACGATGCTGCAAAACGAGACCGAAAATGACGCACTTAATGCTCCGTTTTCTGAAAACAACCATGCCTCATTAAGACAATTTTGAGAAGATGAAGGCAATTTTGAAATTCTTGTTTCTCCTAGATCACGATATCCTGATTCGAGAAATCAAAACTGGCGTGTTAGCACTTTTATGGCTCCTCCGAAGCTGCCTGAAAATGAGTCTGACTGCAGAGGTGAATTTTAGTTTATTTATTTTTTTTTCAGTAGAGGCTTATAGGCCGAAATGGTGCATCGCCAACATAACCGTGAGTGCAAGTTAACTACAGATCAACAAAAAATACAAATGTAAGAATATGTAGGAAAAATTTACGTTGTGCAAAAATAACACATAACGGGGCTTCAAATACCGTAATCACAAACTTAGCTTTGTCATCCCAGGGAGAAGCAGGGAATATGAAATAGGGGCATTTATATAATCCCTGCGTATAGAAAGGGTGCATTCGCGGGTGATAAGCCAAGCGGCTCGTATAATGGCTGTTTTCTGGTTCAATTACGCCATATTTGACAGTTACGCCATATTTGTAATAAACTTTCTAAGTTTATTACAAAAAACAGCCATATTTGACATTTTGTATGCCTCTCCTTGATATATTTTGGAGGCTTATTAATTGCTTTTGTGGCAGTCAATCTCAAAAAATTCTGCTAAATCATTCAATTTATCTTTGCTATACTCCCCACTGTTTGTTTCAAAATATGTAAGCAAGCCGCTTTTATGTAGTTCGCTTATCTCTAGCATCATCAATATCTTCTTTGCGCCATCATCGCCCGGCTTCTATTTACGTTGCTATCGAAATAGATGCATTAATTGGTTTTGAAAAACGCAGCTATTTTCGTTACAATGCGTTTTCCAATTTATCTCCTCAATCTTGATTTGACGTCACCAACCTAGTTACCCTTTGAATAGCACCATTCCAAGAAACGTCAGCAGCCATGCTTTACGCCTAACGGAATTTGTACAAGTCTTCAAAGTCAAAGAAGCTTTGGTTTCTGATGCGTCGCAGGGCAGGGGCAGCGGTTCTAAGGACTCCAGGGTATTTTTCCAAAAACTAACTAGGGGGCGATTGCCCCTCCATCCCCAGAATCATATATTTGGTAAAGACATAAGACTTAAGCCCGAAAAGTTTGATATTTAAGGCTGTTTTTCCTGTTCAGTACATACCAGCATTTACCTATCATGTGAAATGCACTAAAAATTAGGATTATATTCGATGCATACCAGCCTTTAGAGTTTACCATGTTTTTCTGACTACACTCCTCTCAGTATGATCTCAAAATAAGCATCCCATTTATAATTTTCAATCAAATAACAACGGTGTACCTGAATCGCCATCACTGGTTCCTCCTCCTGTTGCATGACATTCTTCTTCGTTATTTTCGTCATCTTCCATGGAAGACCACGATGCATGGTGGCGATGCTTTTGAAGAGACGTCAAATAAGGGTGCATTCGACCATTTGATCGGTGGACGGTCGCATCCTCGTAATTCGGCAATGCATTTTCGCCGTCAGAGAAACTTGCCTTTCCACCGCCATATAAAATTGTCGCTGTAATAAGGAGAGAATATCAATTAGAAAAAATAATTTCATTTGACATTATAAATATTTGTTAAAAAATATTTCAGAGGGGCAATGTAAGAGAAGGAGGCAATGTAGTTGGTCTGGGAATCTCAAGTTCTCAGCGAATGTCGAAGAGGTAGCTCTCTGCATTCAAAAGAGCTAACAACTGGGTTCTTCTCTTGCTTCCCTGACATGAGGGAATTTCTCGATAGCTGCTAATTTTTTGCAGTTTTCATTGTTGTACAGTTCTGTTTTTATGTTTTTTTAACAGAAATATCCAGAAAGCTGGCATTTTTTATGCGGGGTGTAGTACTGGGGGCTTTTTAATGCCAAAAGTAGCCCTTTTCTTAATTTTGCTATTGTTTTTGAAGAAATTTTTCATGAGGGCCACATTGTTCCTTTCATAGCAGAACATCCCTGCTTGCTGTCATTGCGCTACTGTTATTGCAAAATAAACAGAAGTGGCTATCAAGGAGATTTTGCGAACCTTGCATCTTACCTTTCGAGTACTTCAACAGCTCTCTGCTTGTGAAAACCCCTGTTAAGGCAATATTTGGTTCACCTGACTGCGAATGTTCTGCTTGTTGGTCTGAAACGGGAATTTCAATAGAAATATTTCAACCTTCAATACCTTTTTATTGTTAAGTTTAACATGTCTTGTCCCTACATCTGATTGCATTTCTGTCTAATATTTCTTCTATCAATTCCTCTCTTTTAAAGCAAGTCATGTTTTTCCCACTCTTTCAGTCCCTTAGTTTGTTTAGCCCTCATGTTTGTAATGTAATGTCTTAGTATTTACGTAAAGGAATTTGTTGAAATAGAGTTTCCTGGCCATTTTTATACCGTTAACAAACTCATCTAGCTTGCAAAGATTTTATTAATAACTATATTACAAATATAGATGATACTGAAAAATTTTAAAACATGTATCTTGCTAGAAAGCTTTTTTAACATCTCCTTTTTCAATATGATGAGTCGCCATCAAGTAATTTGGTCTATTGTTTCCCATTTCTAACATCATAATCGTTTTTTGTAATTTTCCATCATTTTATTCGTCGAGAATTTCTCTTCTTTTCACAAGCTATCCTTGTATAAGAAACTGGTCTAAAACACTGCATTCGAAACTATCTTATGACGACATTGGTGCTTGGCTTCCCATAACAAAATGCGGGTACATACACGTTTTATCTGAAGCGTGGGAATGATTTAATAGAAGAACGTGACCAAAGCTAGAATTGCCCGTGAAATCCATCGTGGAGCTAATATCGTCATACAGTTTCTGTTTCTTGTTTTTATAACATCAACATGGAGATTGTCAATTAGAAGGCAAGGGGATAAAGTGAAAAGGAGAGACTTGAGACAATGACCCGATGCAGCAGAGAAGCCTTGTATGACCGCGAGTAATATTATCAGAAGTCTGTAATCAATTCTATTTGACTTTTCTTCGGATAAATGTGGGACTATCGAAGTTTTATTGAAAAAATTGAATTGAACTGTTCATGAGACGCCACGTTTGTTGTTTCGCCAACTCAAACTAGAAAAAAAACTGTTTGACACGAGGAGACCTCTTGATTTGATTCCGGAAATTGAGTCATCAATACTAATCTACATATTATTACAGGAAACAAGTTGAATCGAAAAAAGCTTTTGTTGCATAAACGTCTAGCCCAGACTAAACATCGGGGCGGCTCCCCCAGTATTTCATCTTTCTCGCCCCTATTTCTATTTCGTTGATGCGAATGTCAGGTCTTTCGTTTATAGCCGTGACAATAACGAAATACAATAGTGGAGGGTTATTGTTAAATAAAGCTCTGGTAAAGCCCATATGTCTACAAGCGCTGTATTATCTTCACTCTTTGATATCGCGAAGCATCTTATCTAGCTTTGTATTGAAACGACAATTTTTAGAATAAATAGATGATAATTATTTGAAACCGATCGACCAAAATATGGTAAAGAAATGATACACAGATCTTGGCATAAATTTGTCGTCAAATTTGTAGGTACACGTGGTTTACGAATATTTTATAGAAAATCCTAGAGTTACGTGCTTTTCTGATCAAATGGTTTATTCCTTTGGCAAAATTATTTTACAAAAATAAATTGTTCAGTTTTTCAGTTATAACAGGTCACCAGTTTCGTATCCCCTAAAATTCTTTTACTAAGTGTGAAATCACTGTGTACGTCGATTCACATCAATTCCTCAAGACATCCAATCAATGGAAGAGGATATCAATTTACAAAAGTTTTTTAATGTCCTACTTGAACGTTAGCAGACTTATTTATCAGCAAATGAATAAACGGTCTGAAAATAGGGTTCTAAGTTTTTTGTGACGCACGTCAAACGAGCACAGGTTCCTATGTACATGACTCAACTTTCCTTCCTTGATCTTATTTACGTCAAAAGGGAACATTTACCTTCAAATCTAAACTGGTGACTCTTGACTTACGTCTAATATGTGTCACTCAAAAAATCAAAACAAGTTTTAATAATCAAACAAATGATGCACTGAGATAGAAACGACCTTAAATTTTCGCGCCGGGCGATGTTAATGAATACTGTTTTTTAAAACAATTCCTCCTTTACCTGGAAAAATATTGTTTGAAGTCCGACTGTTTATGTCACGCAGGCCCTGGTATGTCGTGACCAGGGCTCGCTGTGAAATTCCTTCCCGATTAAGTTGCTACTGATAAAAAACTAGAAAATTAAACTTACCAGAATTGACACAGACCAGAAAATTGGTAAGAAACAAGTCAAGCTCTTTAACAACCAGACAGAGATGGTTTGGTTGCACGCACAAATGGTGTCGACAGACACTTGTTTTCCCCAATCTTTCGCCATCCGTACTTTCCAAAGGGAAAGCTTGAAATAAAATGACCATCACCAAATCCAGTCTCCAAACCTTGTCTGCCTGCCGCAAACAATCGATTCTCCTCATTTTCCCTTTTGGATCTGGATTTGAAATGACGCAACGATTGCAGCCTTTTCCAGTAACTGCAGCCACAAAATCTTCCCTGCATTCTGGCCGAATGTCTTTTCTTAATTTGGCAAGTAACCGGGATGCCCATTTTTGCTTCAGATCTGCAGGTTGGCTCTCTAATTCCTCTTTGCACTCTCTCTCTTGTTGTGGGCTCATTCGTATTTCATGTTTTTTGAAGTATTTCCTCTTCCTCGCCTGCAAATTGAACCACGTGTAGGCAAATGCTTTGACGAACGGAAGACAAGCCTCGATAAATGGATGGTAGTCGTCCTAAAAATTAAATTTCATAAGATAAGTTACAGAAATTTTACATTTGTTCGGTATCCTATAAAAATGAATAAATTAAGAATAAATTACCGTCGTATCGTCAGGCTCCATACCCGTTGCGTACATGTTGGATATGTAGGCCCATTTTCATATCCCTGCCGTTTCATCAGATGATTTGTGAATCACTTTGTTTACGACCCGAGTCTTTGAATGGGACAATGGGAAGTAAAAGATGATTGTTAAGATTAGCCAATAACATCTGCGTTTATGGCTTAATCGCACTTGCTATTGGTCAATGAAGAACAATAAAATGGTTGAACAAAATGGCGCCAAAGACTTTCTACGTACTTGGAAATTCAGTCTTGTTTATGACGTCATTTGCAATTGAAAGGGAAGTATTTCAGGGCTTCCTGTTGAATGTTTGTGGTAAACCAACTTCATCTTTTTCTTATTTGCGAACATTATTTGCAAACAAATTCAGTTAAACTCTTTCAACTATGGTTGCTGATAAATGGTCAACTGATCTTCCGTTTTTTTTCCATGTGGGGTCTTATTAATAATAATTTCCTCCTTCTTATGTCACTATTGTGAAAGGAATTTCCATCTTTTTGCGTTTTCTAATGAGCAAATGAATCAATTTTTGAATGCATTAAAACTGTGCTTGTTTATAAGCGGCTAAAAAGTCATATAGTTGCTGAAGTTGAAATTGAAACATTTCGTGGACCATTACAGCCCAATACGTTTGTACTCTTTTTTGTAAGATTACTCTAAATTTTTGTTTTGAGTCTGAATATATTAGTAAAGTATTCTTATTTTCTTTAAATCTAATAAACTTGAATAAAAACCCCGCTTTTTGAAATACGAGATAGGCCCGTTTTTAAATTCCTTGTTTTGAATGTATCAAAACAGGGTACTGCAGAAAGATGAGACACAAATTTGCGAGCTGGGGCAGAGCAATGTTCTTATGATATTCTAAAAAATTTGATGATTTTGAGCCTGAATATTCTTCTGAACATTATACTTATAAAAGAAGAGTGTGGTTAAAGTGGAATACAATTTTCAATATCTGTTTCGTATAAAGATATAGTCAGAGGTAGCAGGGGCAGTTGGTAGTGGGGGCGCTGACAAATTTTCAAAAATTGGTGACGAGAGTACGCTGTATACAACATTTTCTGATCCATTTTCGGAATAAACAACATAACTTTGAGATAATCCTTGAAGTAAATTAACATATAGGTCTCAGAAACTTTTTTACCCGATTCTCATTCTTCAAAAGGGGCGCAAAATTTCCAAAAAAGGGGCGCCAGGCTTGCCTCAACTCGTTGAGGCAGGGGAAACTGCCCCTTGCCCCCCCTTAAATCCGCCACTGAGAAGTAGGAATTTCGCTTTGGGGTGAGGGTACGGGGCTAGGGAAGTAAGAAGGGTCTAGCGAGAGTCCAGTAGCAATAGCTAATGAAAAGCAATAGGTGAAGAAAAACAACAGGTAGATAAAAAAGTCGGCCATTTTTGGCATGTATAAGGGATTAAAAAGTGCAATTTTATGTAATACACTCTTTTTATGAGAACAATTCTATATGAACACGAGCCTCAAAATTGATCAAAGATTGAGAACAAATTAAGAACAAATTAAGAAAAAATTAAGAACAATGTGAGGCTGAGTTTTTGTAAAACATTAAAAAATCCCATTAAAAAATTTCATCTCAAAAACGAGGAGTTTCTTGCCATCTAGGGGTTTTTTCAGTGAATTTCAAACTTGACAGCAAATAAAAGTCGCACTTTCTTGGCAAATGAGGCCTGAACCCCACACTTTGTGAACACTAACACTACTTACAGATTAATAGCTTCCAATTTTAGAAGATATTCAAGCCCCCACCCTGATCTTCAACTTACTGATTCTTATTAAAAAAGTGTGTTGCGTTCTGACAAAGATTGTGTTTGATGGAAAAAATAGAGATTCCGATGTATCTAATCATTCGTAAAAATGTAATGTTTTATTCACCGAACAAACACAAAAATTTATTTCAAAGTATTTTGGGTGCAAAAATAACTGGCCTTTTGGCGTGGGAGACTTTAAATAACAAAATGAACGGAAATCTCTCCTGTCAACCCTTCACCGCCACCTCTACCTTATTGCAAATGCAAGAAAGACAAATAATATCAAGAAAAGAAGTCAAGTTTGAATGAATGAAATTTAGCGATGAAGTCGACCGATTGCAGTTCTCGCTTCCACAAGTAGGGTGGTTATGAATAACCTTGTAAAAATTCGCGCGAAAAACAGTCGAGATTAGGTAGAAAGCCTTATTGTCATTTTAAGCGGAAAGCTGTGTTTAATATCTGATTAAGTTTTACTTGATACCAATTCATCGATGTTGTTCGATGATACTTGTGGTCGGCTTCTATTCTTTGTTCTCGCGCAAATGACGTCAAACAAGATCTTCTAGCTTGCTTTTTGGGATATTATTATGATTAGAACAAAGACGCGAAGAAAATGCTAGCAATCAACATTCCAAGTGGCGATTCTATATATCTTTGAAATTGTATCTTTTCCTTTCTGTTGCATTTGTCATGCATGTTCCAGTGATCTGGAAATGTTTTCAGTGCAATCCCCCCCCCCCCTCCGATTTTCAGTGTTTATTGTTACCCCCATAAAATGTATTGGTGATGGGAATATGAAGAAATAACATATAGAAGCTAAACTCACTCAAATGCATAGTTTAGCAAAGCTGTGTAAAGCATAACGCTGGACAAGATAGCACAGTTTATGGTATTATAACAATTATAATTGTTTAAGTGTATTACAGTATAGGCCTAGTAGCATTACAGTATAGTACAGTACAGTCAGGCACCGCGGAGCAGGGGGGCTGGGGGGGCTTTAGCCCACTTTTTGCAAAGAATGCCAAATATTAAGTATCAAACTACCAGAAAAGCCTCTTTTTATACGGTTTTAGCCCCCCATTTTTAGACCCCCTTTTTTCTCAACGCTCCGCGGTGCCTGACAGTATAGTATAGTATATTTTATTATATATCATAATGTCATATATCATCAAGTCTGCCAGTCTAAGGAACTAAAGCCACGATGCCCCTGATCAATAGATCCAAAATGGTGATCTCTTTGGCAGAGGAAATTTCACCCATAAAAAGATTTTGAAAAAAGTTCTATTGTTTTCTAAAAATGTGGAGAGGAGGTCCTTCGATGGAGGCCCTGAGCCAAAAGGCTGTTTCCAAGAAAAATCTTTGCTTCAAAGTTCCTTCTTGAGGACCTTGTAACAAGTTACTAGGAAGGCTTATTCCTAGCATGGCATTTTCCCAGAAAGCAGAAAACAAGAACGAATGAAATTGAGGTGCCAAGCCCAAACTCCGCCATGTTTCTATTGTTTTCCTAGGAAGGTTTTAACACTCCCAGCATAATAATCTGTAGGATAGATAAATCCTTTTTTAACTCTGCATTTTGCTCCAGTGCTATTTTGGTTAAATTTCTGGTTAAGGTTCTACTTTTATTTGTACAAATGATGTATTGATATGATTCTCATTATGGTTTTTAAGATGATAACGTGAACAAAACTGTCGTGATTGCATGAAGGCTTCCAAGTGACCTTTCAATATTAAGAACCATTGTTTCCTCCAACAACTCGGAGTTTGCATATCTCCAGGCAAATGTCAACAAATTTCATTGCTTTATATGACAATTTGGAGTTTCTCCAAAAGTAACAGCAAGAACTCTTTGGGCCTAAATTGTTTACGATAAAAGGGAAACATGAATACCAAATTCATATGTTTTGTTTTTATAGCTTGTGATACACGGTTGAGTGTTGTCGTTTTGTGAAATCGAACTCATAAAGCTGGTTGATTCTAAATTCCAAATGGAACCTAATTCGCAATGTACAGAAAGTTCAAACCCAATCACCTTTCTTTGTTAAACGATAGAACGGATAAGGAAAACATTCTGACACTGCTCCCGTTCGTTTACATACAACAGCGTATTTCAAGTTATTAGGTCTGACAGGGGGTCCAGTCGATTTAAGGGTCTTACCAAATGGCTACCGCACAACTGCCTCGAGGTTTTTTCAAGTAGTTGCTACCTCTTGAGTTGCTACTTTCAATTAGTGGCTTAGTTCAGCTTGCAATTTATGATAGCAAATGAATAAGATCTTATCTTTCCTGAATCAACAACAGTCGATGTTGAAGAAATTTTTCAAACAAGGACCAGGCGAGCACAAAGAAATGAATGCTCTCAAGGACATAATTTCGGTTTTTATGCTACCATTTGAGGGTTATTTTACAAAGGACTACTAGAATGAGGGTACATAGCAGCAATAGACACGGCGTTGCAATAATAGCAAACCCTAGTGCTAGCGGGCGGTGCTAAAATGCACTCGAAATATAAGTATCTGTAATTAACGTTTATTCGTTGCAAATCACAAAAGCCTTCGTGCAGATTTCGTAGAAGGTATGAAATGTGTATTATAATGAGACTTGTCAGAAGGCTTGTGCACCAATTTCGTTTGAAAAGAATTTTTAATTATTTTAATTTGAGCTTTAACAGGAGAGATTTTGGAACAGTGCCGGAAAGTGCATTAAAATGTCATTTTTATGCTGCCAATGTGATACAATGGTACAAACACTACCATCACTAATTATTTTAAATCTGGGTACCGCAGGATTTCTGTTCTCTGATACATTTCGATTTTCTGATGCTATTAAATTACTTATTTATTGTCAGAAAAAGGAGAAAACTGTTTACTTCATTCTTCTTGTTAATTGCAAGAACAGATGTTTAGATTTAGGTATCGCTCTTCAACTATTTGAACCATGTTTGAGAAACGATATGTTAGTGCATAGAAATACTTGAAAGCCTTTTCAACGACCCCAAATAGAGTCCAGTAAGTTTGTGCATCTGTCAGCCTCATTCACCGACAGGAAAATTTCGTTTGAAAATATGTTTTTATTCATTTGAAATTGAGTTTTACCTGGCCCAAAAGTAGCTCTTTTTAGTGTTAAGATTTCACTGCGTGATTTTAGTTTATGAATCTGATACACTTTTTTGGGAACATTTTCATCCTTCTTCATAAAGTATAACGTTAAGTGACATCAGAGACTTTTGTCCTTTCTTCGAGAAGGGTGCTTCGAGAAAGGTGCTTCGAGAAAGGTGCTTCGAGAAAGGTGCTTCGAGAAGGTGAAATCATTCAATCAGACCATTCAGTTCATTCAGTGCTTTCTAGATTGTCGTACTAAGTTGGATTTCGTGTCCTTTTATGATACGCATCGCGCTCCAATATTGTATTTTGATATCAAATCATTGACGAAAAGAAATTCGTACAACACCCTGTCAAGACGATAGAAATCCTCTACAGCACGATTACACAGCAGCAAATACCATATGATATGGAAGTTTTCGAAAAAGAAATCTTGGACGCCTCAATATCTTCGAATCCTTCTATATTTATTATTACTAATCAAACTGATCCGCAATGAGAATCGCATTGAAAGAAGTCTTTTTTTCTTCAAACTATCAGCGAAATGAGTATGAAAAGGTTTGAATATTATAGATCCGCGTTAACTTTTGCTCTTCGTTGCACAATCACATATGTGAACCCAGCTTCTAACTGTGAAATGACCATTTTACTTTTTTAATAGTTAAAACAAGTCGAAAACGTGGGAAAACAAAATATTGCTGCCTTTGTAAGGAAGGGCAGAGCTGCTAAGATCCATAACAAAAAATTAGTCCGTTGATAGTTTCATTAACTAGAAGTGCATCAGGTGAACTGAACTTTCTTTTATAGCTGTATAGAACAGAAAATCAAATACACAACACAGTTAGCAGTGAAATACCTCTATCAAAGATTATTGTAGATACCTGTGTTTTCCAGCTACTGTAGTAGTATTGGGGTTTAAAGACATCCGTCCCATTTTCTTCAAAAGGGTGCTCTTCCATTATGACTTTAAGCTTCAACAATGCTGCCACACCTTATGCCAACTGCCTCGCAAAAACGTTTCTCGGTTCGTGCTGGATTTCGATATTGGCCCTTCCTGGTAAAGTCTCAAAATATCCTAGAATAGTTTGCTGCTTGGAAATAGCAACCTTGTCCTTTTGTTCAACCCTAAAGAAGGCTTTTAGTTAACTGGTATCTCAAGTTATGACAATGCCAAATGCATTGATGGTATCTGCTAAGACCTTTCCTGTCAGAAACAATTGAATAGAGTGCGTATCACGTGATCTTAAGCTCCCCCTTAACGGTGAAGAACCTGCCCTAGGTGCACGTGCTATGCTGTCGATATCCTTGCAAACCCCGACAATGAATATAAACAACAGCAACAAAAGATTTCTCTTTTGTGTATGCTTTGTGTTTTTTATATATTCCTGTTCCATGTTTATCTTTCCTTTTTTTGTATGCTAGTAAGAAGTGGAATACTGTCAGAGAGGATCGTATTGATTGTCAAACTTGTCGCCAGTATGGCGCGGGCAAGTATTCAATCTCAGGTGTAGCCCCCTCTCCCACTCCTATCAGTCGGCCAAACTAACGATATTTCTCAGGCCTTGGCAACCATCAAAAGCAAATCGCTTCAAATCGAATCTGTTTTCTGTATGTTGCCAGATGGCCTTCATTTCCAATCTTAGCCTTTTGCCTGAAAGGCCTGAATTACCTGTATTATCTGAAAAATTTGCCTTTGGCCTTCTACTCAAAATTGGCCTTTTTTGCCTTTGCAACAGAAATTTTGAAGAAATTCCTTTAATTCAAATATGACTTCCTAACCTAACAAGGGAGTTTTTCAAGGAGAATATGTCTCAGTTTCTTGCTTGAATTTAGAAAATTTTCTAAACGGTGCATGCGTGGAAATATGTACTTTGCGCAGTGTTTTTTGGGGAAATTTTTTGTTTTGGCCACATTTTATTATGATCATTTTGGTTTGGGTCCGTTATATATCTGGCCTTCTTTTATAAAACCAATCTGACAACCCTGTTCTGTCCACGTGCATAGTTAGAGGACATTTAAGTTATTCATTCCAGCATTTCTGCTGTCTTTGCTTGCGATGATCCCCCAAGTATGTCCTGATGCTGCATTTGCAATATTTTATTCAAAAGTGCCCATATGTTTCAAAGCTTTACTTATTGTTTTATCTATTCGCAAATTCTATTCTCTTCAGAACCAATCAGGATGCTTTCTATGTATGAATGTTTGTATGAATGTATACTGAAACTAATTTAGAATGAGATTAAGGTTTTTGTGAGATCGTACTACTGAAAACATTTATGCTACTTTATTATATCCAAAGATATTTTCCTACTTTTGCCCGAACCTACAGATGTTACCCGAACCTTCTGGAATCGGTTAATTAGCTTGGACAAATAAGATTAGTTCATATTCGTAATTAAAAAAATAAAATACCTAATTTGATTAATCTTGTTATCCAATTAATTTAATGATGTTCTAGTTGGCAGTGTACCAGTGGCTTTTGTGCATTGCTTTACTTGCATAATTGTAACGGTCTTCTAGCCTTTTAACATGCTGCTGTTGGTTCCACGTGAATCTCACACTGAGCCATTATTTTGCAGTCGTAAGTCAAAATAGATGCAGAGATCATTATTTGATTCGGCTAAGGGGAAACAAAATATCTGAATGTAGCACATGCAGTATATGTAGTAGATCTACTCTTCCCTGTGGAATTCTATTCGTCTCTTCCCTACTGGCCAACTGTAAACAAATCATTTCTTGAGATGGCTAGAATTCAGAATTCACGTTGTATGTTTTATGCAATGATAAGGGTGTTTAACACGGTTTTGTGAGTCCGAAGGATGTGACAATGCAGTCATGTTGTTAGCAGTTTCATACCCAGACCCCAATTCTGGTGCTATGCATCGATAGTTAAACTGTGCCCTATGGAGGAGCAAGTTAAACTGTGCCCTGTGCTGTCTAATCAAGCTTGCATGGTATACAGTATCTGATGCAGCATTTGCCTTGCAAATAGTAGATTCGTGGATTTCACTGGCTAATGTTAATAGGTTAGTGTAAGAACTTAGAAGGAGCATACCAATACTTTTAAATGGAGCCATTTTTCATAATTGTGGATTATGTCGCATGACCTCCACACCATGCCGACAAGGATATCAATTTGGGATTTCCTGACCGCTCACCAACTTCATTGAATCCCTTAAAGTGTCCGGGAACGACAATATTTGGCGTGACGCAGTTTCTTTTTTAAGAACTTGGTAATGACGTAAAAGATTTAGTTACCTACAGTGTAAAGGTAAAACCACAGAAAAAAGCGATCCATCAATGGCATTTGATGCCGAGAAAACAATGAAAATTTCAGTTGTGGTATTTTGTTATGTTTTAACAGGATTAGACCTAACCGCATATTGTGTGCCTCCAAAATGCAGATTGACAGGATAATAAATGTCGCAGCCACGTGCACTTTCTAGAAGGACAACCAGTTAGTAGAAGATTCAATTCCTCCTCTTTAAAACATTGTTCATAAAAGTCCTATAACTACAATGAAATTCACTTTGCTACTCTTTTCAGCGCGTCTGCGGGTTAACGCAAGGATGACATTTACGTCCTATACTTCTTATCCTTTTGTTGCGTCATGTCGCTCTCAAAACACAATGCGACGCCCTTGGCCTTCAGGTGTTGAAAATCCAATAAACAGTGAAGCGCAGCTTTAAATAAGGACCATACCGAAAATACGGACCATACAGAAACTTCTTATGCGTTGTAGATTTACATTAAAACGTTTCCCCAATAAAGATGCCTTTAGAAAGATGTAACAGTGATATGCTATTTAATCATAGTGGCACGTCTCTATTGTATTTATGTCATCTCAAAGAAAATTATCCTGTTCAATATTCAATTTAAACTTATCAAGTTTTTCTATGGATGTATATGACATCTCTCATTGTAAATGCCAAAGAAAATCATAGGCTGACAGAGTATGAAGAAATGAAGACGTTTATTTTATGTCATGTGTGAATTTAATGGGCATAATTCACCAATTGCCGGCTCTCTTAAATTCTTAGTTGAAAATGAATTTGATTGCCTAGATATTTACCAATCACTATCATTGACAAATGATAGTTGTTAAATTCGTGATACTAATTATTTGATATTAAAAAAACAGCAAAGTGATTGTCAACTTCATCTCAACTTCTTCAACATAAACATAGACAACAGCTGCCTTTCACCCTTTTCTTTTCTTCATTGCTATTATCCCTCTACAATTGGGTGGAATTTGCTAGACGAACAAGCTACTCCTTTAAAGCTTGATATTGGTTTCACATGCAGCAGAAAATCCATCACGGATGGGCTAAACAGACCTCTGGCAGCTCTTTCAAAATTACATGTCACCAAGACACATTCACTTTTTTGAGTTCTTCTCTACACCTTGCACTCCTTAAAAGCCACTTCATTTTGGCGTGGTTCGATGCTGATTTTTGGACAGCTTGAGGCTCGAGTAGAATGTTTCTACGGCCACCACATACAGGGGCGTCGCAAAAGGGGGATACGGAGGGTGCGGTACCCCCCCCAACTTTTAGTCTGTCGGCACATTAAGGATTTTTGCCGGGGAAAAGAAGCAATTTTTGTACTTTTCTAGTTATCTTTTTGCAACAATTGTAACGCATTAACATTTCTGTAGTAGTTGAACTTTAAAGTATAGCATTAAAGTATGACCTTTGAAACAGAAACGCATAAAAGCAGCATGTATAAGTATCTATCTTTTTACCACACCCTTGATTAGTGAGACACGCCCTTTTTTGACTGCAAAAACTACTTCTTTACCCCTCCAAAAACTTCTTTGGCTTTGCCCCTGACTACATAAAAGTTTTGTATGACGGTTTTAGTAACACGGTTGACTATCTCATTATATACGGGGTATGAGGTCTGTTACCTGTAAAGTTATTACAAGCTGTGTATAAGAAACCAGCTCTTAAGGTTGCCAAATATTAAGAAACTACAGTCCTGGTCATCTTTAATCTTTTGAAACTGACGATCTTCAACAAGGAACAAGCACCCATTTCGACCCATTATGCACGTCGGTGGTGTAGTCGTAAATTCGTAGGAAGTATAACGCAAAGGCAAAAAACAGCATTTTACGTGCAATCACGAACAAAACCACCTTCGAACTGCGCATGCCCAGTTTACATAAGCAAATGTCAAATATGCAACTTTTTATATGACTTTGATTAATCACTTTCATACTCAATCGAACCTTGGTTTTAACATGTATTGAAAGCGTTACCAATTTACTTGCTATATTGTCTAATCAAAGTTTTTGATATTCGTTCTTATATCTAGTATGATCCCAGGGGGGGGGGCACTCAGCACATAGACATTTAGACATACGGGGGGGTCAGTCCAAGAATTTTACAGCCCACCGAAAAATATCAGCTCATTTTCAAAAGACCCAAAAATATCAGTTCTACTTATATCTTATACCTAAAAATATCACAAATTGTAGTTTCAGAAGAGATACTGTAGTATCACATGGCTGTAGCATTAAAACTTCCAAAGAGTATGATCAAATGACTTGCAATGGGTGAAAAAAACTTCAGCCGATGAACAACACATTTGATTCAGATATGGAAATCTCACAATAGCCAAAAAATATCAGTGTTTCTAAATTTGATACCTAGAAATATCAGAATTGTATCTATTGTTTTTGCAGGACCCAAAAATATCATTTCTGATAAATATTTAACCCAAAAATATCACTTTTTGTAAGCATTTGACCCAAAAATATCGGACTGACCCCCCCCCCCCCCCGTATGTCTATGTGCTGAGTGCCCCCCTGGGAGTATGATTCTGATATTTATGAAGCATAACCCCACTGTTTCCTTGAGTAGGTAGTATAACGCTGCAGCTCAAACATTTTCGGAAGCGTAACGTCGTAAGGCCGCGTCACCTCTCCACTACACCACTGATACACATGGTACACATGGTGTTATCTTATGTAATGCTTTTTGCTTTTACAAAGAAGCTCTTTGTTATTCATAGAACTTTAAAAACCTTCAGTGTCAAAGTCGACAAAAATTATGATTTGAGTAAGAAGGACTTTTTGATACTTGTCATACTGTTTTCTAAAAATGTTTAGTTTCGGTCGAAATATCTAAAGTGCGCTTGGTCAGTTGACTCTTTCTATATCTTTGAATTATTTCTGCATTCAAATGATATGGGACAATGAAATGCTATTCAAGTAATGTACTCTGGTTTTATTCCTGGCTAGCACCCATCATTTTTCAAGTGACAAGAACATTTTCTTAAGGAGCACGCTTCCAAGTTACAAAACTCCTGCTCAAGCTACACGCATCTGTATCATCAGTATGGAGTCGCTTGGAAACCCGATGATTTTGTACCCTGATATTAATATACTATGTACAGTGGCGTAGCCAGGGTTGGAAGATTGGAGGGGCAAAGAGGAGACCGACAGCAAGGGTCCGGAGGAAAAGTTTTGCTGGCCACACCCTTGAGGATTGGGGAAAAGCCCATTTTGTAAGTTTGTTTGGCAAAGCTATGGCTTTTTATGTACGAAGAATGAGTACATATTTTTACGTGGAAATGGTTTGTTAATCAAACACAATAACCGTCATATGTAGCTGTTTGTGGCTGACCCCATTCTACAACTGTCTGTTTGCTTCACAATTCCTTAAACATTTATATTTTGAAGGCGAGGAAGCTTTACATCTTATTATTTCGCGAATGTCTAAAGATGGAGAAAGACGACAGGAATTTGAATAACTCTATATAAACCCTAAAACGACAGGGAATTTGAAAAACTTTCTGCAGAGGTACAGTCGAGGGTCCGCGCCCTTTAGATTGGCTTGAAATTTTCGCGACCACGTCCTTTAGATTGGCTTGAAATACATTTAAAAATATTTCTTACAGTCGTTTGTTTGCATTCTTTGAAAAAAATTAAGTTTTGTCTGAAATATCAATCCCCTCTCCTGAGGTACTAGTTTTTATTGCAGATTTGCATTTTCTAAGACACCAACATTCTAAGCATTGGAGGCGGCCGCCCCCTTTTCCCCCTCGCTAAACTACAGCATGATCAATTTTGTACTCAAGATAAAATTAAGATTACTGTCCACTGTTCGGTCATAAAGTGGGCGATGTCATACAGGCAGAGCTTGACACGCTTTTGGTGTATAGAACAAGTCGATTCTTAGTTGCTACTCCGAGTTTCACGCTTAATGCGATTATCATCAGGGTTCTGCAGATGTAAGTGAAATGATATTAATGGGGTTTAGTGATGACGTCATTTGAATATTGTCTAGAATTTCAATTTGGCCTATATAATATCAATCATGAAGTACCTTTATAACAGCAAGCATAATTCGGGACATTAACTGGTCGTGTCTCAAAAGCAATTTGCGAAAGACTTAATTGATTTTCAGATTCTTAATTGAAACTTTTTTTGGTTTTTAGATTCTTAATTGAAACATTTCTTGGTTTTTAGATTCTTAATTGAAACATTTATTGGTTTTCTCTCAGGCTCGGTGAATCAAAAGAAAACGTTGTGAAATTATATTTTTATGACGTCATCCGGTGCCAACACTGCTCTACCAAGCTGAATGTTACTATTTACTACAAAATGTGTGAACATTCCACTGAATTTCATTGAACGTTTTTATGAATGAGTTAATGTGAATGAGTGCCATATAAAACGCCACCGATCTGCTCTATTGGGGACCAAACATTCCTCGGTTAAACTCAACACGTGAATTAGTCTATTTTCGTGTCAGCTGTGTCTCAAGTCTTTGATCTTATAACTCTTAAGGTATTTCCATTGTAATGTGAAACCTGAAGTCGTTTACACGTAACTATTTTATTTTTTATTATTGCATTCACGACCTCTAACGTGCAATTTGGCAAAGCCTCTCTTATTTTCCCTTCCTTTGTCGAATTGAAGTTAATGTTTGCTAAACTAACATCGAAACACCGCCTTCATTTAATCTCTGTTTTTATAAAGATAATCCTTTTGCAACCAATCTTGTGAGTTTCGGGAAGGTACGAGCGACAGCGTATTCCCAGAATACTGCAAATGTCCTTTAAGGTGGAGCATGTGCCCCTTTGAGCTTTAATTTTCACTAACAAAGACCTAGAGTGCCCTTTTCCGATAACTTTGCTGTTTCTGGTAACAATTATAAGTACCCTTACAAAAGTCGTGCATCCAAGTTGTAAAAACTATTTCCAAGGTAGTCGCTAAATTCCACAATATGTTGCATCATTTTACTTTACATCATAACACAAATTTTTTTGGAACCAAGTTCAATTCCGAAAGAAACCTTGTAATTATGTTTTTGCATTCTCTCATTCGTCTGACAAAACTCAGAAAGTGGAGATTTAAAGCAAGCTTTATTATGTTTCTTATGATTTGTGTTTAGTTCTGTTGGAGACATTTCTCTTGCGAATTTACACCTGCTTGTGATAAATCGTGTATATCATGTCAGCTGCTATGAAGCTTACCTACCTTCTCTATTCCTAGAAAAGCTAAGAACAGTTCTCATTAAAGCCTTGAAAGTCTTCAAAATGTCCTGAGCTAAAAATGCATTCAATGCTACCGAGGAATAACCTACCTCGTGTAAAAACCTGCTGCAGCGTTTTTGAATTGATTCAAATTACTGTAAAGAATATTGTGCTGTTTGAGGCAGAGAGCACTGGAGGGATCATACACCCGATATTTTGCCAAGTAATATAAACCGTTTTGAAAGTAGCTTTGATAAAAGCAAACATTTTACAACATACTTAAAGTTTTTCGTCGGACACTCCTCAGGGTATAAAGCGTCAGAATAAAGTTCCGAAATAACGATTTTTGTAACTTTCTGAAAATTTTATAAATTTGTTAACAAAAATATAAATGCAGTTATATCTTCTCGATAATACTATTAGGAAAATAAGAGCAAAGAAAGACTGGAACAGTTTGCAGTTAATTATAGCAAATTCCTGGTCGACTACGTAGATGAGAACACGTGAAGAGCTCCCCGCTTTCCTTTAATGCAATCAAGGATAATCCCATAATGCAATAAACAAATGATATACTCGCACCATGCAACACCAGATCTTTGCTACTTTTGGCAATACTAAAGAGCACCTCAGCAAATATCTATTGACCTACTTTTACTTCAATGCACGAGTCTCGAACTGGAGCAAATAATGGTACCTGATATTTAATGGATATTTAATGGATCAAGAAGCCAGAGGCCCCTTTGTCTGTCTGTTTACGCACGAACTAACTGAGCAAAGGAACGCAGTACTGGATTTGCCAGGCTGCTTAACTTGAACAGTCGGTACATCGCCAGCATTAAAAACTTTTGACTTTCTGTTCGCCGTATATTTCGTTTGGGAGACGCATAAGGTCTGAGTAAGACATTCCTTCTCATTTCAGTCAACGAGCTTGCGTAATGCAGCTTAGTTCGACGCACATGCACTATTCTCTTGTTCCTCTCCTAACAAATACGTGTCTGAAGGCTACCTCCAAAAACCGGACCTTGTCCACACCAACTTTCCCCTCTCGTTACTGCGCAATGTTTTCGCGCGTTTCTGTTTGTAGTCAGTAGGCAAACACGAATCATTCGTCAAACGCAAATGATATTCAAATGAATATTCTTAAACTATGGTTCCTTTGCGAGATTGTTTGAAATTGAAAAAATTTTAAATTTGTTTCCCCACTTTTGCTTTTGCATCGTCACAGTTTCAAGCATAACTTTCTGCAAAGACCGAGATACACTTTTTGCTCAGGGGGATCAGCCCTGATAAATCAGTGTAACAAAAGCCATATTTCACAAAATAAATATATTCTACTTATACAACTTAAGTTTTTTGGGGAGCCAAGACCCCCCTGGCCCCCGGTATATCGGTCCTTGACTACCTGTAATAAGCGAATCCCTTTTAATCCATTACCGACAGAGCTGTGACGAGATTGCGTGCTCCCTATGCGCACTCCTTTGAAAACAAGCTTGTTAGTTTTTCCTCTGAAAAGGAGTATTTGTCAATTGCGCTGGAATTCGCACGATATTTATCCAGATTTGTATTCAAATAACCTGCAGGTTTTATTTTTCTCCACTTGGGTTTTAACAAAAGGTACGAAGCTGTTCTTGATATTTACGTCGCCGAGGTTGTAGTGCCTAAATGCCACGAAATTCTCTTAAAACGGATGAAAAAAGGTTGCGCAAATTTGCAAAATACTTAGCAACGTTCTCAAGTATCACCATTAATGGAAATGCCTATTTTATTATCAAAATATTTCAAGTTAAGCTGGAACGATGATTCTGTAGTGTACAGTCAATGGAATCGCTTGCATGACGCGAAAGCCCGCGTATCCTTCTCTGTTTTTTCAAAAGAAAGCAACAATTGAAAATTTATTTGGATATTTATCTTTCCTTTTGAACACAGCAAGAGCAAAAACGGAAACAGAGGCTCTGTCCACGCAGCAAAATACTCGGTATTTTAAGCTACTTTTAGCTGAGGCAGAAAAATGCGTAATACCACTAAACGCTTCATGTTTGCTCTCGAATTAACCCTTCAGTAAATGATAGTGATCTTAAAAAAATCAAAACTTAAAAATTTAGAAGAAAGGCAATGGATTGAAAACGATGGTAAAGTTTGGGCTGGACAGAAAATTAATCAAAATTTTCCAAGTAAATTTTACTAACTCATTTTGAGAAGCATTCTTCACCTTCATAAACATACAGATAAATTGCACACAGAAAATCTATCTAATACTGAACTACATATGAAAACATTTTAAAATTCTAGAGAAACTCACCAACATATTTTCGCCTTCTTGGTTGCTCTCTTCAATGCGTCTATCAATGGATGTCTGCTATGCAGGAGACTCTACCAGACACGTTCTTGTCGCGTGTGCCGTATCAGTACGGTTTCACCTCTATTTATAGTGGACATGAGAATAGACGGATTCGCTTGTGTATCGATCCTCATACTTATTCTTTTAAACAATGCAAGAAGCGAAAATCTTGTGCAACCACATACAAGACATTTGACACTTGAAATTTTTATCAAGCCTTCGGCAGAACGTCAGCCCAGTGAGTTGTCAATCAAATTGATGCTTTTCTGTCTAACAAAAAATTCTTAGGCGTGTCAAATGGCTAAGGCTTGGTTATGGCTTGTGCTGACATCATGAATTGTAACGTAAAGAAACAAGACTGTCAATAGGGGGATTTTGATACCTCAGCACCTGGGTCGAAAAAGGTATTTGGATAATTTGCATCTCGAATTTACCCCGAGGTTGCAGTTAGCTCTCGTTGGTATTGGGTAAAATCAGTCATTTTTTCAAATGAAAGGAGCCACACTAAATGTGCTCATATATTCAATTCAGTACTGAAAGCTCATTGCATATCGGAATTTAAGGTTTCTTAACTGCTGAGTAGGTACAACTAAGTAGATCACCTTAAAAGGCTGTATATTCAAGGGTAATGCAAATTGTAATAATCAGAAGATATGGTGCTTGGATTGATCCTTACGTGAAATTAAAAGCGTTCAATTTTTTGTTATGAACATTATGCATGCAGAAAAAGACATCATGTTTGATATTTTACGTTCACAAGATTCCCAGGAATCCTAGCTACTCTAAGCTCTCTAAGCAACTTGGAATGTTTTGAGGGATTTATCAGACCGATCTAGACAACATGTGCTATTCGTGGATTCTTACGCAAGTTAAACATGGGGAGGGACCAAGTGCAATTACAGGTTGATAAAGGAGGCTCGTTTGTCTAAAATCTTTCACTGTATAAAAAAGTAGTGAGGTATTAAGCATGCCTTTCTTTTTAGACAGGTATCTATCACTTCCATTTAACTATTGCAAAGAGAAATTTGTTACTTCTTCGTCGTTTAATTCAGAGAACATCCAGACTATTTGACACTCTAGCCCTTTCTGTACTCACACACTTTTCTGACGGATAGAAATTTACAGCGCGGGTTTATCAAAGTAGATATTTTATAATTGCATTATTTATTCAAGCGACGAAAACTTTTACTTATAGCTGAATTTTACCGCGCCCAAAATGGGGCAGCTCCACTTAGCATTTGAAAGACCTTTACAGAGGCTGAGACTTATAAATAAGGGAAAAGGAAATCAGTTGTCTTGTTGATGTCTGATAATATTTTTTTGAGCAACTGAATAAAAATTCTGTTAAAAATTTACGGCTGATCATCAAAGCAACATTCTTTGTGTTAATGCCATGTTTGGTACCGATGAGACAGAAATATCGAGTAATGTGATGTACTATAGCTTGAAAACATGTTTGCTGGTATTGAGTTATTTTCGTAGCTCTGCTTTGTGATGTTGCGTACAAAGGAATAGCGACCACACGGTCTTCGCACACAGGGAAATATCAATTCTTGAAACCAGAGTCACAAGCGATATTTCTAAAACTATTAATTTTTTAAAGAAAAAGGGAGGTTGTATCTGACAAGACCCTGTGATGTTTACAGAAGAGTGAAGGGTAAACCTACTTGACAAAAAAGTTCAATTTTTATTGATAACAAGATACCTACTTGTTAATCTGTTTAATTAACAAAAAACAATGATTTGTGAAAACGTTTGGTTGAGATGGATTTTGCAATACTACTTGGAAACTGCAGAACACTGGAAGTCCTCTTGCAAGTAGGGGGTGGAAGGGGTCGATTTATGACACTCTTGCGGTCTTGTCCAAAGATTTCTTGTACGTAGGTTGTGTTGCAAAAACATCCACAGATATTCAATAAAGGCAGTTAATATTGGAAAGAAACTTCTTGGAAATAACATGGTTTCCTGGATTGCTTTGGTGCCCTCTTGTTCCGATGCCGATGCACTTGTGCATGGATTAAATGACTATATTAAATTAATCTTTAGACAGTGGCTGATGATGCCTTTTTTGCTGCGGGAAGGAAAGAAACAGTAACAGCAGTATCTTGATTGTCATGAAAGCGAAGTAGTAATATTCTTACCAGTTCCCACTTCCCTATTCATTTGCAGTATCATAAAAATAAGAAAACGTTCTACAAATTTTGATACTGACAGTTTATACATATTTTTTGGAGCAGCAATAGTGGGCTGTAGCCATACAAAGCTTGAATAACTTGATTCTATCATCCATATTGCTATCGATAACCGATAAAAACAGAATGATTGAGAAAATGATTGAGAAAAATGATATACAAAAAGATTGATAATAAGCCTTACGTTTTTGGTTGGCTATGTACCAATGGATTTATTCAGTAGCGGCGCCACGGGGGGGACTGGGGGGGACACGTCCCCCTCAGTTCTCAGGAGAATCGATTTTGTAGTTCGTCTAAATTCGATTAGAGAATGTTGGGGGAGGGGTAATATCTTGACACCGTACTTTTTGTAATGTAATCCTATGATTTTCAAACAACTGCCAATTTTCAAACAAAAGTTAGTCATAGGCGTTCCCTTCGGATAAAATTGGCGTTTTCTGTTGGTAAAAGGGCATTTTCTGGTTGTTAAAAGGGCGTGGCTTAAATTGTTTTGGTTTGTCCCCCCCCCAGAGTTTAGTGGCTGGCGCCGCCATTGGATTTATTGTATTATCCAACCAATGGGAAATTTAAATAGTCATCAAAATGCGTCTGGACATTTCTTTATTATAATATCGATATAGGAAATGAAGCATTCTAGCAAATAGCAAGCTTACGGTGCTTCTTCAAACTTCTTGCAGGAGAGCTACGCTTGTCTTGTTTGCTTAAAGACCCATAAATAAATAGATAGTAAAATGTCGACTTAAATAAAGTATGGCTATTATGTTCATAAATTCTTAATTTTTAGGAATTACGAGCCTCGATATTCTTATAAGATCTATTCCTACAAAAAGTGTGTACATTCTCAGGGGGTGCTTCATCACCAACGGACCCTACCTTGTTACGCGCGTCAATGTTCTGTTGGTTGGTATCTGGGAATCGTTTTTTACCGTGTATGATGGACCTAATTCATGACCGAAATGTGTTCTTTTACAGTTTGAGCTTCTTTTTAACTAGTATATGTGTAAATCTAGTATATGGTGTGTCTTCCTGAAAACTGCTTTCAATATCCTGGACCTGTGACAAACTCACGTATTTTGTCATGGCCTGCATGGAATTTTTGAGTCTACGTTATTTCGGACTCGGGCTGTCACATAGTTTTCCAGTCTCATTCTTCTTGACAAATATATGTAGATACAACTAAGAATACATTTCCTTAGAAGAGATAATCAATTATTATTCAAACAAGACACAAACTACAAACTACGCTACGCAAAGGTAGCAAAGAGCAAAATTACAAGACATTTGACAAGAAGTGTACACGCCGTTTGTGTGGCTAAGAAGCTATATTACTGCCTTGCTCACCTGCCAATTTTTGGGCCACAATTTGTTTTGCAATTTCACTCAAGTGAAACACAAGTACTTTAAGTGTTCACTCAGTTCATGTCAAACATCTCAATATTGGCTAAAATGTCGATTGCTATGGAATTTCGCATATTTCAAATTTCATAGGACTATCATAGTAAATACAACACAGTCTGTGACAAAAATAAGTATGTAAGCAAACAGGAGCGAACACTGTATAGCCTTGTTGACATAGCCTACCCAGATCAATTCGTTTATATGTGTCATATATTTCGATAGCCGCCATGGATCTTTCATATGATTTTAACTGTTGCTCAACACCAATGACATTTTGGCACTAATTTCAGGTCCCAAAGGCGAAAACTAGGAATCACAATTTTTGTAATGTTTGCATTTCTTTTTTTAGAACTTTCTCTATTTGTAAATTTTTACTTCATCTCATTTGCTTTCTTTGCAACACGATCTTGAGTTTTAACATCTTTCAATGATCTAAATGCTTACAGTCTTACTGTAAAATTTAAAAATAGAAAAGGAAATTTCAGGAATTCTAAAAATATGCTTCTGAGATTATCGTGGTTGTAAGATGGCTGGGTAAAAGCGCAGAGCAACGATTGGTTTACGTCAGTTACTGCAATAGATCTAATCCCTTGAATTCAGTTGGTCTAGTAAAAGCCGCGAACATTATATTTAGAGTGGGAAACCAAAATGGGGTAATTAGCTCACCCAGAGTCAATCTGAGCTGGCATGACTATCTGAAACAAGAGAGAGATGATTTTTTGTCGAATTCTTATGCCATAATGTAATAGTCTCATCTCTCCTCTAAACATGAGCATAGCGGATAATGGTTTGGGGGGGGGGGAGGGGGGTGAGTATGGGTCTTGCTCGAATACTTTTGTTGAATGCAAACAGAACTGACTCTGTGTATTGAATGTCTACAGGGAATGAGCCCCTTTACTCTTTGCATTGAAACAGTCATGCAGCATGCGAAAGAGCCGGAGCTAGAAGGGGACATTGTTAGGTAGTTGAAATAGGGACATTACTGTCTTTTGCAACAATTTACTTTTACTGACGCCTTCTCCTTAACCTTCCTAGTCAGATAAATCAAGGCCACCAAAATATAGAGACTTATACAATCAATTTTGTGCCATGGAATATGTCAGGCGCGGTCTGGCTTGGGTGGCAAAGTGGCGATCGCTCTTTGATCGAGCCGGGCTCTTTGCTTTAAAACGAAAAAAATGACAACGAGGCCTTTTTCACAGAGGTTTGAGAATGTGAATTTTATTCTTTCTTTTTAATAGTAAAAGTCACAAAAATAAAAACAAATATTAATGGTAAACCTGATAACAAAGGTTACGAATAAATTTGGTTTAATATTTGTTCCAGGTTACCAAACAAAAACCGTTAGCAAATAAGAGTAAGATGGTCCTCAGAATA